TAAACAAGTTTTAATAATTATTACTATAATTGATGTCTTGTATATTTTTATCCAGTATGTACCTTCCTACTCGAATTTGTAAATATCATTACTAATAAGCAATATCGTTAGACATTCTATCACTTTTTGGTTTTCTAGGTAGATAGAATAGTTGCAAATATATCATTGTTTGTGAAATCCTTGAGAAAGAATGGTTGGATTCAAAAATACACTGGATTAGCAATGAAACCTCCTCTGTACTTGTTGAGTTCCACCTTCTACATCACTTCTGTTCTCTCTAATCCATTTTCCATGAGCTTGCTTGTTGTTCATCAGCAACTATATTTATTTACTTATTGTTTTGCATTAATGCTATTTCCAAGAAAGATCTTTTTCAAACTTCAGTCATATTGAAGAGTGATATGAAAGCCAAACTAAACATCATGTGTCAGTTCCGGATGTGGGTTAAACCCTTGCCTGCCCCAGTTACATATAATGTGAGGTCATCTTACCTTTAGAGCAGGTTTTGCCGCCTCGCCATCACTCCCCTCCGCTGTGTTTCACCTCAGCTGAGTTTCAGAGCTGGAAGTTAACTCAGCTGTGAGAGAGGTGCTTGAGTAAGTGGCTGGGGGAGGTACACTGCAGTCACAGCAAAAGTTCAGCTTCCCTTATCCACACACCAGTACAGCTCCAGCTCAAACCTGCCATTTATATGACTGGGGTCAAGTTGAGATTTTACAAATGAGTCTGTCACCATCACATCTAGTGCTGAATAACCTTTTCCCACGGGAACTCACCTCTGGCATGAAACCAACGCAGAATTATTAATGCTAAACTATCAAGCACATCCGTGTTGTGTGAACTAAACCATTACATGTGTTCCTTAGCATATGGATTATGTCGTGGGTTTTCAGTATAAACTGCTGGCATTCAAGTACCAAGAAAGCAGGCAGTGGCAAAGTAGCCAAACCACAGCCACAATACTTTCCTTTTTCAGATTTCAGAACCTGGTTATTACCCTGACTACTGGCCAACAAACCTGGGGTGGTTTCATGGTAAGTCTCACAATGAGTATAAACTTGAAGTATTTTTTTTGTAAACCAAAGTTAGCAAATGAGGTTCTGAAATATATTTGTTCTTATTGCAGATGGCACTGAGTACACATGAAGCACTGGATATCTCTTAAACCCAGTTTCAAAATCCAGGGTCTTGTTCCCTGAACAAAACAATGCCTCACTCAATCTGCTATAATGCATCATCAAACGTCTGAGTTAAGGAACTTGAGATATAAATATATATTGTTTGCCTGCCTCATGTATTGATATAGATCATCAGCAAAGAACTTTTTTTCATCACAAGACTACCTTCTGGTTTTTTTTTAATGACAAATATGTCAATAACTCCCACGATATAAAGTAATTGAAGCTGTTTCAAGTAAACCCATATCTCAAGGCCAAACCATAGGAAAATGGAACATGTATTCCCAACCCCAGAAGTCCAGCATGCAGTTCTTATGAAAGGCAACTACTCTTTAGGTTTATGTTGGAAAGGAATTATATATGATCTGTTGGTTCATTATCAGAGCTCTGTTTAAATTACCATCTTTCACTACAGTGGAAAAATAATACTTTTGACATCAAATACTGCTATCAATATCCACGGCATACATTGGTATCTGTAAGGAAACAACCTTGTGAGCTTAAAGTGTAATGGTGCCCCTTCAAGGTGGAACCAAGTAGACTAGGATGCACTGACTACACCTCACCTTTGAAAGTTGAATGGGTCTATGTTTCACTGTAATTCTAATTTGGATTTCTATGCTTTCGATAGAATTATAATTTATGTGCCCTTTAATTCTGCCCTAAATAATCCATTTGATTTAGGATTCCTTTTTGTTTTTCTGCCCCCATTTGTGCCACCACCCTATAGCATGTGCTATTATACCAGTGAATCCTTAAGAACTCATGCTCGTATACTTTTCGTAGCCAGCTGCATCTAATTATCAGGTAAAGGTTGTAAAAGGAGGGCTGAAAGCTTGCTTATAAGGTAAATCACTCCTGCCAATGTACCATGTGTCAGATGATCCACGCTGCATGTTTAGGAATCATGTTCTGATCTTTTGATGTACCCCTTGGATAAAAAAACACGTTATTGGCCCTTTGCACTGCATCATGTTCAGGTAAATAGAACCAAAAATAATAATGGGTTCACTCATTTTCAGTCAGCAATCCATCTGAAATCCTCCCCCCGCCCCTAAGACCAGTAGGATTACTCTGGAGGTAACTGGATGGAGAAATGTGCCCTGTTAAGAGTTTTTCAGTCCTTCAGTTGGAAGCCAAAATTAGGCCATCAGGATACGAGAAAGGGACATGCAGACAGATGTTTTGCACTTAAGGCCATTTACTGCAACATGACAGACTATCAGCCTTTACAGAAAACAAACAAACCTAAAATCTAAATGGAGTCCAGCTTCAGGCTGGCTCTCAGAAAATATTCCTCTGAGGTTTTGCACACTAAATCCAAGGCTTTGTTGAATGTCTTTGATCTGTCTGGAATTTGTACTCTTTCTCTTAAATTATTTTCCTGCTATTTGTTAAAACATTTAAATTAATAAAAGAATTTTCTCTTTAGTGTGTGGGCTCTCTGTTCCTTATAATTTTTCTTATTCCTTGCCTGCCTGATTATGCTTATACTTTCACCACTGTGTTGCAACTTTTACAAGTTTCCCCCGACTACCACTCTGTACACACAGACCTAATTAAAGACCCTAAACTAGTCATCTCCTTGGAAGCATGGAAAGATCTCGCACACATCCTGCGCTTCACCATCTACAGGTGCTTCTCTGTTTGGTTAAATACGGGGGACAGCTCTCTGCATAATGAAGGAAGTAAATGTGGAAGTCTGGACCTGCAGTTCTGTGCACATAACTCTGAATATGAATTACAGCAATCGTATTTGTTGGGAATCAAAAAGTGCCTTAGGGACACAAATCAGCTCATTCGGATTTTTTCTTTTGAGTGGCTGCCCTTCACATTACTGAGTTACTGTGGCTCAGTGCCTAGTGTGTTAGACTTTGGTTGGGGAAGATCTAAACCGAAATCCTCACTGATTATCTTGGGTTTCTATCTGTCTGTGTTTTGGGGGGTGTGGTGCAGAAGAAGCATGCATGCAGCAATGAGGTCTTTGGAGGAAAAGGTGGGATAAAGCATGTAGTACCATAAATACCTTTTAAAACAGCTCTATTTTAATTGCAGTTTGCCAAGGCAGATGATCTTGGACTCCTTTGGGAGGTGGGCAGGATAAAACTGAATAAATGTGGGTTGTGCTATTCAGTAACACAGATACAAATACACTATATCGCAGCCACCGACACATTGTTATAAACTGTTTTTCCAGGACAGCATTTCTACATACATTCTGACATACATTTCTAACTTGCCTTGTCAAAAATTTTGACTAAAGTATTTGTAAATGAGTGAGCATTTCTACAATGCTGGTCACCAGACTTGAGTTTAGAAGAAGGAATAGGGAAATAAATAAGACCCTCCTATGAAAATAATACTGGGACTGTTCAGATATGGTTTGACCATCATTTGGCTTGTTTCATTCTCACTCGTATGCTCTGATTTATTTCCTTATTTTCCTGGCTTGAGTAAACCAGTTTTCATCCAAGCCAGAATTGGAATTTACAGATTGTGAAGTAAATAATGGTGTGTGAAACCAAGGAGGATGGAAATTTGAACATGAGAGGGAAAGCTCCACCAGCCAGACCATGATTTGGCCATTATCTCCCAACTCTGGTACTAAAGAAATGCCAAGGACCTTGGGAAAAGGACTGGCATTTGTGATGTCTCTTGGAAAACACTGGATTTGTTCTTACAGGCATATAAAATGAACTGAAATATCTGATAAGGGTTTGTTTGGTTACTTTTTACCAAAGTTGTTTAACTTCTGCAGATGATGGTTTGAACTACGGCACAGCATGCAGAATGCAATAAATATGCTTAATTCGTGCATACAATGGAAAGAAAATCAGTAACTGGTAAATTATATTAATATGCAAGAAATAAACTTGTCAACAGTTTCAACTATTTTAGAATGTTAAGAATGAAAAATGAAGGTGGTAATAAAAAATCCTAAAATAAACATACAAATTCTGAATCTGTTATGATTTCATTTTGCTGAATCTAATATAGATATAATGAGTATGATGCACAATGAATGGCCATTCTGAAAGGAGAACTCAAAAAGATATTTCGGTGCCTGAATTCCTATTACTAGAAAGAAACCTAAATATATTCTGAAGCTCAGGCATATTAATAACTAGTGCAGACTGTGAGGGCACTTTAGTGGTACCTCCCCCAAAGCATCTCTCCCTAAAATTATGTTCTGCAGACATCTTGGTCAGTTCTGACACCATTGTGTTAGCTTCTGTTTACTGCATATGAAATGCTAATCTGGATTAAGGAGACTCAATGGGGGTGGGGAAACTGGTTATATCGCATATACCTGGGTCAAGATGTTGAAGTCAAGATCTCCAGGTTTCTTCTAACTCAGATGCTTTGAAAGCAATTATCATCCCAAGACAAGCATCAGTTTTTCCTTAACAGAACCTTGAATTTCCACAAATGCTATACAGTGGTACCTCAGGTTAAGTACTTAATTTGTTCCGGAGGTCCATACTTAACCTGAAACTGTTCTTAACCTGAAGCACCACTTTAGCTAATGGGCTCTCCTGCTGCCGCCACGCCGCCGGAACCTGATTTCTGTTCTCATTCTGAAGCAAAGTTCTTAACCTGAAGCACTATTTCTGGGTTAGCGGAGTCTGTAACCTGAAGCGTATGTAACCCGAGGTACCACTGTATACCAAATCCTGTCACCTTCACAGAACATTTTTAAGTCTTAACGGAAGTCTTATATAAACTGCATTGCATTCTCACTTTGATGAAATCTTCAGGGTATGAGACCTTGAAGAATGAAAAATATTTTATTTTGATGTGATGAACATAAGAGTTTTGCTAATCTGGACTGGCATTGTATTTGATGACTTGTAGAATAGAGTATATTACACATGTGTACAATTGTATCCATTAACAAGTAATCTTAACAGGGAATTTGGATCCCTGAGAAAGTTGGTTTTCATTTTCTAAGCTTTTATGTTACAGATAAAATCATGGAAATAGGCAAACCATGTTTGTTCTGAAATCCGTGGCCGGTGTACCTGCTTGGCACTTCAAAACTACTTCTGCAGTATCTTACCCTTCTACTTCAATACTGGCACTTCTTTTTTTCATTCTCTGGTCCTGCTGCCTTTGCTTTGAAAAACAAACAAAGTCAATTATGAAATAAAGCAAAATGTGTTCATTTTACGTGGAGAACATGGGTATTCTCAGCATTCAGCTTGGCATTTGTACAAGGGTGGTGCATGCTCAAACATGCCCAGTTTATAAATTATAGTTGTTGTCACTGAATAGTTGTTCTTTTCACAAACCCTGACCTAAACCGCACACAGCAGCAACAGTGTGCACTTAAGGATCTCTTTGGCTAACAGATCACCAGCGTCAGTGCCGATGTGGAAGGCAGGACTGACCAAACTCAAGTGCTCTGAACTCATTCTTGCAGCTCTCTTTACCACACTAATACACTATTAGGTAATGTGGATTAGTCCAACAAGGATAACACTCATCCAAGTAGAGTTGCGGGTTGTAGTTATTTATTCTTATGAGACACTTCCATACACAGAAACCAATGTGATCAGGATGGAAACCTGAGTAGCTTCTTTCTGAGAGCAAGTCTCCTTGCTGAATTGAGGCAGACCCCTGGAAACGAAAATTATAAACCCACATAAATTGGTATAAGGTGGAAATAAACAAGAGAGCAATAGATGACCACACCAATATGGGGTTGCATAGACTTTTGGAAAACCAAAATTTGAATGGAGCTTTTACTGGGATAACTTTCCAGCTGATTTTTATACACCTGTAGGATTTCAGTTGATTTTACAACTGTATTTCCCATGTAGCCACAATGGATATCTAGTTATAATTTTTTCTCTTTTGTCTGTTACAGGCAAATGGACACAGTTTTGTACATATGGAACATGAAAAAGCTGTACTACTACTGAAGAGTTTCCAGAATACAGTAGACCTAGTTATTCAACGTGAGCTTACTGTCTAAATATTTTTTATAAATAGTAAAATATGTCTAGCCAGATCTAATGTTTAATTAAATAAAAATTTATATACATATATATATAAATAAATGAATATATATATATATATGGGGGAAATTGCCAATTGCTGGACCAATGGCAAACATAGTGCCAAATGTATAATATATGTAGTACTGATCATTGGGAGGGATATCTATATAAATGTAACTTCCATGGGATTACATATTAGTTCTCATTGTAAGCCTCTGTGCATTGGTACCAGCTTTTTTTCAAGATGATTTTTAATTATTTCTAGATGTCATGTAATTTCAGAACACAGAAGCACACACAAGCTATTTACAAATTATTCCGTCCATCAAAAAACAGGCTGCGTGCACACCACACCTTTAAAAGACATGACACCCACCTACCCCAATAGCCTTGTGAGGGATAAACTACAATTCCCAGAGTACTCTGGGGGAAGCCATGCCCTTTTAAGGTAGTGTGTGTACCCAGCCACAGCCTCAAAGTTCTTCATGGCTTTAGAAAGAAAACTATTTAAAACTGTAATTCCCACAAAGTCTAAAGTCAAATATAATGGATTATTAAATAGTATTTTTATAGACATTTAAAATGAAATCTATATATAAATTAACCTGTAGTCCTATATCCACTTACCTGAGAATAAATTCCATTGCACTTAATGGGGCTTTCTTCTGAGGAGACATTTATAGAATTGCACTTTAAAACTTTTGGGCCTGATACAACTAAATATTTGTGCTAGTGGGAGACAGTGCAATGAGCTCTGCTAGTGCAACAGGGCTCCCCCCTATTTCTGGCCACCCAGTCAGCTTGGGGGGGCAGAGGAGAGGGAGATCTTTCTGACTGGCAAGCAAAAATGCTTGCGCTGACAGAACAAACGTAATGGTGAGACACTGAATTCCTCCCTTTGCCTTTTTAAATTTCATGGGTGGTGTTCAACTGTTTTGCTCAGAGTAGTAATGTCCAAGTTAATCATTTTCATTGATTTCAGTGCATCTATTCTGAGTAAAACTTAGCCGAATAGCACCCAATGCCTTACAGGATTAATTTAAGGTACTCCCTGAGCTGGGAGAGGGTGTCACACACGCAAAACTGAGCTTCAGTGTGTATACTATTATTTGAAAAGCTCATCCCCTGCCCTTCATATGTATTTGCATCACTCAGGGTAGCTTGAAATAATACAACCATATAAACCAATACAACAAAGACAGGCGCAGCCAAAGATGATGATAAGATGCACCACACAGCAGGCGTAAGATATACAGTGAGATATGATATAATGAGGTAATATAATGTGGGTATGACCACAGAGGTGGCTTTTTTTGCCACTTCCCATCCAATATTCAATGTTCAGCCTGGAACATGACATGGAAGGAAGCCTTCAAAGCAAATCTTAGGCAGCAGGCAACCTAGGAGATGGTCCCTCAGGTATCCTTTAGGGCAGGGATGAGGAACCTCTTTGTCTGGCCCTCAGATTCTCCCCAGGCCACACACTGCCCAACTAGAATTTGTCTCCGAGCTGTGCTAAGGCCTCTTACTTGCCTGGAGATAAAAACGTGGGTGTCTGTGTAAACCTCTGCCTTTCTGATGGGTTTGCATGGCTGGAATGTAGTCTAGTGTACAAAAGTCTCACATCCTTTGTTCAGCCCACTGGTCCTCTGGCCCTACCCGCCACTAACATGTGGCCCCTGGAAGGTTACCCATGACGTAATGCAGCCCTCAGTTTGAAAAAGGTTCACCATGTTTGCTGTTAGGGCTTCAAAGATAATTACCAGAACTTTGAATTGTGTCCAGAAAGGAATTAGTAAGAAGGGGATTTGCTCTTTCTTACCACAATCATAGGGACGCGGGTGGCGCTTTGGTCTAAACCACTGAGCCTAGGGCTTGCAGATCGGAAGGTCGGCAGTTTGAATCCCCATGACGGGGTGAGCTCCCGTTGCTCGGTCCCAGCTCCTGCCCACCTAGCAGTTTGAAAGCACGTCAAAGTACCTAAGGGTCAGGGGTACCTTTACCACAATCATGCGACGTGGTTTAGGGTTATACAAAGAATAGTCACAGCTAATCTGAATATTTTTAACCTGCAATGCACTCCTTCCATGCCATTTCCCATGTTCCAAGCTCAGACCCTACTATTGCAAAAATATGCTCAGCTCAAATTCTTAATGAACAACATGCTTTATTTGATGAAATATGTGTAGGAGTTAATCCATAAGGTGACAGTTAATGAAGGGGAATAGTGTGCAAATCACTTAATATTGCTTATCAATAGAAGAACCATCACTGTAGCTTATTAAAAGTGGTTTAGCCCTAATGTAATTCAGTTCTCTTAGCACTTTACACAAGCAATAATGTTTCTGAATATACATTATAATTAAACTATTTAAAATATTTATATGACACCTTCAATACAGTTGGCAATGAAATATAAAACCATAAAATAACTCAGGATAGCCTTACGACTAAACAGAATGTGGTTTCAGCCTAACTGTTTTATCAAATCAGATAATGATGACAGGTTGCTTAATTAACAAGTAGGGATAAAGTTGATCTACCTGCCATGGAAGCCAGGGAGATGGCCTGGGAATCATATGTTCTTGCTCTTTGTTTCGTAGCAAGAATGGAGAATAAGATGTTATTGCTTTTGCATGCTGTGGGCCTGTAGTGATCTTTGAATCCCAGATCAATGATCTAAAACTTCAAATGCTATGAAACTTACTAGTCCTCCTATCCAGATGGGGATCCTATGTTTTAAAATTAATTTGTTTTCATTTTTGATAATGATTTAAAAATACAGTGAAATCCAAAAATTGACATTTATTCTACACTTCTTTAGAATTTGACTCTGCTGCATTGGTTGCCATGGTACCAGTTCTGTTAGCAACAGTTCTTAAAGGTTTATTTACCAACTCTCACATTAGAGCTACACTGTAAGTAAAATAAAGGGAAAGGCTGACATTCCTTCAATTCAGCACAACAGCTGTTCAGGAAAACATAATGTGTATGGAGCATCACTACATGGAGGCAGTGACATAAGCTTGTTATGTATCCATGCAGGCAGGCAGGACATACACTTGTGGGGGGAAACTCAAAGTATTTGTTTAAAAACGGTAGATGGCAAGTACTCTTAAGAGTTATGTGCTTTTCTCCCATAAGAGGAGGAATGCCTCTTGCAGTATAGACGTCTGCTCTTACAATTGCATGCATTAATAAATTCAAAAGCTTCTTGGTTTGGAACCATTGTTCTTACCTACCGTATCTTTCGCTCTATAACACGCACCTGACCATAACACGCACGTAGTTTTTAGAGGAGGAAAATCCGTAGGCATGCCACCCGTAGGCATTCCCTCCATAACAGGCACAGACATTTCCCCTTACTTTTTAGGAGGAAAAAAGTGAGTGTTATGGTGCAAAAAATACGGTATATGCAAATTTTAATTTATATATGAGCTATAACACATGACCACCAGATAACTCAGGCAACCACCATAATTAAGATTCAAAGTCATGTGTTGTGCTTATAGCCACCTGCTGCAGCAATTGCAGAAACCCCTATGACTACAAATATAGGTAGTCAAAATGTAACTTCTGCCGTTACTGGGTTTGCCACTACACTAATCTCTTTCTTCCCTCATGAACTCAAGTCAGCATACATCTTGTTTCCATGTGATCTCCCATCTAAGCATCACACGCTTTCTCAGTGATGATGCTTCCATTTTGGAACCAACACCACCCCTCCGTGATACCTAAATCTTGTTAAGTTTTAGATATCTGGTAATTCGCACAGGCACATAGCAAGATCTGATGCCAGTATTGTTATTTTTAGGTGGCTGGCTCTATGCCTCATTTTAGTAACTGTATTGTGAATTTGAAACTGTTTTGTTGTAACTCACCCAGAAATTGCTGTGCAATGAGACTAGATGAGAAATGTTTCCCAAAAAAGGGCAGACGTCTTAGCTACATTGGTTGCATCAAGTCGCTCTGGATGGTGCCCTATGTGACCGGTGCTGTTTTTTCTAGAAAAAGAGATACTGGAACTCACCATGAATGCCTCCCTTCTTCTATTATGATGGCAATGGCACCCACCTGAGAGGTGCCAGAGCTGAGTTCCAGTGAGTTCTGGCTGGAAAGAAAGCCCTGCTTGTGACCAATTTATAAATAAAAGATGGAACAGCAGTTAATTTAAAAACAAAAACCTATTATAAACCTTGTGCCTAGGATATCTGGAATGAAAGCTATGTTCCACAAAGGATAGTGTTCTTTATCCTACCACTCTCTGCTTCCCTTTCTTGCAGCAGCAGTGCCTGCCCATTTACCAAACTAAAACCAGTAGTTTCAGCGTCGTACAGAGCTAACTTGTGAGTGTACTGAGTTCTGTGTCTGACTGCAATACATGCCTCTCTAAGAAATAATCATGCAAATCACAGAAATATAAGCAAAATGCTAATCTGCTCACCTCCCTGCTAATGTTCAGAATGTATCATTGTCAACAGCAACAGTGTTTAGTAACATTGATTCGGGTTTCCCATGTTTACAGTTTTCATGTACTTTTGGGGCAAAATTAAGATGGAACTCAAATAGTGACTTACACTTTCACAAAACATTTTTTCTTCCTTTAGGAATTGCTGTTGAATATTTTCAGTTCCATTTTTTCCTTTGCTCATGGTCTTCATTATTGCATTGTGTTCCAAGTATGAGATAAGAATAAAATCTATTTCTAAACCAGTAATTTGGATTGGATTCACATGTAGTGAAGGTGGGTTAATGAACAACAAGGACAGTTTTTGCTATGCCCAACAACAATGGTAGTCATATTTGCGCAGCCCAATACTGACACCCAAAGGCAAAGCCTTGTTTTCCTCAGCACACAAATTTTTAATAGCCAGATTTCTAACGCTCTATACAATAGCAGAATTTTAACTCAGACTTTTAGAATGAGTCATCTTTACTAGTCTTTTTGAACTTTTCAGATGCACATTAAGTCAAACACAAAACATGTATAATACACACCATTTTACTCCATCTAGAATTTTCATGCCCTCTTGTAAAAGCTTTTATTCTTAACATCAAGAAGCCACACCAGTTCAGCACAAGAGGCTGAATTTTTATAAACTGGGGCCTTTCCTGCCTCTTTGCTAGCTTAGGTGGCTTAACACTGGGCAAGACAAAGACTTATTAAGTTACATTTTTCTACTTGTGAGTACTGTAATCAAGTCAAAAACAACTTACTTTATTACAAATTTTACCATTTTATAAAACACATGTTTAATTATAGAGATAGCTGTATTGTAATTAATATTTTGAGAAAATTGTGATTTTGAGCTTAAATTATATACAGAACTGTCATTTTTGTATGTGTTACAAAGATTGCTATATGAAGAACTGTACTTTTCAGTTTAATTACAATATCATTGTAAATATGGCTGAATGAAGAACCACTTACTACTCTATGAACATAGATTGTGAATGTATTTCAATGTCTTTGCAGTATACAGATTTACTGAACTTGGAAGCTGCTTCATTTTACGTGCAAAAAGGTACTTTAAAGCTATATTTTAAATCTATTGATTCAGTGAAATCAATTATCTTTCATTTGCACATGCAGGTGGTATCGCTCCCATTTTAATTTGTGTATTGACACTAACTGGTAAGGTGCATATTGTGTCTAGAATGCATTTTGCAGATGCTTTCTGTACATAAAAAGAATACAGGGACTCAAACAATGCTGTGCAGCGTATAGCAGAGCCATTTTCGGCTTTGATGTACTCAACCTTTTTCAGTATTAAAAAAAGTGTTTTGAATAATATATTAAAAAGTCTATTGTATAAATAAAGGCACCTTATTGTAAGTACTTTGTGCGGGAGTCTTGCAATCACTTTTTTTTTTAAGACAACTATTTCACTTTTGCTAATTCATAGAAACAACACCAAGCTTTTTGCCAGGCCTCTTATTATTATTTTACTTCCTCAGTCCAAGTGCATCAGAAGTACAGAACTAGAAATGCATTCGCCAACATAAAAAGACGCTGTCAGCTTTTCAGGTAGTTCTCACTACCTAGGAGTTTCGACTTGCAGAGAATGGTTTAGTACAATGGTTGCTAGTACTGGATGGCTGTCAGCATGTTATTAGGCCAGTTGGCTGCATAAAGCTCTACAACCTTTAGAAGAACCCACTGCCACCATCCAACAGATACATATGCTTCAGTGCACCTAACGCTATGCTGGATTGGGGTTAACATGTAGAACCAATGGGGGGGGGCTGAAGGATTGCCACTGACATATTTAGAAAGATCCAAGTATGCAAGAATTGTTGCTAGTACTGCACCATCCTCACCTTCAGTCTCAAAGTATTCACCTTTGTAATTTGCTTCAAAATATCAAGGACAATCAGTGCCTAAATTGCACTATGGCCAGCATACTCCCTTCTGGAAATGTTTTAAATAAGGGAAGATGGCACATGGGCAGTTGCTAGATCACAACAGCAACGAGACCAGGGGCAGCTAACTGGTGGCCTTCTAGATGATGCTGGACTCCAGCTCCTATTAGCCCCAAACAGCATGGCTAATGGTCAGAAGTGATGGGAGTTGTGTTCCAGAAACAGGTTAATCACCCCTGCACTAGTCTCTCATTGGGTGCAGACTATGGCTTTCATAATTGTACCCCAAGTTTGGGGAAAAGGAAAGTATCTTATGGGCAATAGTGTATATATGCTTCTAATTATACATAACTCAACACAGGAGCTACTATAATAATCATAATAATTTATTATTTAGACCCCGCCCATCTGGCTGGGTTTCCCCAGCCACTCTGGGCGGTTCCCAACAGATTATTAAAAACACAAAAGCAAGACCAGGACAACACATTTAAGGGTGTAGGCATGGCTGTCCCAAATTAAGAACAGATCAGGGAAATTCACATCAATAACCCTCTTCCAAAAAGATTCCAGTTTCTACAAGTCTTAAAAATTTAATCTGAAAGTGGGGTTGCATGGTTGAACAGTTTTAGAGTTAAAAGAATTTCATATACTAGATCATACTCTGGTGCAGCTACATACCTCCTCCTTTCCAACTCCCAGTTTCACAGTTTTTTGCAAAGAAAGGAGAAAATTCATGTGTGTGGTGTTCACAGCTGACACAGGCCATGTATCTTCATACTAAGCTATCCTTGTACAAGTAGGGCATCTCCTAAAAGAGGCAGGTCTTAATAGCAATAACATTTAAAAAAGGAAAATAAATGGAAACTGCTAATTTTGGCAAACTAGCATCTTGAATAATTGCAAGGCGCACACACAACCAAGTATTAATTGTAAAAAAACAGAAAAAATATTCCAACATTTGTGATGTTCCACACAGCAGTTTTTCTAAACATTTCTGGCATTTGTAAACAGTTGCACTAAGTCATTTGGTTAAATTTATGAAACTGATCATTTGATATATAATTTGAGTTTTATTTTCAAATAATAATTTGATAAATGTGCCAATTCATTAGTGATTAAGTCAGCACCATAATTCTTCAGCAGGCAATCGCTTGGTGCAAATGCTTCATATTATGCAAATCAAGATCTGGATTTATTTTATTTGGGGGCAGCCCTTTTTTGGTGACCTTAAAATTAGCTAAAAGAAAAGGAAGTTTAAAACAGGATTTAAAAAAATTAACACAATAGCACAATTCTAACCATATCCAATTTTGGATAACGTACAGCACCTGTTCATATAGAATATGTGGGTTAAGAAGAGATCAGATGGGTACATGGATACAGCTATCAATAATTCCTAGATGGTAGCAGTATTTTTACAATCATGTCATGATCAGGGGAATTGCTGCTGGACGAATAGAACCATCTATCAATAACCTACCCATACACCATACAAGTATGTACGCAAGCATAGTTTGAACTGGAGGCATGCAAGGTAAGAGTCCTTTGTGAAATAGCTCTTAAAAAGTGACCCCAGCATATGCACTCAGCTTATGCTAAACGAAGCAAATAGTTCTCATGTATAAGGACTTCGATCTTCATGCTTCAGAAGGTAAGATCTTGCACACATTTCAGTTCAAACCAAGCACAACAGATCAAGTAGGAATTCTGCTTCTTAGGTATTCAAGCACAGCAGCTGTCCCCTTGGCAAGAATAGCAGCTCGAGGAGTCCGAAAAGGATTGCCTTCCAGCAAAAGTGTCCTAACGGAAGGACCAAAAACCAGTTAAGACTACTGTATGTGTGTGCACGCATGTACATGCATACACACAATCGTCATTCATAAATGAGAAAATCTTATCACTTTTATTTTATCGTGTCATTTCTTTAAAAATGGAAGTCAGCAATGTCTCTACTCCAGCCTAGTGCCCTCCAAATGTTTTAGACCAACTCCCATCAGCCTCAATCAGCATGGCTAATTGTCAGGAATTATGGGAATTGTGTCCCACACATCTGGAGGGCATGAGGCTGAGGAAGCCTTCTCTACTCATTTACCGTATTGGCCCAAATATAAGCGGCACTTCCCTGCCCCCCAAATTCCGACTGTGAAAGTTAAAGTGCAGCTTATATTCACGACCTTACAAAAATTGGCTTTTACGATACTGCTGCTGAAACAGACATACGGTAAAACGCAACAAAAAAAATGTTTTATTGCCGATTTGAGAGCTTGAGTCGCTGCGGAATTGTAGCAATTGAATAGCGATTTGCGATTTGAGCGATTGTACGGTAACTTTTGCGGGCTTGCAAGATCAAAGACTTAAATTGGCTTGGAGTTACAATTCTACCAACTGCAGCAATTTTCAGCCTGTAACCCAGTTTTAAGGGAACGGCTTATATTCGAGTATCGTCTTTGTGAGAGATTGAATAGAAACACTAATCTAGTGTGCTGTTGAACTTTTAAACAGATGAAGTGATAATAATATTTTGCCCTGAATAAGTCCAGTTGTGGTTGAAAGATGGCAAATAAACCGTATTGGCCCGAATATAAGCTGCACCCGCAGATAAGCCGCACCTTTAAAATTCAAGGGGGAAAAGACAACACTCTCTTTCTTAAACAGTCACTTGGGAAATGTTTTTCTTACATTTCTACATTTTTCTTATTCAGACCTTTGTAGATGGAATTCATTGAATTTGAAACCAGCTTAAAATTCTAGTGTTATTGTAAATCCTGAACCTGGTTGGGGGAATGCATGCTGCAGATATACATGATCCCCTGACTCAATATTGATCCCTTAATTGGGACCGAGGGATCAGGAGAATACATCTCAATCAATTCTCCCTGTCTGCATCAGACCACATTATTCTTTTATTCAACAGTTGAGCCACTTCACCACTCACTGATTTATGCATAAAATTCCAGCATTGCACCTTGAAAAGAAAACTGCATCACCATCTATTTAGGACCATCAGTTAGGATAAGCAGTTTTGCAAACAGGGTTCTCCTGTGCTCCTTACATGTTGACTGAGCTTATTTGAACATGGGCTTTCTAACAAATCTCGTTTGTGGAATTCTATCCCATACAGGGTTAGGAAAACTATCCATTCAAATATTCAGTTATATTCTACCCATGCTTACTGAGTGTATACAATCCTGGGAAGCAGAATCTTGTTCAATTCAACCAATGTCTGAAAAGATCCAAAGAGTACACATTTTCAAAATTGTAACCTAATTCAAATAGTCAGATGACACAAAAATGAGATTGATTTCATTATGAACATTTGTACTGCTTTGTTTAGTCTTTCCTAGAATAAATATGAACATTTTCAACTAGAATATGCTGTATAGGAAAAAGTTATCCAAAATTCACGAAGTTAATCACCTGAGATTGACGCAGTTCCCAAGTTCTGGTGGTACTTGTAGGAGGTCATTATTTTGAAGATCTAGGGTACCAAGCCTGTCCAACTTCTTTATTTGCAGAGTGTCCAGGGATCCAACCTGATTATTAGCAAGGAGGATTGTTTCAAGAGTTGGAATATGATACAGCACATTTGGAAATATTTTAAATCTATGAAGAAAACCAGAGACACTTCATTAATATAATTATGAATAACCTACCCAAGAATATAATTTGTAAATACAACCAATGCACAAGTGACTTGAGTTTATTAGAAGCCTTTAGAGAACTAATTTACAAAACCAAGGGTTGGATTCAGATTAAGTTTTATTCTAGGCTTCATCAACAGGAGTATAGCATCCATATCAAGGGAAGTAATACCACTCTATTCTGCCTTGGTCAGACCACACCTGGAATACTGTGTGCACTTCTGGGCACCATAATCTAAGAAGGATGTTGACAAGCTAGAACATGTGCAGAGGGCAACCAAGATGATTAAGGGTCTGCAAATTAAGCCTTACAAGGAGTGCTTGAAGGAGCTGGATAGGTTTAGCCTGGAAAAGAAGAGACAGAGATATGATAGCCAGCTTAAAATATTTCATGAGCTGTCACATGGAGGAGGGAGCATGCTTGTTTTCTCCTGCTCTGGAGAGTAGGACTCAAACCAATGGCTTCAAGTTGCAAGAAAGGAGATTCTGACTAACACATTTGGAAAAACTTTCTGACAGTAAAAGCTGTTCGGCAGTGGAACAGACTACCATGAAAGGTGGTGGATTCTCCTTCCTTGGAGGTTTTTAAGCAGAGATTGGATGACCATTTGTCATGGATGCTTTAGCTGAGATTTCTGCATTGCAGGGGGTTGGAGTAGATGACCCTTGGGTCCCTTCCAACCGAAAAGATTCTGTAATTCTAAATTAGCCAATACTTAACCCTGTTGCTTTCAATGAAACTATGTGCAACCAACTAAAGTCTAGAACCAAGCCAGTATTTGGAGCTTCTAATTTTTCAGCTAATAATGGCTGACGTTCTTCATAGAGATGCTTCCTACTGAAAGTAACATGGTCCACTCAAGCCTTTGGCAGCCTTCTCCAGGAGTCATCCCTCTCACCAGACAACCTGCCTGAAGTTGGTGACAGTTGGCTCCTTTAGTTCTCTCCTCAAGTACTTTCCTTTACTTGCTCTTTTGTCTTTCCTATTGTGTATTTTGTGAGTTGGTGGGGGTGTTTTAACTGTGTTTCTTCCTCTCTATCCCTTTTGGTGTTGCTAAACTGAGGAGTTTTCCCGCCTTTTTCATTCCCTGCCTTCATGACAGTGCTAGAATTTCAGGCTCAAAATGTTTCTCTTTAGAGAGCTGACTCTCCCAAGGCATAAAAGGTCAGGGGAATGTTTCCAAGGCAACAGCACCTAGAGGGGCACAGTCAAATAAATGTATAAACACTAATTCCCTCAGTAACTTTTTCGTAAGGATTCAAAAGCACGCTTTTTCTTTCACTTAGGTATTTCCCCCTAGATGCATATATGTGGAAGGATTTATAAGGGTAACTGGTCCTTTTAAACAGTTACAGTTTTGAAATGAATGAATGAATGAGTTACCTTATGAGTCCATGAGGAGTTGGATGTGTCCTTGCAGAGGGTGGATTGGAATTACACTGCTGTATGAAATTACAAGATGGGCTTATCCTTTTTTCTAATTTCATGAGGCTTCACCCATAGCTATTGAAAATGCATAGATGCCTCTCTTTTTTCACCATTTTCAATTAATTGGCTTAAAGAACTCCAGTTTTCTGCACAATTATGTGCAACTTGGCTATGGCTTGCACCTGGTACAATCTCAGATGCTCATCTGTTTTTTCTGCCATCATCTTGACTGTTCAGGGTTGTTGGGAAAATAAAATGAGGAGTGGGGAAATCACATATACCATATTGTACTCCTTGGAGGAAAGGAGGGGTATAAATGTAATAATAAATAAAACCAAAATAAACACCCAACTGAATACTGAGCTCTGCAAAATAGCGTCTCTGTCAGAAACCATTTCTGTTTTCTTTCATATGATGTAGGAGTCAGGCCTTTAGAGTGACAGTGCTGACTCTTTGAAATTCCTTCCATTAAATAACAGACAGGAGCTATCGCCAGTGCTCCCCCCCCCCAGGGTACACAGGGTACCGTCAAGGGTACACAGTACCGTCAACTCTCTTTTTGTTGTTGTTAAAAAGTGAAGCACTTACTGCAACAACTTCATGGTGAGTACCAGCACCTCTTTTCTAGAAAAAAAGCATGGGCCATCGCTATTGTCTTTCTGGCACCTGTTGAAGACCTTCCTTTTAAGGAGGATATTTATTCCAATCTATATTTGTATTTGCTTTGACATGGTTTTCATTGTTGATGTTTTTATTGATAAAATCACTTCAGGAAGCAGTTCATTCATAAGAAAACAAAAACATCTGGAACGCCACAGGTTCCTCACACGTGACTTAAGCTGAAGTGACATAGAAGTTTCCTCTTCCAACAGGACACTGCTGAGGCAATCAGATTTTTTGAGTGAAGTTCTAAAAGCAGAAGCCTGCTGTAAATCCTAGGAATAGGGATATCCTGTAATACAACAAAGCTAAGACAAAAGACTAACTATGTATTTAGCAATTTTGGTAGAGTTATCTACAAGACCACTTACCTGTTAAAGGCAAGATTAATTATTTGCAGTTTTGTCAGTGCTTCCATTTCATCAGGCAGAGATGTCAAAAAGTTATTTCTAAGTTGAAAAAAGCAACCAAATAAACCAACTATTAATTTTTATTAAAAGATTTAGATTCATTTGCCTCAATAAGCAAGCAGAACTGTTGGTACCTATTCTATTGTGAATTCCCATGACAAAGTATCACTTGTGTATAGGAAATTATGTACCCTACATATAAATCAACATACATGATGAGTGCACATTAGTACCAGTAGAACCACCATGTTCAGGAACAATATGCTTTTGACTACCAGTTGCTGAGATCAGAGAAAATGGAGGGTTAAGACCCACTTGTGAGCTTCTGAAAAGCATCAAACTAAGCATCTGGAAAAAGAGTTATTTGCATATTACAGGTACAACACAACTTAACGTGTAACTTAACTTACACAACTGCAACTTTGTGCAGGGGGACGGGGGGGATAAATAAATGGAGAAGATCACTCACCATTTATTTATCCTCCACCAATAGCACAAAGCTGCTATTGTGGGCTTACTTGGCTTTGGGAAGGCAGTATGAGGGCTCTGGGCCAGAGCCCTCACACTGCCTTCCGAAAGCCTCACCGTAAGGCAGAACTTTCCAAACTGTGTCACGACACGTTAGTGTGTCAGCTGCAGTGTGTCAGTGTGTCGTGTGAACACTTCCTGTGCTCTTCCAGGGGCTGGAAAGGGGTTAGTTTAACCTCTGGTTTGTTAGTAAAACTTAATTACTGGATTGCAAAATGATGCATGTCTAAAAAGTGTGTCACCAATATGAAAAGTTTGGAAAGCTCTGCCATAAGGGCTCATAAGATACAAGTTACCTGTACTGAATGGAAGAAGTAGGGTATGGGTGAATGTAAAAAAGTTTAGCCTACTTTTTAGCTGCTGTTTTATTACCATTGCTTTATTGATTACAATAAATTATTATATAGTGTATTATTTGGTAGCAGACCCATTCAGGGGGCGGGCAGCAGATACACTTGCCCCAGGCCTCAGAGGGTTAAGCCAGCTGGGGGCCCCTGTCAGGGACCAGCTGCTTTTTATTTTTATTTTTTGAGTTTATAACTTTATTCTAACAAGACTCTGGTCTGGGCCTCAGACAAGCTCTGCATGGGCCTGCTTGATAGGGTAAGCTTTAATAGCTCAGGCACTGAAATGGTTGTGTTTGTGTTGTAACTGGGATGTTCTACTGTTATGTTCATTGCTGTTTGCAAGCTGCTCTGGGATTCACTTGAATACAAATACAGTGCAATTTTTTTAAAAAAAAACCATACCTACCTACATTGGCTAACATTCAACTGTCAACTGTCAGCATTAATCAAGTGGAAAATCCTTAAGGGAATCTACAAATTCCCTTCAAAAATGTTGTATAAACAAAGGTTTAAGTAATCACCTACCTAACATCCAAATGTGTCAGTCTGTGAAGCATACAGAGCTCCAGAGAAATAGACGAGAGCTTGTTGAAACCAAAATTGATATCAGAGACTGATTCTTTTAGTTCCACAATTCTGAAGCCCAGTTGTAAAAAAAAAGAAAAAAAGCAATTGATCTCATCAATTGTTTCGTGCTATTTCAAAAGATCAGATTAAACCGGATTGTATTCACCACTGTGTAACTTTCTATTAGTTTCTCTCAAACACTGGGACCCACCAATGGGCCCTAGGTCAGCTTTAGATAGGCCTCAGCCACAATATGAAAATACCTGCTTCCAGGTTCAAACTAACTCACTAAGTCTGAATTGGGAACTCTGCTTACTTTAAACCAGCGGTAGCTGATGTTGTGGGCCACAAGTCCCATCACCTCCAGCCAGCATGGCCAAGGATAATAAGAGTTCTAGTCCACAACATCTGTTGGGCATCTTGTTGGATTCCTCTTGTTTAAACTATGGTTTGTTAGAAGAAGCCAGTATCAGAAATCTTGGGCCACATTCACATGCAACTCTCAACCATGGTTTAAAACAATGTGGACACACCTGCACTCCACTCTTCACATCCCATGTGCCTAGGAGGATAATTTTGCCAAAGTGTACAATAGTTAATTTTTACAGAACCATGGCTTAGTTTTTATATATACAGTACAGTATATACATAGATACACACACACACACACGAATATCTATCTATCTATCTATCTATCTATCTATCTATCTATCTATCTATCTGGGTTGTTATAAAACTTAACAGAGTTTGTTTTAAATCAGACCCCTAGGCACTGGCGGAGGAAGAGGAATGTGGGGGGAGCGCCCCGCCCCCCAGAAGTGCGATCCCGGTGGGGTGCCATCATGGCTGCCCTCCCTGCGCAGGGCGCCCTGCCCCCAGGACGCGCATCATACCCCGCCTGCTCTCCGCCCCCTGATGCCAGAGCCTGAAGCTCCGCCACTGCCCCTACGTTCATATGTAGAGTTAAGCTGGGATTCTTTAAAAGTAAAAGTAAACTCTGCTGTAACTCTTCTCCCTTCACATAACACTCAACTATGGTTTAGTGTTGTGTACAAATCAGGTCACTTGTCTGTATATCTATTGTGATGATTTCCTAAATTCTGCTGTAGGCCAAACCTTGGTTTATTTGCTTTTAAGTTAACACCGCTCTGCCCTCCTCCACCCCAATGAAAGGTCTTACAATTATTATTATGGATTACTTAAATTTATATACTGCCCTTCATCTGAAGATCACAGGGTGGTTTACAACTTAAAAACAAATACATATCATAATAATAACAAAAACTTACCCCAATAACCCCCTCATAAATAGATTTAAAAGGCCATAGATTGCATAATCAGTGAAAGGCCTCATTATAGAGGAATGTTTTTGCCTGGTGCCTAAAGATATGTAGTGAAGGCACCAGGCCAGCCTCCCTGAGGAGAACATTCCACAAACAGGGAGCCATTGCAAAAAAAGACCCATTCTCATGTTTCCATCCTCTAGACATCTTGAGGAGAGGGCACATGAAGAAGTACAACACCCCCACTACCAAAAAGTACAGTCGTGTATGTGATTGCACTCCAGTCCCCCCCCATACCATCTCAAAAAGGTTTAATTAATATTTCTCTAGGAGAAACAGTACCTTATTGGAATTTCAGTCAGCTGATTCTTGCTGAAATTTACAGTAGTGACTGGATTGGTTCCAACTGCATTCAGCACTTCATCTGGAATTACAGCTGCCTGTTTTTCACTGGAAAATATTTATTTAAAAAGTCATATTATTTAATAGAAGGATAACAACATTATCAATTGGCCAGAACTCCAATAGGAAAGGCACTGTACATTTAAGAGTCAGGTTGCAAAATGAATTATATTGTACTCAAATATCAAAATAAAACATGGTTAGGAAGCCAGATCCCAGTATCCTAAGGAGACACTTTTAAAAAAAGGAAAGATGCATTAGAGTTTTTATAATCTTTGCAACTCCAGCTAAAAAACGTCAACAATACTAATCCAAAGACACTTTTAGAATGAAATCCTGTGCATAGGTAGTACTGTCTGGTTTGTTACTGATCTTACGTAAGCCATTCTGAGAGCCTTTTAAACTTAATAGTGCAGTACCTGATTGGGAATGTTTGGGTGCATCTGTGAAGCCAATCTCTCCTCCACCTAGATACAGTGGTACCTCTGATTACGTACTTAATTCATTCCGGAGGTCCGTACTTAAGCTGAAACTGTTCTTAACCTGAAGCACCACTTTAGCTAATGGGGCCTCCCGCTGCCGCCGCGCCTCTGGAACATGATTTCTGTTCTCATCCTGAAGCAAAGTTCTTAACCTGAGATACTATTTCTGGGTTAGTGGAGTCTGTAGCCTGAAGCGTATGTAACCTGACACGTATGTAACCCAAGGTACCACTGTACCCCTGGAAAGTGCTGCTGCTGCTGGGAAGCTAGCACTGTGGCTCCACCCCACTAAGTGAGCCACTTCTGACTTATTTAACAAAATTTATATACCGCCTGTTTGTAAGGAAACAGCTAAGCAGTTTACAAGAATATAAAATATTAGAAGTTTCAATAAAGAAGTTAAAAACAGGTATTTTTTGTGGCGTTTTCTTTCACTCATGATTAAGGGGTGGCCTCATTAAAACTGCACCAGTGCCATTTGCTCTATCAAGGATGCATCACATGGTATCCAACGAAGTAGTTCTGTAAGCACAAGGACTTCTGTCTGCACAGTGTAAGTTCCCCTCCCTCTCCCCAGGCACCCTCTAAATCTGTTCTGGAGGTACCCCAAAACCATTTGGAGCAGATCTGGAGAGGGCACAGAGGGGGAAAGAGGGAAGTTCCATTGTGTAAATGAAAACAGAACAACTTTGTTGGATTCTGCCCATTATATTTGTTTTTATTTACTGTATTGGCTCGAATATAAGCCACACCCAAATATAAGCCGAACCTTTAAAATTCATGGGGGGCGGGAGAGAAACAATACCCAAATATAAGCTGCTCCCTTAAAATTCCACTGGCACTCACACCTGTTCCATTTTACCATATGTCTGTTTCAGCAGTGATATCGTAAAAGCCAATTTTTGTAAGTTCGTGAATTTAAGCCACACTTTAACTTTTCACGGTCGGAATTTGGGGGGAAAGTGAGGCTTATATTCAAGCCAATACGGTATATGTATAGAGCTGATAAGCTTAAAATTCTCTTACCTATAGTCCAATGTTTTTAATGCAGTTATAGCATGCAGATTAATTTTTGACTGACTTGGCAAAGTCATTGCTGTCACAGGAAATTCTCCATTTGGACCAATTATGTCATCATCTAAAGAAAGCAAAAGGAAGTATATACGTTTAATATTTTACAAACATGAGAATCTGCAAAAATCTGAAGATTTTTAAAAATGTAGCCAAGTAGTTAAGATGATTTTTCATTTCAATTTTACCCACTTTGGAGTCTGAACATCATCAAAGTAAGTTTTCACAGCAGATGAAGTTTGCTTCATTCAGACACAACGATAATTAAAGACGACTTTGTTCAAAATATTTCATACAATGGATCTAGAAGACTCTCAGGCTTGTTCTTTGGAAAGTCTGAAAAGGCTGGGAATATCAATATTTCTTCCAAGTGTAAGAATGTATTTTGGACTGCAGTTTTATCCACTTCTATCTGTATCAGTGACGTAGGGCAAAGAACTTTGTATTCCTTAACTACCGTATTTTTCGCCCCATAGGAGGCACTTTTCCCCCTTCAAAAATGAAGGGGAAATGTGTATGCGTCCTATGGGGCGAATGCAGGCTTCACGCAGATCTCCGCAAGCCGTGGGAGCCCACGCTGGGCTTCCCCCGCCCCAGCCCCACGCCTGGGGGGGAAATAATTCCCCCCCTTTATTTCCCCCCCAAAAAACTGGGTGCGCCTTATGGGACGGTGCGTCCTATAGGGCAAAAAATACGGTATATCAAGACCAATGGAGCAAGTGGCTTTAAGTGAACCATTTTTGGATTGCATTTGTAAGTATCTTGTGGTCAATCTGTTCAAGTGTTGCCAAATGTCAAAGAACTGTACAGGGTGTTACAGGAAAATAACTTGGTGATTGTATAGCCTAAAAACTTGGCTGCAATACATTTTTAATTTATTTAAGAGGAAGCTATACAAATGACACAGAGAAAATGCTCTGATCACATGTGGCTGATACAGTTCCCAATCAATTTTGGAACATGTCTTAAAAAACCTGACTATGAAATATACTGGCAGTTAAGTCTGTATAGTAACCCAGGTTCATTAGTTCTACCATCTAACTTTTACAGTGGTACCTCGGGTTAAGTACTTAATTCATTCCAGAGGTCCGTTCTTAACCTGAAACTGTTTTTAACCTGAAGCACCACTTTAGCTAATGGGGCCTCCTGCTGCCGCCGCACCGCCAGAGCACAATTTCTGTTCTCATCCTGAAGCAAAGTTCTTAACCCAAGGTACTGTTTCTGGGTTAGTGGAGTCTGTAACCTGAAGCGTATGTAACCCAAGGTACCACTGTATACATACAAAATATAGCTAAGGAATTATTTTCAAATTATATCAGAGCCAGACCTTTCAAGTGCCATCACCAGTTAGTTATTACACACTAGTCTCGAAATCCTCTGGCACAAATAGTTAAGATTCATTCTCTCTTTCTCAATGTATTTATGTTTAGATACATAAATTTACGTTTAAATAGAACACCAAGGGAGAAAGCAGCCTTAGTGCTCAAGCATGAACACATTTACTTGCAAGTATGCCCTTCATCTGAAATCAATAAAACATTTTCAAATGCTTTTAAGCATGCTTGTAAGCATGTGTACAAAATTAAGTATGTGGCTATTTCCTTATTAAGTAAAGGAACACAAGGAAGTTATCAGCTTCAGTCAGAAATGTCATTCTTAATTCCAAGTTACCCAGTCATCTAAGCCTACTTATTGCGGTTTAATATCATTTGGATTATAAATCTTAGTAACACAAAAAATACTGGTGAATGTATTTTGGGAGGGTATAATTTATAACTTCCCAGTGTTCTTCAATACTGAAGTCATGTGTGACAATCCAGAGAGTGACCTTAAGCATATCCACAACTTATATTTTTGCCTTTTTTCCTTGGAAAAGCAAACTATTGTACGTATCACAAACTGCTGCAAAAATTTCCTCTAGATTCTAAGGCAGTTTGCTATGTAGTGCAGGGGACTGTCATGCTCAACATTCAGAGCTAGCTGTAGGAAATGTAGCAATTGCTATCTTTGCATCTTCCACCTCCATGTCCATTTTAAAGAAATAGAGTGGTACCTTGGGCTTACAAACTTAATCTGTTCCGGTTTAAGTCCATTCTTAAACCAAAGCGTTTTTAAACCAAGGCGTACTTTCCCATAGCAGTGGGGGATTTACAAATGGAACACACTCAACAGGAGTGTGTTTTCCAAGAACTTTCCAAGGTAAAGTTCACAAACCAAAACTCTTCCGGGTTTGCAGCTTAATCCAACTTGTTCATAAACTAAGCAGTTCTTAAATCAAGGTACCACTGTAGTAAACTATTAAGCTGGTATCTAGTCAACAAGTGATTCCTCTGGACATTGTTTCCCACTGTTCTATTAACACTGAGCAAGAGTTTTCAATTTATTTATGTAAGAATTTATTTATATAAGAATTTATATCACAAGGGATGTACTTCATTCTGATACATACTAGAAACTATCTCTTATGTGGGACTTGGAAAAGAGAAAAGATATGCAACCAGGTGTGAACAAATAGATTTCTAGACATAACAAGATCATGAAGAGTTAATCTAGCTAGTCCAAGAGTTGATTTAACTGTAACCTTATCCTCACAAAGAAAACTTTTACCTTGTATTTTACTTCTAAGGTATTTCAGAATTTCTTGCGTCCCTTTCTGAAATGGAAGAATAAAAGCACAAAAAGCTTGTCAACCACTTGCATCTTTTGAATCTTAAGGGGTAGAAACAACTCAAGACAGTATGTAAATTATGCTCTTACTTGTACAACATCCCTTCGGATTGTCCTTAAAGGGTTTCCTTCCAGCCCCAAGAACTTCAGTTGAGACAGGTTTCCTAGCTTGGAAGGAAGGCTGCAGAGAGAAGAATTCTCTTTATAAACAACCTCAAAGCCAGAAGATGGAAGCAATGCTCAGTTCAGTTATTCAGGCTTGGATCCAAACTACCATATTTTTCACTCCATAAGACGCACCTGACAATAAGGCGCACCTAGTTTTTAGAGGGGGAAAGCAAGGGGGAAAATATTATTTAAAGGGAGCGCTGAACAGAGCCTGTATGCATCCCAGGCTCTGCTCAGCGCTCCCTTTCACGAGCTGCGTGGAGCATGTGTGCGGCACTTGCAGGCTTTTCCCCGAGGAGGGAGAAGGGCAGCCCATCACTCAGAGAAAAGCCCCCAAGAGCCACACACACACTCCGTGCGGCTCTTTAAAGGGAGTGCGGCTCTTGGGGGCTTTTGCGGGAGGTGGGGAAAGTGACAGAGCGCGCGGCTCTGTCACTTCCCCCACCTCCCGCAATAGCCGCACGCTCTTTAAAGGGAGTGCGGCTATCCCTGGCTCCCTGGATGAAGGCACCCTGCTGCCCTGCGGAGGCTTTGCACAGCTAAGCTAGAAGCCAGAAAAGCGAGAGGGATCGCTGCGCAGCTGTTCTGTCTTCTGGCTTAGCTGCGCAGCCTGCATTCGCTCCATAAGACGCACACACATTTCCCCTTACTTTTTTGGAGGGAAAAAGTGTGTCTTATAGAGTGAAAAATACGGTAAGTGCAAACAGTCACAAGCTCCTTCTATTCACTGATAAGGAAATATCCAGTTGAGAATCCCCCGGCAGAAGGGATGGGAGAGGCAATTTTCACAGGTACCTCCATGCCACTTCTCCTGCTGGTCTGAATGATTTCCCCAATCATCCAGAGCAGAATTTCATGTGGACACTGCTCTTGTGGGTACACAGAAATCAGTGAAAGATCCCCCCACTTTTGCTGATGGGAGCACTCTATTAGCGGAACTTTCACCACTGGTTAAGATCCAAGCCCCTGCATTATGAACCTTGTTAATTAGAGCATTATTCATGGTTCAATATTACTTTACCAATTAATAATAATGTATTTCAAGAAACAGTATGGTTTGAGCATTTGCTTTTAAATTCAGTAACAGTGTAAACTTGCTCCAAACTAAGGAAGACAACTAATTATTATTATTTCTACCTCGCCCATTTGGCTGGGTTTCCCCAGTCACTCTAAACAATGCCCATAGTCTTACCTACTAATATCATTGTTGGATAGGTCTAGTCGCTCTAACCCCTGTAACAGGGTTATTTCATCAGGCAGCGATTTTAGCTTATTATCTCTTAGTTCCAATACACACAAAGAATTCAGATGTTTCAGATGGTCAGGTTTTAACACTTCAATCTGATTTTCACCAACATGCAACTCCTAGAAGAATTTTAAAAATGAATAAATCACATAATCTATCAATTCTGTATCAAGGTTAATCTATAACATAGGATGCAAGAGTCATATTTTTACATATTTATTGAATTTAGAGTTTTTTAAGCAGATAGTCTACAGCACGCACGTCAAACTCCCTAGAGACTGCGATCTACTCCCAGTATAAAACAACTGACAGTGATCTACCCATTGTCAGTGGGGGGAGGGCCCAAATTTGTTGAGCTTTTTTTTAGGTGAGACTACAGTTGCTCTGCTAATAACAAGCAGGAGCAGCAATACTTTCCGACAACAGTGGGGGCAGAGCCAGCGATCATAAGGGAGCCCACGGTCGACCACAATCAACAGCGATCATTCAGGTATCAACCTGTCGATTGCGATCAACCTGTTGGACATATAGCTGGCCTATAGTTAGCTTGTAGAAACTTAAGTCATTAGAGTTGCTATATTATTCTCTTACTAAACTGCACAGAACTCAGCCAGAGTGACTTCTGCATTGGATTGGCCCTCACCAGCCTTATTAAAATCTGGATAGAATTAGTTTTCATTTGAAAAATGTTCCATCCACACTTGAACAAAAGCTTTATGTGCATGTGTCACTAGGATGCCCCTCTCTTTGAAGAAAATGCTGCCTGAAAGCACCATGTTAATTGTTAAATGCAATGTAACCCTAGCATCACAAGACAAAATAAAGCTTAGAATCCAATTTCAGAAGCTAGCTGCATTAACTTGACCACTTTTATTTCAGTTTCACCAACATAAAGATTAACTTATCCTTAATTGCAACAGGCTTCAGAAAAGAAAAGATTCAATACTACAATCTATACACACACAGGCATCAAACATACTGAGAATAAATCTGTTTTAAAAGATGTCTTTATTGGAGTTTACATATTTTAGGTAATATGTACTGAGAATAAACCTTACCTTTAAAAATTTACATGAAGGAAGGTCTGGCAGGTAACACAATTTATTTCTCCTTAGATAAAGCTGCTCTAATGATACCATATTGGCCACTTCAGGAGGTATTGTTTCCAGATAGTTTTTTGAACAATCAAGCTGTCTCAGACCTATAGAAAGGAACATAAGAATAGCTCTGCTGGATCAGGCCTTAGGCCCATTTCATTTAACATCTTGTCCTCACAACAGCCTACCAAAATGCCAAATGGAGAAACAAGTGGAAACATTAGAATTAAAAAATAGGGTGGCTTAAATACAAGCACCACACAAGAATATTTTTTTATTATACTTCTGAAAGAGGCTTCAAATATTTGCCAGCCAAGCCAAATATTAATTAATGCAAAGGCTGTAGAATATATTGCTGGATTTTTAAGTTATACCTACATTAGAATCTTCAGAATTCTTAGTTAAGAGCTATGCCACTTGGGAATAAAAGACAATGACTCACGGCTGAGGAAAACCCTCTTGTGTAGGCAAGAAGGCACTTCCGCTTACAAGGCAGAGTTGCCCCTTTTCCCTCTGTGAGTTTTCACACTGTTTCACACACTGTCTCAGAGGGTCCCAACGATAAGGAATGACTTTTCAGAGGGCTTGGTAGTCTGCAGTGTGAATGGTGAGTGGGAAAGCCCTGTTACATGAGCAGAACTCTGCTCATGTTTCTTTCAGTCCAGACCATTATTTATAGCTGTACAAAGACACATAGCTGTTAACACATTTCTGAATACATGCTGCCCCACATTTGCCAAGGAAAACTATTGCTTTCTGCTGTGAATAGCTTACATTGCATGCAGATTACAATGCAGAGGCACTTTACATATAAGCGTCTTCTCATAAATTGTCACAGGAAAGTCTTACTGCACTGTGAAGACCAGTTCTGCTGGACTACCAAGTTCTGGTTAAAATTGGGTGCCACACTTTCTCAACTACATCAGTGGTTCTCAATCTCTTTCCCCCATGGACCACTTGAAAACTGTTGAGGGTCTTTGCCGACCACTTAATGATTTATCTGCCTATTGTAGCAATGGTATGCACAGTGCTAGATGTTGTGTGGTTGTTGTTGTTTTGATGTTTTATATATATATTTACTCTATTTTTATAGGCACACTATGGGCCACCTGAATGAAACTAGTGATCCACAGACCAGTTTGGGAACCACTGATGTACATGAACATAAAATTCCTTAGAGAAGAGTGATTGCAATGTACTTTTAAAATGAAGTTTCATTAAACCCCTACTACCAGGAAAATAAGACAACAAAAAGATTCCAGTCAAGTCATAATTCAAGGCTTCCTTACTTTTCATTGCACTGATTTCTGCTGGCAGGCTCTTCAAATGATTACAAGTCAAATTGAGCCTCACCAAATTTGTTAGAAAACGAAAACTTGTTGGGATACTAGAAATACGGTTGTTGGAAATATCCTAAAGAAAGCGGAAAATAAAAAATTATGTTATGGTTTAGAATGGCTACGTAAGAAAATTGTGGTGAATAAGCCAAGTAGTATGGGTTCAGCACTAAGTATGAAAACATGGCAGTTATTAGTCAGCACTTGCAGTATTTCCACCCTGGTTCTTTTTCAAATGAAGTCCAAGAATTTCTTGTTTGGCATGGCCAGAATGCAGTAGTTCCAATGTCAAAGGGATTATAAAATAGCAATATGAATGGCTAGCAGCAATGAATGGAATATTCACTTGGTAGACTGAAGACAGTCATAAGCCTCATCATAGAAATACATTGTTTGAAATAAATATGATTTACTGTGTGTGAGCAGCTTTCTCAAATATGATGGACAATTTTTATACCTGCTTACAAGTACAGTCTGAAATATCGGTAGCTTTTCAGTTTAGGAAAAAGACAACAGGGGAAGGGACAGAAAAATGATAAACTGGAAATAGTATGGAAAAAATGGATTACATTTTCTCCCTCTCTAATTATGCTAGAACTAGTGGTCTTACCCAAGAAAACTGACCAACTGAAGATTCTGGGCAGACAGAATAAAGTACTTTGCAAAACATGCATCATGAATTGGAATTCACTGCTACACAATAAGGTGACTGCCACACTCAGGTATCTTTAAAAGAGGGTAAGTCTATTATTGGTTATTAACTGCGATAGCTATATGGATCCTTGATGTTCTCAGGTAACAAATCTATTAATAAAAGCTGCAAGGTGTGGGGAGATGGAGACAAGAGAGAATGGCTGTTGCCTTTCTAGTGAACTTCTGGGAAGAATCCCATTGGCCAGAGTTGAAAACAGAAATGTTGGCCTTATGAAAGAGAAGTCGAATTTTCAACACATCCCATGAGACTTCTGATGGAGATAATTTTTTTTAAATTAAAAAACCCCCACACATAATCAATCAGCTTAATTTTAAATGAATCAGATACAGTAAAATAAAAGATTTAACAAATCATACAATTTTTGCAAGCAGTGTCATACATAGAATTTAAATGCTTTCGTAGCAAAACTGTCAAACAAGTACCAAATGACTATTAATACGGGGCTGGTAAATCAAAGGTAAGAATTTTAAAGAACAGTACCCCTTCAAGAGTTATGCAAGTAATGAACTAATATTAGTAACCAAAACATCACCAGAATCATCATAAAAGCCTTCTCTACTTACCAACTCTTCCAAACTAATAAGCTTTCCAAATTCATCAGGCAACTGATTTAATTCATTGTGCTGCAGAAGCAGACTTCTTAAATGTTTTAGTTGGATAAGCTCCTCCGGTATATCTTTTAGTCTATTATGGCTGTTGATAAAATAAAAATTATGAAGAAACGCATTCGTAAAGAGGGAAAGGGACCCCTGACCATTAGGTCCAGTCATGGCCGACTCTGGGGTTGCGGCGCTCATCTCGCTTTATTGGCCAAGGGAGCCGACGTACAACTTCCGGGTCATGTGGCCAGCATGACAAACCAGAGCAGCGCACGGAAAAGACGTTCACCTTCCCACCAGAGTGGTACCTATTTATCTACTTGCCCTCTGACGTGCTTTCGAACTGCTAGGTTGGCAGGAGCAGGGAACGAGCAACGGGAGCTCACCCCGTCGCAGGGATTCGAACCGCCGACCTTCTGATCGGCAAGTCCTAGTCTCTGTGGTTTAACCCACAGCACTACCCGCATCCCAATGCATCAGTACTTTGTTCTAAAACAATCTTGCCTGTTAATTTACAAATGTTACATGTCCACAAGAACCTACTATCTACACATAACTAAAAACTAATGTACTTAAACTTTCCTCACCTCAATCTTCACTTTAAAGATCTTTAAACTTTTTCCATTCCTTAAACATGTTCTGTGTACAAAGTTTGTACAATATATTTACCTCACATTAAGTTTCTGGAGATTTTCCAGTGTTCCTATAGCAGAAGGAAGAGATGTCAGTTGATTATCATGCACCTAAAAATAAAAAGAAATTGTCAGCACTTTTACTTACTTCAAAAAAGTAAGAAATCAATTGCTCCCTGTACCAAACAGTTTAGGATCCAAGCATTACCATCAGCCACTACATTACATTCTGAACTATGTCTGAAAATATGGTGATAAATAACAAAGCTCTTTAAATCTTTCCAGTTTTTATTTAACACATTGTTAGAGTGTGTTTATTTATTTTACTTATTTCGTAAAATTTTTATACTACTTGATTGCATGAACACAAAAATGTATCTTTAACGTAAGATCTATGCATATCCCTGAAGATTACGAAACACAACAAAGCTCTTACAGAATGAAAGAGGCCTATTTCCCTCACTTTTCATCATCAAAATATGAATATGAAAGCAACATTAATCAAAAATACTGTACTCACATCCAATACAGTGAGAGCAGGCAACAGTCTTAGATCATCAGAAAGACACTGCAGTTTGTTCGAAGATAATATTAGTTTGGTGAGATCAGTTTGCTCCCACCACCGTTCATCAGCACTAAAGGAGAGGTTTTGCTTCGCCTCTTCTGGAGTATCCAAGTTTATTCGCCATACGTGTGGAGGGACTGGAGACAGAAAAATGAACACAAGAAAAGCCCTTCTGGATTAGACCTATGGCTCACCTAGTGCAGCATCCTGTTCTCTGTGGTCGACCAGCAACCTATGGGAATCCCACAAGAAGTCACCATTTGCAACTTCCAGCAACTGCCTCTGGAGGTAAGTAGGCAGTCACCAGAGCCAGTAGCCACTGACAGTCCATGAATTTGCCCAACCATCTTTTAAGACAACCTGAGATGAAGCAGAAATGGTTGTATTCAACCCCCCCCCTCAAATGAAACCCACCAAAATCAATCAACCTCGTGTTAGTTAACTTCAGTGCTCCTATTCCGAATAGGGCTGGCGCTGGATGCAACCCAAGCTCTCCTCTTCCCTTCGCCCAGGCTTAAGAAATAATAAGCGGGTTCTTCCCCCAGTTGCCGACCTCCATCCAGCCCCCCACAGGAAAGGCACATTATAAAACTTCAGAGGGATAATAAAATGATGGCCAATGCCCATTCAAATGCCCCCAAACTGTGGTAGACAAGAGGGAGTGGAGCAAAAAATAAAGAGACCAAAGATACAGAATGTCTGTGGAAGAGGGGAGACCCTTTTCGGACTGTCTGAGAAAATATTATGGTCAAATGAAATCGCAGGCAGGATTTGAAATATAAGCAAAGGAAGGAGAATAATAATAGTCACCTTTATTATTTATTTGTACCCCATACAAATACTATAGACAAATGAAATCGCAGGCTGGGTTTGAAATATAAAAAGGAGAATAATACTTATTTGTACCCGATACAAATATCTGACTAGATATAATGAATTTAATACAAATTATATGTTTTAGGGGGGGGAAGTATTTAAGGCAGTAGATAAAAGATTTGAATGGCAACCTCACAGAAGGGTAGGGAGTCAAAATGTCAAGAGAACACTGTATTGAAATTGAACTGCATTTGTTAAATTGTGTGGATTTTTTTTAAAAAAAATATTATTTATTATAATTATTATTATTATTAAAAGAGGGAATGAAGCCGCCCTCAGCTCAGCACACGCCCCTGGAGTCCTCGGGCCCCAACCAGCGCTCTTTCCTCAGGAATAAAGCGGGAAGCAGCCGGGCGCGACCTGAGAGGAAGACGCGGCCTCCGCGGCCGACAGGTGGGGACCGTCCGGTCTCCTCAGGAAAGGCAGCGCAGCGGAGGCAGCCGCGGCCTCGGCCCGCGGAGACGGGGGAATCCAAGCGGCGGCCCCGCTCACCTTCGGTCAGCCCGCGGCCAGAGAGGTTCAACTGGCCGCTCTTCCGCGCCGTCCGGATCAGCCCCTGGGGCACCGCCGCAACGCCGTCGCCCGCGCCCCGCCTGAAGCCGGCGAGAGAATCTCCCGCGCCTCTTCTTCGCGCCCTGGACATGGTCTCCGCCGACCCGCTCGGTTGCCCGCACCGGCTAAGCCCTCGGAGCGCGGCGCAAAGCCGGGTTGAAACGCGGGCCCACCCGTCTTTCCTCGCGTCGTAGGCGGTTGGCGCCTCCTCTTCCGCGCGGGGAGGGGAGCCGCCCCAGAGGAAAGTCCTGACTGAGCTCCCGTCAGAGCTTTAGCTGAGCCGGGACTTGCTTTTTTATTTTAACCGGGAAGCACAGCAAGATGGCTATAGAGTATATGTCGGCGGCTTTTCTCCCTGAAAGTATGCACGCTGAAGTCATAAATAAGAAGAGCCTGTGTAGTTGGTGGACTGAGTAGCAGAACTCACTGAGCCGCCCCATTGAATGGACCTTGGGCAAAATGAAGTGCAAGATGCAAATTTAGTATCTATAGACGAAGGTCTCCCAAGCCTAAGGTGCGACTCCCAGGCAGGCATCGCCTCAGCTTTTTACAAATGAAACGCTGTTTATTCCGCTCACCATTTCCTAAGAGACTGTTCTGAGCCTGTGGAAGAGTTCTGATATACAAGTCGTGTTATAAACGAAATTCCGACTCTAGGAATAACTTTATACAAGAGCAACTCAGGCTAGCATCTGACGAAGTAAGACTGTAGTCCACAAGGTGCGGACATTGGGTTGCACCATTATTTATTTATTGCCAGTTTCGATAAGCATCGGATTATTTTTTTTACAATCCCAGTGTGGGAAACAAAGTAATAACAAGGGAGCAAAACGAGATACAAACATTGCAAAAATGATATAAACAGGTCCGACGAACAACTCAACATGTCTATTACCAGGTTAAACAAGCAAGCTATAGCAAAAAAATTGCTATTGCCAATTTAACCAAAACACCCAGGTATAAAGAAATCATTCAAACTGAATAAACAACCAATGGTCTTAGCAAACCCCTCTCTCACAGAGGGCCCCACTCCGTGCAAAAAAACTCTCTCTGTGGCTTTTGAGTTAATTTAGCATGTATCTTCCCCCTACCCTTAATGAATACTCAGTCCAACTTTCTGTCTAATGGCTGCTAAACAATCCAAGGAGCTTGTAATTCGAATGGACCCTGCTTCAAATTAAGCACACAGAGAGATAAACAGACAGAGAGAGATAAGACTTGTTCACTCCACTTAGCCCTGTCCAAAAGCTAAGGCAGCTCACAACCCCAGCGCTAAGTAGCTGCCTTAGCAAATAGCAAAGCGTTCAACGCGACACGCCTCCGCAGAAAGTGCGATTACCGCTTCGAAACCAAAGGCACATCCGAGGCATGCGCAACAAAGTGTTCTATGGAACCCACACACACGCGCGCGCCGCGCAAAGAATCAGCGGGAGTGGGCATGCGCAGGACGCTAGTTCTGCGTGTCTACCGCGGCTGGGCGGCTTGCTTTGAGCAGGCGCAGGACTGAAAAGGCTCTTGCGCCGAGGAGGCGCGGGGTAGAGCCGCGGAGGATTGTGGGATATTGCGGCCCAGGCTGGTTGGTGGCGAAACGATCGCTCGGCGGCGGTTAGTTGCGTGCGTGACGGGACTGCGATAGCTCGACGGGAAGCGCTGAGGGACACAAGGAGGAGGCCACCGTCCGGTTCTCCAGGGTCGTGGCGACCCCCTCTCCCCTCGATGTGTTTGTAGTGACGGGGGCAGGAGGAGGAGGTAGCGCGATGGCTTCAAGCAGCGGCACCGACGTGATCCAGGTCACCAACGTCTCCCCGAGCGCCAGCTCCGAACAGATGCGGACTCTCTTCGGCTTCCTGGGCAAGATCGAGGAGCTGCGCCTCTTCCCTCCCGAGTGAGTCCCGCGCTTATGGCCGCCGCAGTCGCGCCTCATACAGGCCTAGGCCGCAGGGTGGCCTAGTGGAGGCCGCGGAGCCTCGCGCTCGGCTGCTTCCGAGCGCGGCGCGCCTACCAGGCCCAAATTGGTGGGGGCGACGACGGAGGAGGAGGAGCAGCTGGGCGCGAGGTTGCGAAGGCCGCCATTCTCAAAGCCATGGTCTCGCCTCACCATCTTGCGCTGGTGGAACTACAGTTGCTCCCCCCCCCCCCCGCCATTACACTTCTCTTCAGGGGGCGAAAGCGACGCCATTAGTCGCTTCGCGTTCCTTTCCCCAGCCGCGTCTTTGAGACGTAATTTAAAGCCGGGCTTGAAGCAGGTAGAAGAGGGTATCGTGGCGAGTACTTCGCCGTGGACCTGCAAGGGTTTCTTAACTCCCAAGTTGTTTAAAAGGAAAGGAACAATGGAGTGACTTCTGCCACCACAGTTAAGCTGGCGAAATGAAGAGAAGTTAATCTATAGTGGACTTTGCTGTGTGTAAGGACCGTGCGCTCAACTTCGTTCAGTTTAGGATGTGCTCAAAGAGGGTCGCCCCCGCTCGTTTGTAATTGTGCCCAAGCTCCGTGTTTTTTGGTTTTTTTCCTGAGCCAAGTGACTGAAAATGCTGAAATCAGCCCAATCCTTCAGCTGAGCGTAATTTATGGAGACAGTAACACATTGATTGATTTATTAAATACACGTGCTGCTCTTCCAGAGGAGCCCAAATTTATATTTGCACCAACAAATGTTCACAATATGTTATATGAACTGTACTGTGAACACCCCTTGAACTTGATAAGGGTATTTATTGTATAAAAGGCGCCTTTATTTACACTTCTGGCGAGTGATTTTCCTTACTGGCACTATTTCACTGATGATTCTTGTTACCTGGTTTAGCATGGCCGTATAGTGCAAGTTGCAACGTTACATATACACATTAGCAAGAGGTTTGTGTGACTCCAGTCCCATTTTATGCTACCTACAAACCATACAGTTTAATTTTTAAAGTTAACATGCACTGATAATGCTGAAAAGCAGTAATCTATACTGTCTGCAAATTTTTCAAAAAATAAGGTTATGTTGGTTCTGCTGGTTTGTAAATGAAACCTGGGAGCAGGAGAACATTGGTAAGGCCTCCCCCCTCTAGCACCTCCATATTATTGCTTTTAGAGTTCTCCAGGAGTTTGAGGGCAAAGATCTGAAGTGGGGAACCTCCTCAATAAGTGCCCTGCAATGTGCAGTCCTGATTAAAATCCCAAGTACTTTATACACTTTGGTTTTGCAAATGTTAGTCATGTGGAAGTTTAGTTTTAAAAAATACAGTAGACAATGCAAGATTGACTTCAGCCAACCTTCCTTGCTCTAGAGCTCTATTATTTGTCTGATAGGGTGTAAAAACCATGTGTAAATCATATTTACAGTGGTGCCCCGCAAGACGAATGCCTCGCAAGGCGGAAAACCCGCTAGACGAAAGGGTTTTCCGTTTTGGAGGTGCTTCGCAAAACGAATTTCCTATGTGCTTGCTTCGCAAGACGAAAATATCTTGCGAGTTCCTGCGGGGTTTTTTTCCTCCCCCCCCCTTTTCCCCAAGCCGCTAAACCGCTTATCAGCTGATCAGCTAAGCCGCTTAACAGCTGATCGCTAAGCCGCTTATCAGCTGATCCGCTAAGCCCCTAATACTGTAGCGCTAATCCGCTAAACCGCTAATGGGCTTGCTTCGCAAGACGAAAAAACCCGCAAGACGAAGAGACTCGCGGAACGGATTCTTTTCATCTTGCGAGGCACCACTGTATACCTGCTGTGACTAAACAAGGTCTGTCTTGTCACCACCTGCCATTGTTCGTTTCTGTGAGCCACATCTGTACATAATGTTAAGTAAATACTAATTCTCAGCCTCATCAATTAGTGTTTTCTGTCGATTAAACTAAGGCTTCAATCCTATATACTCACTTACCTGAGAGCAAGTCCTAGTGAACTCAGTAGGACTTACTTTAAGTAGATATTAAAGGATTATTTTGTAAGTCTGGAATATACGTACACTTGTGAGGGAGTATATTTTAGAAATAGGCAGTAGAATGTGTTTTTCTGGAAAATGTAATAATACTATAAATTGATTGATACCTTGATTTGACATGTTTGAGTTACAGTTAGTAAATACAACTTTTTAAAAGTATGGATTGTTTCCAAGGCTGCATCAGTTGGGTATCCCCCAACCCTGGAGGGGTGATTAGATTCTGTTGCATGCATGGAAGTCCCTTGCTTCAGCAGAGCTAAGGTGTTGGATCTGGCCCTGGGTCATATTAATCTTACTTGCTGAAATACTCTGTTAGGGAAACATTAAGCAAAATGCAGTTATGCTGCAATCCTAAGCACACTTATCAGGGAGTAAGCACCGTTAGCTAGAATGGAATTTACTACAAAATAAATAAGTACAAGTTCAAACACATTCAAAATTTTACTTGGAGATTGTTTTTATTGGATTCAATTACTCATAAATGTCTTAGGATAGGACTTGGGAACTCAATAGCATGTACTTCACTTGTTTAAATGTTAAGGAAAGTAATATAGGTTTCACACTTCTCAATATTTAGGGCAATAGTATGTTCCATTGAAAATAAGTGTATATGAATTTAAAACTATGCGTGGTATATAATGATATAATTATGTGTTTATTTAAAACACTACTATACCACCCTTCATCAATAATACTGGGGTATTTTAATAGGATAATACTATTCCAATAAGAGCAATACAATAAAATACATTACAGTCCATAGTGGACCAGCCAGATCATGCCCAGGGTCCATATTAACAGCCCACAAATAGGCATTTATTGAAGAGTGAAGAGGTAGGTCTCTAGATAAAATTGAAAGCCCATCAGAATTATTGCTTGTTTTATTTTGGGGGATGGGGAGGCACATACTTAGAAGCTGGGCACAACGATGGAAAAAGCCTTCTTGATAGTAACAAGATTCAGTTCAGCAGACTACAACACAAGTGGGAGGGCTTTATAAAAGTGCTTAGCACTCAGACAAGTCTATAATACCCAACTCCAAAGCTGTTTATATTTAATGTGCTTCTTGTGGATAGTAACCTAGACAAAGTTCATTAAAACTTTTAAATTGCCCAGTTTGACTGATACTAGGTCCATTATTTTACTAATTAATTTCAGGAAGCAGAAGGTGTATTGTTAGAAGTGAAGAAATGTTCTGCTACATTTCATCCGGGATAAACCTTCTAGCAACCTTTGTGGGTTGAAAAATATGTTTGTTCCAAATTAGCCCAGACTAGGTGCATGACAGAATCCCGTGTCAGTCACCTATTCCTGCTTTTGAAATCTATCTGCAACTAATTTTAGATGGTGAAGGGAAATTGAAATGATGAATTTTCTACCTTTACCACTAGATGTCTCTTCCTCCAGAGATAAAGGTATTGTGCTGCTGCCCAAATGATGCCCTAGTATGGTATACACATCTATTGTGCAGCTGTGTATGACCTTATTTTGTAATAGCGTCTCTTTATTATTTTTTTGCATGTAGTGACAGCCAGCAAACCACAATGGTAGTAGAGAAGGCTAATACCCATCAGATCTCTTGCCTCTTGTGGCTGCTACATTTAATGGCAATGTAGTATAATATGAAAATAAAATACCATTACAACTCACTTTCAGTTTCATCTTCAGTCAAGTAATTCACTGATTTTGTTGGTCTTGCATTTAATATTCTTCCAATTTTTTTCCTTTCTAGTGACTCCCCTTTGCCTGTTTCTTCCCGTGTGTGTTTTGTAAAGTTCCAAGAACCTGACTCCGCAGTTGTGGCTCAGCATCTGACAAATACTGTATTCGTTGACAGAGCGTTGATAGTCGTACCATATGCAGAAGGTTTGTGAATTGTTTAATGATCTATGAAGCCATAGAATAATGGTACTAAATCCTGATGTAGCTTAATAGCATGAAGTTTAGCACGTAAAACATTGAAGCTATTTACCTATTTAAAACCCTTGGTATACTGACGCTGCTTGCTTTTATCCAAAAGTGAAACAATTAATTATTCAAGCAAAAGCTGGAACTTGCCTGTCAGTCTTTTTGCAAAGGCATTTAGAATATTGATATGTTTAAGCAGCATTATTTGAATTTTTGTTTCATCAGGCCCCTTCAAGATAAGCAGTCTTTTAAAACTGATACGTTTAAACAAGATAACTTGCATTAAGTAACTTGGCATGTGTTGTCGTATGATTCATTCTCATAGAGAGTGAGTGGAAATGTGCTGCCAGTTACAAGGCAAAGTTCTGTTTATCGTAGTTGACAATAATAATAAAAAAATACCCTCAGTACAAATTCTGGTACACCAAGGGTTTGATCTCAATTAGACAGAAAATATATCCAAAGGTGCTAAATGAGCACTGGGTGTTAGATCTTATTCCGCATTTTCTTGTTCAGCCTTGCTATATTATCTAGAATTTCACTAAATAATAAACTCTTCTCTCTGTTATTTGTGTGTGTGATTTTTGTAGTGGAGAAGGCAAATGCAAAGGCCCTTCCAGATGACTGAAACAGTGGGGTCCTCTGCAGCTACAGGGGATTCTAGACATTAACTAAAGGCCAGCAAGCACTCAAGTCCCCAAGTGTTTTCCTGGTGTAATCACTTGTTAACAACATTTTTTCTCTCTTCTTTTTCTTACATTTTTAGGGTGTTACAGTAATTTGAAAACAATGAGCAGGGTTTGGGAACATAATTCATAATTCAGTACCAAGAAGACTGCTCTTCTAACGAGTTCTATTAAACTTCTGTAGATTTCATCACAACTATTTCAAAGGCACCATTAATTGATAAATTAGTTAAATCGCTTGATTACAGTAAAATATGTGTAGTCTTGCACTTAATTCCTGCACTCACAGGCAGCTGGATCTCATGGAGGTCAGTGGGATTTAAGCAGCCTAACTATGCAAGATTGTAGTGCAAGTCTTACCATTACCTGTTTTTATAAAAATATGTTTACACATTAACAAGGCAGAGGAATATGCAGTGTGCAGACCTGGCAAAGACCTAGTTGTAGGATATTCCTCACTGAAGCTATAAGTAGTGTAAACAACTTTTAATTCTGATCAGTTTTAAATTTCAGAGTAGAATATTTTTAGAATGTAATTGCTTCTGCTTTAGTTTGGACAAAATAACAATTGAGATATAATTGTTCTTGCATGAACATCTACATATCAGGGCCAAACTAGATATGACAGTCTTTGCATTTAAACATAGACTTTCCCCAGTCACATAGAAAGAGCAGTTTGGAAGTTGATCTAGAACAGTTAAAGAACTGAAGTGCACAGAATCCTTCCTGTGCCTGCAGCTTAACTTCCTTGCAATCTGTCCCTCTGTGTTTTTATCCTTATCTGAGCTGTGATGCTGAAAATATGCTCAATGTTTGCAGAAAGGGGCTGTGGGGAGGTAAGAGCAGGTTGGGGTAGGTTTCAGGGGCTCTCGCAGTTTTGCTTTTATTATTAAAAATGGACCCGGACACCCTTTTTATGTGATTGGGGGAGGACTGCTGCACTCATATCTAGTTTGGCTCTAATAGCAGCAGTCCTGCCCTGTCAATTTCGTTAAGACCTAATTTGGCTCCTACAGAATCACCATGTTTTAAGAGTTTAATATTTTTATCTTTGAAAATACAATGTTCATTGTGCTAGAAAGATAAATCTGGCACTAAGAAATCAGCCAAATATATCACTTGAAAATTTCCTGAAATTTGTTTAATGCAACTTAAGTAGCTGTTATTGTCAGGGCCTCAATTTGGTGATGTAGGATATGTGTACAGCTGTGTAGTTTGTGTGAGAACTATAATTGTGGACACAGTACTGTATAAGTGTACTAGGGTTTTTTTCTGTGAACTTGAACTACTTTGTTCTTGCAATTCTTCCATGTCTATGGAATCAAACAAACTACTCATCAGTGGTTCATATTGCAAGAACCCCATTTCTGCTAGGTACTTAAGCATCATTCAGTGAGGTATTTCAAATTGAGTGGGATTGTTCATATGCATTGAACCACATGCTTAAGTACTCTGCTGAATTTAGTTCTTGATTTTTAACTAGTGGGGATGGGTTTACCATTACCTAACGAAGTATTAAAATACTGCACTGTGCTAATCACAGCTCCCTGTATCACTTACATTCCTGTTCTTTGTGTGTTCATATATCTTGGTGTTGGCTATTGCTTTGTGTTCTAGACTTACACAAAGTTCACGGTAAGGCATAGTACTATAAACTTCACTATGAAATTCAAGGATTTGGAAGGAACTCAGGTATTAACAGTGCCTTTGGGTGGGGTTGTGTAGGTTCTTTGGTTAATGTTTGTTTATTTTGTCTGTTTCTTTTTCTTCATTTCTACACATTCATGCAGTATTTCATGGTTCTAACAAAGCAGCAGTAAAAAACACTTGACGCATGAAAATTAACTGGTGAGGGGCCTCATTGCTTTTTTAAAAATTGTAGTTTTATTTCTGAATAACTTTTTTCCTAAAAATGAGAGGATCAGATGCATGACTACTTAATGGATGCAGATCTTCTATGAGGTGTCTCAGGATAAGAGGATTTTTAGTTAGATGCCAGAAATGTTATAGTTGCACTATTTGTGTGTAAACATAAATAATATCCTCTGAGACATAATTTTGCATGCAAAATTATCCCATAATCTCTCTAGATAATGTTTATATTGATGCATTAATGCCCTGTATCTAAATGACCTTCCCCCCCTTTTCCCACCATAACTTTTGGTATTGAAATTATGACAGCTCAGTGACAGAAGAAAGATAACAGTGCTGTGTATTATACATTTGTTTATATTATCGGCACTTCTCAGTATAGGTGGAAGGAACCATTACCTTTATTTAACAGTGGTTTTTCTTTTTTGTTGTTGTGTTTTACAGTTCTTTTCCCTGGTTCAGCCTGAACTATATACCAGGCCCTGCTGAAAATACCACCCAACAGTTTTCTTCTGCAGCTTATCCAGTTTCTCTTAAGTGCCCTGTACATATTGTATGTTTTATGATGAGATGCAGTCTTTTTAATATGTATTTCAGAAACGCTACTGGTATTTGCAAATATATAGTACAGTTGTCTTATTGAACTCTCATATTGGGGGCTTGGGCACATTAAAAGATTAAGCCATACGTATAGGGCTTTTGCTGTTGGATAAAATTACAACGATCAACATTACTCTTTGTCCCACATTGGAACTCTTTAGTAAGGTTATTCTCTATTCAGGTTAGGCAGTAAAACTAGTCCCTTGCAGGCTACAAGGCTGCAGAGCAGAAATTTCTTCTGAAATGGCAATATGCAGCAGCATTCTTGGTATAGTAAGCATGACAAACAGTGGAGCATGTACTTTACTGCACAGGTAAGGAATGTGCCACATTTTAGGCATTTACATAAACACATACACATGGACACATATGCAGAACCTTTATTTGAAGCTCTGTGGAGACCTTCATATCCATGTGACATGTCAGCAAAAGCCCTACATTTTTTTCTTACCTTCGCTTAAGATTTACAAAATTGTATGGTAGGTGTAAAAGAAATCATAGTGAACTGTACCATATTATTAACCCCTAAATCAAACTTTTTTTGTCTTGTGTATCTTGATTTTTCTGTGTGCTTTATAGTGAAGCAGCCGACACGAGTCGTTGTTCATAAAACAGCTTTTGAAAGTTGAGAGCACACCCCTGGAGAACCGACTGTGCTTGCTTACGTTTGGTTCATGACTTAAAAATCGAGTACAGGTGATGAAATCTTGGCAGTGTTAACAAACAAGTAGTGTGTATTGTGCTATTTTTTTATTCTAGAACTTAACCTTTTGTAGAGAAAAAGGAACAGTCAAATTTTCACACATTGAAGTTTCATTCTGGCATACAAATTAATGATAAATTATTAAGAGATCAAACATTGTATTATAGCCAACATAAGTACTTGCAGCAAACTCAGGTGGTGTTTCAGGGAGACATTTTCTGGGTGTATTTGTGTGTGTGGTTTTTTAAAAAATTAGTGATGAGTGTCTTCTAATGCAAAGCTGTCTCTCTGCAGGAGTTATTCCTGATGAGACTAAGGCTTTGTCTCTTCTGGCACCAGCTAACGCTGTGGCAGGTCTTCTGCCGGGGGGTGGACTCCTGCCTACACCCAACCCACTTTCTCAGGTAAGTATACATCTTACGAGATGTATACTAGAATGTACAACTGTATATATCTGTATTTTCTGAGATAACACCCATTGCACCAAAACAATTAGAAAAAATGTATAACAGGAGTGTGGCAGGTAAGAATCCAGATAACCATGCCTCTCGCTTTAAAAAACTATCTGGTTTGAAACTTGATTAATGGTTATGCTTTGAAAGATGTCCCATTTATTCATTAAAATATAAAGTGGGAAGACATGCCAGGGGTGGGGAGACTAGCAGTTTTTATAGTTGCAGAAGTGACTTTTGCAGTCTTCTGGGGTGTCCCCACTTCCAGTATAACAGTGCTTCTTCATGAGCAGTTAGTTGAGAGGATTAGCTGGCTGCATAACAACTGCATCAGCTTATAGGTTGAAGAAAGACAGTTTTCAGGCAGGCAACAAGAACTGTCACACTAACACACAGTGTGATACTGGTAATGCTATTCTTATTTCTCACACAGCCTCCACAATACTTTCCCTGGACGCGGATTGGAGAGGAGGGAAATGTCAGAACATTAATTTCTAAAGTCAATCAGGGAAACTAATTTGAAAATCTTAAATCGATTAATTGGGTTAATTAATCGAACTTTGCATTCCTAACTAAGACACACATGCTATAGATAACAGGGAGTGATAGTATATATGCTTTGCAGAAAGCTCAGATTCAATCTCCAGAATCACTATTCAGATAGCAGATAACAGGAAATACTTTTTCATATGCTGGAGAGCTGTTACGATTTAGCGTAGAAAATGCTAGGTTAGAATTATAGTAGTCTTACCCCTATATAAGTCAGCTTCCTATGTTGCTTCATATTAATGTGCTGCAAGTCATTTTACAGCAGTACTTGAACGTTATGCAGAACAGTTCAAAACTATTCCTTGCCTTTTTCAGATGGTGGAAGCTGTTTTCTTGATTGTACATTCTGGTATAATATGCTGTCTACCTCTATTGATTCTCTTTATTATAGATTGGTGCTGTTCCCTTGGCTGCTTTAGGAGCTCCAACTCTTGACCCGGCCCTGGCTGCTCTAGGGCTTCCTGGAGCAAATTTAAACTCGCAGGTATATTGCTTGTGTTACATTCACATACATTTAAGTTTATTTTTAATTTGTGAATTTAACAAGGGGGGAGGAAAAAATAAAAAATTGTAAGCATAATTTTTTGAAAATGAAAAATATTATTAATGTATACTACCATCATTGCACCTTAAGGGTACAGTAGCCATCAGTACAGCCATCTTGTGTCAATAATCCAAATAGGTACCCACACGAAATTGGTGTCTGTAAGACATATGTTCAGATATAGCCAGGGCAGCGAGGTCCTCGGACCACTGCATGCAGATAGCAGGTGTTTATCCTTTAAGGCTTGCAGTATAAGTCTTTCAGCAACTAAGGGCTAGCAGTATCCATTTTTTGGTTGTGCCTTTAATTTCTGTACTGTGGGAATATAATTTCAAAGTACATGAGCATCTGCAAATATAAAGTATTTTGCCACTACAAAATTGATATGGACAGCAACTTCAGACCACTGGAGAAGTTCATACCATATGTCTCAATGAGGCATTTTCAGCATTACACCTCCATCCAGCATTATCGGTAATAGACAGTGCCTTCCTTTACAGATGTTGTAGAGTGCAGCATACCTGGAATATTAATTTTTGCTGTATCTATCTCAATTTCAAATCTAAAGAAACATTTCATATTGATTTTGAAGCATTTTTTATTTGTTTAGGCTCTACTATATACTGCTTTGGACACTATATACTGCTTTGATCTAGAATTTAATGAAACTGATACTTAACCAAGAACATTCAGCAATGAGTTAAACATGATTTTACATCAAGCATTACACCACCAGTATAAAAATTACAATAATTAGTCTTTCTATTATTTCTATAGATTTGTAGCTATCTCCCCAAGCCCCATTTGTTTAGAGACTCCATGGAATTTACATTTGTTTAGTCCTGCAGGGTTCAAACTGTGCTTTTTAACATCATGAAAATGCAAGATTTGAGATACAGTGTCATTGATACCCAACACTATTCCTCCATTTCATATAATTCAGATGAAGCAGTTGATTTGTTAAATCTTTATCTCAGCCCAGTAATGGATCAGGGCCTATAAAGCTAAATCCGGACAAAACATTTGGTGAAACTTTGGTCTTTATCATTACTCATGTTCATATGACCCATTTGATATATAAAACACAGGGTAGCACTACCCACTGGCAGAGCTTCTTGTTGTATATATTTTATTTTGCTTTAAAAGTTTTATTTGATTGAGATTTTCTTAAATAAATGAAATGGATTGTGTGTTTAAAATCGTACAGTCATACCTCAGGTTACGAACGCTGCGGGTTGCGCGTTTTCAGGTTGCAGACTGCACCAAACCCGGAAGTACCGGAACAGGTTACTTCTGGGTTTCAACACATGTGCAGAAGCGCCGAATTGTGTCACATGCGTGTGCAGATGCAGCGCTGCGGGTTGCGAACGTGCCTCCCGCACGGATCGCGTTCACAACCCAAGGTATGACTGTATTCATGTGGCCTGTCCTCAAAGCCAAAGTTTTGCAAGAGTTAGTTATTGTTACTTCATCAGCATATTCTGTATTATGAACTCTTACTCATTCTCTTTAGGGGTTCTCTCTACTCAAACAGGGCATCACGCAGGCAAGCTCTATATTTATATCTATGGTCAATTGACCCCCACTATCCTATTTCCTAGTGTGGCTAGATTTGATTAGATTTGCTTACCTTTAAAAATTTTGCAGATGAAAATTGCTGGAATCTTTAGAGTCGCATACCTATCTATTATAAAGGTTATGTAGAAAACTTGTAATCCGGAGCAAAATTTCTAAAGTGTGAGTCTCAGTAAACTCAGTGCAACTGACTTCACACTAAACAGATTAGGATTATGTTGCATTGGCTAACTTTAAAAGCCCATAGTTATCCACCATTGGAGTTCACACTTGGGGGTAACACAACTTCTAAGCAACTATCCATCTTGGAGACTAGCTATATAAGAACTTTTGACCCGTAGTCAAGCTTAATATATAATTTAGCTTGTAAAATAAAACTGTAGGCACAATTGATAATTAAATGTGCATTGCAACTTTAAAATCTAACATTACTGACAAGAACCACATCTGTCAGTTAAAGTACCAATAATGTTTAGAAAACAATTGCTACAAACATAGTACAAGTTTAGCCTCACTCTTTTCACTCAACAGCTTAACTGTTAAACCTTTGGCATTTTAAACAAACAGTAAAATAAAGACCGGTTCTTCAGCAAACTGGATGCCCTCAATCAATGCAGTTCTGACTACAGGTCAGAAAGAAAATTGCTGTTTTTTGCCTGGAACACTGTGACCCTATCAGAGAACATTAGGTGACTACTTTCATGAGGCAGAGATTTATTTATTTATTGCATATTCGCTTCTTTAATCTGCAAATGTCTGCTCATTTGGGTTAGATTTAGGGGCTGTTTGGATATTCTTTCCTTCCCTTCTGCAAATTTTCAACTTCTTTCAATGTTAAAAGCAATTTTTTGATTAATTTTCTTTACAGTCTCTTGCAGCAGATCAACTACTAAAGCTTATGAGCACAGTGGATCCAAAGTAAGTTTGAATTTTGATGTTTAAACTGTATCATATTATAAAATAAATTTATAGGACACTTCATAAGCTTAAAGCCATTGAAGCAGTGTAAAAGATAAAAAGAGAGTAAAACAAACCTGGAGAATGGCAGTGCATGCACATCATGATAAACCATAGTTAATGGTTTACTGTGTACATATGATTTTCCCTCTGCTTCTCCCACAGTCTGAGTGGGAGCCACAAACTATAATCCCTGGTTTAGCATTACATCCAAATAAAGGATCATGGTTTATTTGGGTGAAGCAAACCATGATTCTCAGTTCAGATGTAGCGCTAAGCCAGGGATCACGCTTTGCTGTTCCATTCACACTACAGGAGAGAGGAGCAAATTGGGAGCTGTCTTGGCATTCATGATAAACCATTAACTATGGGGCAGTGTAATCCATGCTCATAGGAAACTGAGGTCAGTTTGTAGAGAGCCTCTAGAGTATTTTTATTGTGGAAACCAACATCTTTTATTACAGAGGAAGCAACATTTTTTAATGCTGTTGCGGATCCAAGGCCTATTACATTGCCAGCTCTTAACTTGTCTTTTTGCTTTTAATGGTTATATTGAAGTTTTGATTTTGTATTTTTGGTCAGTTGAGTTGAATATATGTACTAACTACCTATTCACCCAGTTTTGGATAAACAGAGATGGAGATCAGGACCACTCTATTGGTTTTACTAAGATGCTTCTCTTCCTTTGGTTTTTTCTCTCCCGCCACGATTTTAATCCCAACTGCATACAAACTTTGAAACTTTTAGAATTAGTGCCCATGTTTGATTGAGCCATCAATCAAGTGTTTTCTTACCATCACTTTTTCCTTTTGTGTTTGTCTGTTATGAGCCTATGGGTGGGGACTCCTGTTTTATTAATCATCTGTCAGTTCCTTTGTTACCATTTTCAAAATAAGGAAGGGAGTAAAAATAAATGATATATTTTTGGTTTCTAGGCTGAACCATGTAGCTGCAGGTCTCGTTTCACCAAGTCTGAAAACAGATACCTCCAGTAAAGAAATAGAAGAAGCCATGAAACGAGTACGAGAAGCACAATCCCTGATTTCTGCTGCTATAGAGCCAGGTAAACTGATCTTGACTGTCTTTCTTGTATTACAAAAACTACTTGTTGTTAGAATGCCAATGACATCAAATTCTGCAGGATGGTAAGAATGGGGGCATGGGATTGAGAAGAGCTCCAAGAGATCTATCCAATGTCAACAAATGGGCAATGAATTGTCAAATGTTGTTCAGTGGAAGAAAGTATAAAATGAGGCAAATTGGTGCTATCTTTGTCCTTACGCTGATGGGTTCTGAACTGGCAATGGCTGACCCAAAGAGATATTATGTAGTTGTGGTGAGCAGCTCCATGAAAAAGATCAACTCAGCCTTCAACAGTTGTGAAAGGCAAGTTCTGTGTTACGAATAGTTAGGAAAGCATTTAGAAAAAGAAACTGCAGAGACCATAATGATTTCATACATCTGTTGTGTGATCACACTTAGAAGACTGTGCAGCCCTAGTCTCAAAAAAGGATATCATAGAGCAGGAAAACATGATGCCCATCGAAATGGGCAGTTCTTCTACAAAGAAATATGATGTATGGAGCTATCTGGTTTAGCAAAAACGATGAATAAGGAAGAATGTGATAGAGGTGTATAACATTTATGCATGAAGTAGTTTTCTTCATTGTGGGGTCATCCAGCAAAACTGAATGCTGGGAGATTCAGGACTGACAAAAGGCAGTACTTCACACATGTGGTGATGGCTAGCTACTAACTTAGAGGGCTTTAAAGGGCAAATAGATAAATTCATGGAGGATAAGGATATCAGTGGCTACTTGTCATGATGGATGTATACTACTTCCTGGATCGGCAGCAGTATTCTCCTGAAAATACCACTTGCTAAGTAACAACACCAGGAAGCCTTTTGTTCACATGCCCTGCTTATGGGCTTCTCATAGGAAGCAAATAGACTTCTGCAGAAGATGGGATCGTGCGCTAAATAAACCTTTGATGTGATCCAGCAGGGCAGCTCTTAAGATCTCACCGTTGAACAAAACTTTGGCCTGCTTGTAGATTTTAGGCACTTTGGCTTTAAAAAAAAAATACCTTGAAAGTTCCTCATCTCTTAATGAATGTAAACTTGCAATTTCATAGAATGGTTGTGTTAAAGAATTCAGGTGTAGGAATTGATGGTTTTTCTCTCGAGTAAAAAAACCTCATTCAATTCCAGCTTTTTGTACAGAGTGCCCCCGAAGGTGGGCAGCCAAACATAGATGTCATATGATAATGAAAGGATTCCAACTTTTTAATATTTTAATTCCAGATAAAAAAGATGACAAGAGAAGGCATTCAAGATCCAGATCACGTTCAAGAAGGAGGAGAACTCCATCTTCTTCTAGACACAGGTAAAATTTAGTGAGGTGGGATCATTGACAGTCCAAAATCAAAGTGCTTTAGGATATTTCTCTTGCTATGCTCCTTTATAAATATATGACAATAGAAAAGAGTTTTGTGTATCTAGGATTTGAAAGTGAGTAAAAGGGCAGACTTTTACCAGGTTATGGGTGAAATTACGTTGCACAGAACATGTTCTCAAACCCTGATTATATCCTTGATTCAACATATTAAGCTGCATTTGTTGAATATTAAAACTAACAATTCAGCATGGTTGGTGCTGGAAAGAGTTGCATCAAAAGATGGCCACAATTATTGTGAAGGTAACTTTTCTAACTTTTAAGGTAACTTTTAAGGTCAACTTCATTGAGATAAATTGAGAAGTTGGTTATGGGACAACTCAATCACAGTAAGTAAAGTACGGTACAATACAGTAAGATGAATATTAAATATTATTCTGTTCAATAGACGGTCAAGAAGCCGATCAAGGAGACGATCTCACTCAAAATCAAGAAGCAGGAGACGATCTAAAAGTCCTCGGCGACGGAGGTCGCATTCCAGAGAGCGTGTTAGAAGGTCTCGGAGCACATCCAAACCCAGGTAATCCCTAGAAACTTAGTACATCCTTCAATACGAAAAGTATCAGAATTACAATCTTGGCTATTAGAAAGTCAGAGCTATAGCTACAGGAGTTTGATAAATTCAATATGCAAGGACAGTGAGAGAGCTAATCTGCTTGTACCTTTTTTATCTAATTGGTTTTTTAGAGACAAAAAGAAAGAAGAGAAAGAGAAGAAACGGTCTAAAACTCCACCAAAGAGTTACAGCACAGCCAGACGATCCAGAAGCACAAGCAGGTGCCGTATAATCTATAAACTTGTATTTACTTTGCAAAAGTAATTGTGCTTATCCTGCTGCATCGGACTGACCAAAAGAGGGTTATATAATATCAAAGAAAAGCATTTCCTTTGAACTACAGGGCTTCACATAACAAAGATAATGTAAAACAAACTTAATGAGTTCATTTATGTAAGTTTTCACTGTTTTGAGCGCCAGCAGACCCATTTCATGCAGGCATCTTGCAGTCTGAACTGTAGGTAGGCAGGTTGCTCTTTCCTATACACATAGCCCCCTTTTACTTTCCATTTCTAAGGAGTAACAAAACCATAGGGTTGTATCTGAAACTGTGTGAGCAGAAAGCAAGCTGATGTGAGAGATCTTTACCTTCCCTTCCTCGCCCCATACCTTCTCCCCAAAAAGCCTGTCCAAAGGTCAGCTGTCCCACACACACCCAGCCAAGGAAGGCGATAGTTAATTCTTTATTGACAAAAGCTTGCACTTACAGCAGCTCCTAAGGTGCACCAGAAGCATACAAACGCTTCTAGTGTTTACGTAGCTGGCATTAACTTTCCCATGTTTGTGCCCCAGTGGAGCAGTTGAAGCAACAGTGGGACCATGCACCCTCCCCCCAGGCTTATGTATCCTCATTTGACGGAGTACACACACGCAACCTGAGACTTCTCTTGCACAGAAGTCATTGCTGTACCTCCCTCTTCAAGACCCTCCTGGTTCTGTATAGACAACATGGGTATGATGGGAATGTTAAAGTGATACTAAAAAACAATTGAGATGTTTATTTGAAGGCATCTTGACTTCTGTTATTAATTACAGAGAAAGACGGCGCAGAAGAAGCAGAAGTGGATCTAGGTCACCTAAAAAGCCCAGGTCTCCCAAGAGAAAGCTGTCCAGGTCTCCTTCACCAAAAAGGTTTGTTTGTTTAACAAATCCATAAACTGCTTTGGGAAGGACACAGTGAGAAGGCAGCTGTCTCATTGTTGCAAGGAAATCCTTGGAGCATGTTATTTTGTTAATAAGTGTACTTGGATTACCATGACTGTGGCCATTTGAGCAAACAATGGTATATACTGGGATATGTTAAAAGGATTATAGCTTTTATTATGTTATTTTTATAAATGTTCTTTGCTATATAACATCATGTCAAAAGTGGTGACCATATAAGTTGTAGAATTCCCTCTTTTTTATATCTGTACACATCTTGGTTTATTTAGTGTCTCCATTGTTGTCCTACTTTATGGTTAATTAGCGGCTAGTGCCTGATGCTGCCTGTGATTTTTTTGAAACAAAAAATACTGTGTTTTTTAAAGGAACGGTGTAGTTTGTGAGTTGGACCTATCACACCCAAAATTGGGTGAAATAATTTCTTAGTCTGCCATCTTGATTCAGAATGACGCCCAGAACCCTTGTGGTGATTCTGGTAATGGTAATTTGAGAGGTGGCTGAAGCTATGTCAAAATGGCCAAAGTCACACTAAAGTGATGTTTCAGTCCACCACCTTGATTCACAACGGTGCCAAGTAGCAACGAAGTCTGCTGTCCCGCCGAAGGAACACTCATGCTAAGTTTGGTGGTGATATTGCAAGAAGCAACCAAACCTGTGCCAAAAATTGAAGAAGTGACATTTCTCTCCACTGACTTGATTTAAAATGTCAGCCAGCATCAAAACATTTACAAAGATCACTATCCCCACTTTGTTTGGCAATGATATCTCAAGAGGCAGCTGCACCTATAGAGAACAAACGGACAGACAAATCCCTTTCCAAAACATAAAATAGTTTAAAATTTTGGGATGAGAAGGTATTTTAAAAACTAAAATCAGATTGATAGGAGGGCTTGTTACATTCATTTTAGTGCTTGTAGCCCATACGCTTGATATTTTTGTGTGAATAATTTCATATACTTCTAAGGAGAGTGGAATTGTTTGGATGGTTTTTAGTAAACTAGCTTTTATAGAATTATAGGCAAGAGTAAATTTCTTTAGCTTGAATCTGAATATTACCAACAGATCAGTTCAGCAAAAATTTCACCCCTCGGCAGAACCAGTTTTGGATGTACAGCTTGCCATAACCATACTTTTTGTTCAAATTTGGCTTCTGTCTACTTGAAGGGGGCGGGAAGGAGAACTGAAATATTTCACTGATCCTACAAAATGCCTATATTTCTCAGTTTCTTGAATTATCTTACTGCCTTAGGCACAAAAAAGAGAAGAAAAAGGATAAAGACAAGGAGAGAACCAGGGATGAACGCGAGAGGTCAACAAGCAAGAAGAAAAAGAGTAAAGACAAAGAGAAGGATCGAGAGAGAAAGTCAGAGAGTGACAAGGATGTCAAAGTATGCTTTAAAAATCTGTTTTGTTTGTTTGTGCAATGTCCTACTTAATCCTAGAATCCCAAGAGCCTTTAAGCATGTCTTACATATTTTGCTTTGTGTTTTATCTTGGCAAAGCAGGTCACAAGGGATTATGATGAAGAAGAACAAGGCTATGATAGTGAAAAAGAGAAAAAGGAGGAAAAGGCAGCAGATTCTACTTCCCCAAAACATAGGGAGTCACCAGCCGAAAAAGGGAGCGGAGATACAACAAGGGAGTCCAAGGTCAATGGGGATGATCATCATGAAGAGGATATGGATATGAGTGACTGAATATTGCCTTGGCAGTGAAAACAGTTGCCGACATGCATCAGTGTCATTCCTGTGTGATTCCTTTATGCTGTACTTGTTTAACCTTTTAAGCTAGATGTACACAGCTGTAACTATAACTGGTTGTAAAGCTCCTGATATTAAATAATTACATCAAAAGCTTTAGAGAAAGTGATGTCTGGGTTTCCATTCTTGTTATTGGCCAAACTGAATTGAGTAGCCCAGCAGTTCTTATTAAACTTGGTGCTGCTTTTTTCATTTTTGAGCAAAAAGCTGCATGCATCTTTGGCAGGCATGGACTGTTTGTGTTGTATGATCTTTTTAGTAAACCAGCTCACCTACAATAGTGTTTCTAGAGTTTGATTCATTTGCGGTAATAGAGCAAAATAGGGAATGCACTGGCTGCATGTTAACTGTGGCAAGAACATCCTCATCTCCTACAACATGGTGGATCTACTAAGGGTCTTAAATGTAGACAAAGAAACTAACATTAGCTTCATCTGGAAACAAACGTTCTGATAGAGATAGATAACCTTTTTAGCCTTGTGGCTAAATCTTTTTGTTGTGGATTTGTTTGGCTTTGGCAAGGTTGAAATGCACTAGCCTTTTTTGATGCCCAATGTAAGGTGAACTTCGAGTCTAAATCCTTCTCAGGTGGTGTGTTTGATTTTTGACAACTTGGACTTCTTGAGATAGTAATGCAAAACTTCTGTAAGACAGGAGGGAGTGAACCTTGTGTAGTTAGTTCTTCATAACCTGCGTTTATTTCATATTTGTATGTGTAAAAACCCTGCAAAAAAGGATAGTGCATTTAAAAAAATTGAACTTCATGATAATTTTAAAACATGATGATTTTAAAACAAGTCTACTTGATAATGTACTTGATCGCAAGTTGTATAAACTAATAAATTTGTGTTACAGTCACTGAAGTAGTAACCTTTTGCACACAGTGATTTCCTGTTATGCAAAGTAGTTGGGCAACCTCTTTTAGTTCTGGACGTTTTTGGAGCATTTACTTTTGTGCTGGTAAAAACAAAAGTAGGCTACAGTCTGTGCCATGTTGATGTACAGTTTCTGAAATTGTTTTACAAGACTTTGATAATAAAACCCTTAAATATACACTTGTATTTGTACTACAGTGTACATGTATCTATTTATGCTATTGACTTGTATGGCATTACCTCACCTGTCTCCTATTCACGTTTCCATTTAGGACCAGGCATAAACTGATGCATAACTCTGCTTCCAGGCATTTCCCACATTACTTTGGGAATGGGAGAACAAAAAACAAGTGTTACAGCAAGTCCTTAAAAGAGGAAATACAATGTAGTCTAAAGCTTTCGTTATCACTGGAATGTCAACTCCCTGACCTGTATTTCTATTTTTAAAAAGTGGGAAAATAAGGTAACATCCAAGTGCCATTCATTCTGAATGCCAATCTGTCAAAGAAAACTTGCTCTGATAACCAGTGAAGGCTGATAGAAGTTACATGTTAGTAACCATATTGGGTGGGTAACCTGTGGCCCTCTAAATGCTGTTGTACTCTCATCAACTCCCAGCAGAATGGCTGGGGGTTAGGATGATGGAAATTGTAGTCCAGCATCATGAAAGTCACAGGTTAGCCATACCTGACCTACATTATTTGTTTGAATTTTATAAATTTAACACAAGTAGCATATGAAAATGACATTTTTCCACAGGTGTTTTACAGTGAAAATTGCTATTTAGAATAACTTCTTAGAATTTATGGATATGTAACTTTCTAAATAACTGTGAGGTATTTTCTCAATATAGTGAAGTATATAAAGAATGTCTCCCAGCCTTTTTTTTCCTAGAAAAAATGTAACTTACCCTCAGAAGATAATGAAGCGCTCTTGTCTTTAGATAGCTCCACTGATGAGTATGTGCTGGAAGTCTTGGTTAATTGTTGTGGTTATTTGTGACTATACAAAGCAATTCAAAAGCAACCCATTTATGCTGAGGTCTCAAAAGTAAATTGAAACTGTTTTGGCGTTCCTAAGGGCCAAACTAGATGATGCATTAAATATGATTGTAGTTTCATATCTTCCCAAGTTTTGTTTTTTTGAAAAATAGCTATATGATGGGGAACTAGCCTAGGAATGCAGAGAGAAGAGCCATAACATTTCCCCCAAACTGCGTGCAAACAAAACACACAGCTGTTAAGGGTGGAAACTGCTTCTTTTTTCTGTCAAACAGCTTGGGGGGGGTCTCCAATGCCTTTATTTATTTAGACATGCAAATATGATTGTTTTTTAACATCTATTTTGGCCCCTTAGCGAGCTTGTGAAAAATGCATTAATAAAAAAAGCAAGTGACTCAAAACCTGGATGTAGAAATAAGTGTGGCTCAGATGTAGACTGACTATATACTGATGCAGCATTCCTGAAGCTGGTGCATCCTGAGCAAAGTTGTCTGCAAAACAGTCGTTTTTTGGCGTTTCCCCGAGAATCAAAATGCGTTCTGGTCTAGGTCAAAGCTGATCTTCAATCCCATATAGACCATGACCTCAAGTTAGGACAGCAGTTATGATACAATCTCCTGAAACACATGGTAGCTGCTAACCTAGCACCACTCCACACAGGTGTGGTGAGAGGGAGGTCCTTGCGTATGTGGCTTGTTACCTCAGGCAACGTGAAAAGGGTGGCCATCACTGATCAACTTTTAGCCCGGTAGATGGTATGTGGAGATACTACCGTTTAACAAATAGGGCCTCCACATTTGTGCTGTGAGCTTGGAGGCAGCACCATGAACTGAGCAATCTGCTGCTGTTCACAAACGAGCATTTTGTATCTAGGGGAATGCTTCGGAGGGATCTTTTACTTCGTAGGTCTGCTGAGGATATCTTGTTGAAATGAATTGGTTGGTTGTGCGATTTAAATTTCCTAGGCTCCCACGTTCTGTGCCAAAAGAGATCTTTCGTAATCATTTTTGAAGCTGTCGTCTTGAGTAGAATCCTGCTGAGGAAAAAAAGCTCACTCTCCTTTACAAGTCTCATTGACTAGTCTCAAAAGGAAAGACTCAAGTGTCAATAGAGTGTGCTGCTCAGCTGATTTCATCTTGGTGAATATAAGGCTCACCCCATAAAGTTAGAGACTGAAAACAGCAAAGATGCACTTAAAATTGAGGATTTTATTGAAAAATTGACCAATAAAATGTCCTTGTGAAAGTGATACACTGTAACATCCTTTTTCTTTAGCCTTCCTCTAATAAGGAGGAAATGTCCACACATGGTAGAATATAGATTTCTGAAAATGTCCATATGTTCAGTCTCAAAAGCAAACAGCATCTTTTGGTCTTTATTCTAAGTGGTACAACCAAAAACACTATTAGTGAAGGTGAGTTTAGATTAGACAAAGAACACATGAAATATACAAAAAAAATGACATTAGGTTTTCACAATTATAAACTGTCAAAAGGAAAATTGCAGCATTATAGGAAGTTTGTTAATAAAGTTTAAATAATGTAATTAACTTTTAATGAATCAAAATCAACAAGTATATATTTAAAAAATGAACTTTTTGAATATATTATGCTTCAACCTAAGGTAGGTTTCCAGCACAGATTTATATCCACAGTTGTACTATCTGATAAAAATTGCTAGGTATCCATCAATTGCAGTTTAAAACTTAAATAAGGAGACAAACATCAGCTGCTTGGAAAGAAAGATTATTCCCTTTGCCACAAGTTAAAGCAATAATTTGGAAGACCAGTAAAACTGAGTTTGGTTAAGGAAGAGCTCAAGGGGTTTCTTTTTAAAAGGATTCCATATTTATGCCTACCAATACACTTGGTTTCTAAGAGGACATACGGTACTTCAGAGAAGTTTCAAAAGCCTCAAAGAAAAGTCAAGTTCATGTATACTTTTGCATCAGTCTAAAATATTTAGAATGCTACTTCCTTTACACTCTTGCTTCCCACAGATGTTATATCCAACAATGACCTATAAGCATGCAAGAGGCACTTAACCTATAATCTGGCCTCTTTCTGGTTCTTCTATTGTGATACTTTAGCACAGTTTGCATGAATGCTGCTTCACAATTTACCCCCCCACCCCCCCGCTTTCCCAATACCCTTGTGAGATTAAAAAAAATCCTTGAGAATCAAATGTTCTACAGGACACAGTAATAATGCCCAACTGAAGTTCCTAGCTGTGACACTGCTATGTCAGAAAATATAAGTGCTTAACTACTAAGTGCTAAATAATTTTGATTCATTTATATCTACTCTTCTTTAATAACCAAGTATCAAAATCTCAGATCCAAGACTTCCTAATCCAGCGGCAAACTCTTGGGAATATTACTGCAGGCATGGAGCTCCCTTTACAGAGGTGGGTTTTTTCCCAGAGTCAATGTACAACATTCCTATTGCATGGGTGGCTAAACTACCTGAATTGACATACCAGGAGCTTGATGCATACCAGAGATCTGCTTGTATATGCATCTGCTTGCAGACGTTTTGCCAGCAACAATGGGTGCTGCTTTTTCCTGAAAATCCACTACTGGAACAAAACTAAACTCCCTTTATGTAGCTACAATTTTTTTTAATGGGATGAAATACAACATAAACTGAAATCTTTAAAGTAGGGGTGTAACAGAATAACATTGCTCTGAAATCACTTCTGTCCTCCAAAATGGTGCGGCACCTCCACCCGGTTTAAGCCCTTCTTCACAGAAGGACACAAGGTTGTGACTTGAATAGCACAAAGTTCATTTTTTTTTGTTACCGTGAAAGGAGACCCACTTGCTAGACATTAGTCTGACAGTTCATGGGCTAACATTTATTTTTGTAGAACTCGATGAAAAACAACTTTGGCATTATTTATCCAGTAATTTTACATATGTAGGAGATGACCAGTTGCATATTTCCACAGTTTAGTGGCCATCACCTATCAAGCCCATACCACACACCATTGGTGTGAGAACAGCATTGTAAATACCATTTTAAGCATCTCAGTTGTTTTATGAAATACTCCCAGGATAGGTAACATGAAGTGTCAAGCACCTTCAAATCCAATGTCTCCTACAGAAATTATCTGGCAGGGGAAACATGATTTTTTTAATATAAAAAAAATATTGACAAAACAGCTCTGCCTTCAAAGTTCATTTTCTATTTACAGGCAGACAATATCCTCTGACAGTGGATACTGGTAGTGAAATGGAACTTTCCACAATATGGCAGCTACACTGATATACTAAGCCAGCAGAACTGTCAGTCTTCACTGTCAACATCACTCAGGATTGAAGCTTTAAACAAATTTACAGTATTTGTGGAATTGGGCCCAACATTTGGGCCCCTATTTTAGGTCATGAAGATTTTTTTTCTCGTGAGTTTCCTCTCTGCACACTGCAACAGTACAAAGCTATAGGACTTGGGAATATGCTTGAAACCTTTTTCCTAGCAAAGCTTATGTGGCTCATGAGTCTGGTTTTACTGTGCACTGTGACTCACCTCGGCCCATTTGACATTCCAAGTTATCACCAGCACTGGGTGTGTTAACTAGCATGGTGGCTTAAGTCTGAAAGTGACTTGAGCAGTTTCCAAAAGAAGAAGAAAAAAAGGACTAGACTGCACAAAGAATATACCTTTGAAAATATTTACATTTCTGTACATTTACACATCACTGGAAGCTAATAAGCCTTGGAATACAAATGAACATAGTACTGACAATTCTGGACACATTCTTTCCAGTAGAGCAAAAAAGGCTAGTTTCTCTTCAAGTTTCATACAGTGGAACCATATGAAGATTCTAATTTTTTTTATTAAAAAAAACCCCCTTCTGAATAAAAACATTCTTTTTTCTGTAGCTACCCATGCTGGAAATACCTTAATTATTCTTGTACTTTCATTTTTGTACTCTCCATCCCCAATCTATTGCAATCCCTATTCACATCTAGGTTTGCACTTTGGGAAATGAAAGTGTAAACCAAGATTATTGTAGTAATATATTCAATATATTCCCAAATACTACTGGATAACAAATACAAGTTTAGTAGGTTTGATGGGCAGCTTTTATGGCTCTGAGGAACCCAAAAGAATGTCAGCAATTCAACCTGTGGGCTGTTTAATAATCTCCAAGCATGCTCTCTAACGAACACAGCAAGGACATTTCCAACCAGCTTGGGTGGGGAGGGCAGAGGGGATATCTGCAGATTTATATAAGATTAGTAACAGCTTTCATTGGAGAAATGATAGGTTGGCGGCGGGGGGGGGGGAGGGAGAATATGAATAGCACCACAATGAATTGCACTAAGGTGCTAAAGGAGGTACCTTATTCCCTGCAGAGTGAAGGCTCTAATTCTGACACGTATTGCAGTAAATGAATGCAACTGTTTAAATGCTTACCATTTGGTTCATTCATCTGCAGAAAATCAATTCCTTCTACTATATACTCAATTTACTGAACAAATATTACAGAATTTACAATATATGAAAACAAAGCTCCAAGGAAGGTTATAAGAGCAGCTTAAGTAAGATGGGTATTTTAAAGGGCTAATAGCCAGGTAAGACATTTTAGTTCTTTATGCTAATGGTCCAAGGGTGCTTTTATTACCGAGAAACGTAAAAAAATTAAGAACAAATTACAGTCCTTATAGCTGTTATGTAAGTTTTCGGGGGGGGGGGCAGGGGGAACTTACTGAGGTGCCAGGCTATCATGCTTGCAGGTCTGGATGTATAAATGCATGTGACACAGCAGGAGACCAGCTTTCGTTTAGACACTAGGTGGATGCTTGCTATATGGTACAACTGACTGAGATTCACGGTGTGTTCCCTTTCTGGTTTCATTTTAGCGAGTTCTGTCCCTTCGTACTTCACCCACTTTTAGACAGATGTCTGTGGGCTACCTGCATCCTCTCTCTCCTGTCTCCTTGTGGCATGCTGGTATTTTCTTTTTATTTACTGCTAACTTTCCAGTTAAGTTAGAGATCAGGAAAGCGGCTAGGGTCCTCCTTGTAGTCATCAGGAATTGTGAAGATTGATTCATCAAACTCATCATAGCGAAACTCCTGAAAAGTCACAGTGGCTGTGATGGTTGGAAATACAGGTATATCTAGGAAGAACAGAGCAAAGGATTGGGAGGTTAGAAAAGGCACAATGCACAATGGAAAAGGGTATTTTGGGGCAGAAAAGGATTCACCAGCCCACTTGCTCAACTTCCTGGTAATCTGTCTGGAACAGCGTGTCAGAGGAGGGGTTGGAGGCAGAGTTTACAGTGGTTCTGGTCCTTTCTGGAGGGATATGTGTAAATTGTTTTTAACTTATTGTAAAGTAGCTTGAGATTGCTCTAAAGGGCAGAGTGAAAATATATTTTAAAAAATCTTCATTGTCCAACTCTGTTCACACTTCTAGCAAATACTTGCACTCCTCACTGTTCTCATTTGTTAAGAAAAGAGCACAATGTTAGCCTCCAACCATGTTAAAGCACTGACAAACTCGGTGTAACTCTGTACCTTCACAACACAGCAAATCCCTGGGCACTGACTGTGTGACTTCTGTGTTTTCTATGACACCCAGTAAGCTTCTGAAGAAACTTTGGGTAGCAGGCAGATGAATTTTGTTCACGAGGGCTAACGTCTTGAAAACTGAATCATTGCTTGTGGTGTATACCGTATTTTTCGCCCCATAGGGTGCACCGCCCCATAGGACGCACCTAGTTTTTTTTGGGGGGGGGGAATAAAGAAAAAAATTTTTATTTCCCCCCCAGGCACGGGACTGGCACGGGGGAAGCCCGAGCTTCCCCCGACCCCAGCCCCCAAAACAGCCTGCTATCCGCAAGCCTAGGGAGCCGCGCCAGTCTCCCTAGGCTTGCGGAGAGCTGCGCAAAGCCCGGGTGCGCTCTTCAGCGCGCCCCAGGCTTCGGAATGCAGGCAGCTCTGCGCAACCTTTGGGAGCCCAGCGCGGCTTCGCGCCAGGCTCCCTAGGGTTGCGCAGAGCTGCGTGAAGCCTGGGAGCGCAGGCAGCTCTGCGCAACCGTTGGGAGCCCGGCGCGAAGTCGCGCCGGTCTTCCAAGTTTTGCGCAGAGCTTCCTGAAGCCTGGAGAGCGAGAGGGGTCGGAGCGCACCGACCCCTCTCGCTCTCCAGGCTTCAGCAAAAGCCTGCATTCGCCCCATAGGACGCACACACATTTTCCCTTCATTTTTGGAGGGGAAAAAGTGCGTCCTATAGGGTGAAAAATACAGCACTCATCCCGTTTTTGGATTTTGGATAAATAGTACTGCAGGTTTTTGTATATTTGGGAAAACCTACTAGCCTGCTTTATCAGAGGGGACAAGGCCCTAAGATATTAAACCACGTTTGCCTCTCTTGTGAAATGCTGTCTCCAGCCTTACTCTATTGCCGCACTTCTCACTGGCCAAAATTCACTAGTTTTGAAGTAAGACTATGAAGGAAACAAGTGATTTTCATCAGAGACTATGGGCATACAGAAAAGGGTTAATCTCCCTTCCATACGCACTCTATCTCCAAATGCTAAATGTGTTTCCTAAGTTGCCTACTCATGCAATAACTTCACTTTCTATTACTGTGTACTTTCCACTCAGTACACTATGAAATGGCATGCTAGTTTCACTCCAGGATCTGACTATCTTCCTGCTAAAGTCTGAGTGACAGCCCACTGCATTTCTCACCACAAAGTTTAAAAGGCTTTTAAATACAATCCATGTTCTTGGCAGGGCAGACAGTCCCTTTTAATTGATGAAATACACTTTGATAGCTCACCTAACTTTACAGGAAAACCCGGTGGTAGTTTCATCTGCACAAACTCCCGCAGTTTGTTAAAGTGCTTGAAGGGTGCAATTACTTCTAAAACATTCAATAACCTGGGGGGGAAACACACACATGTAACAATTTCATCTCTTAGCAGCTTTAGGATTTACCCACATACTCCTAATCAGTGCACTGTAAGAAAAAGAGAGGTGTCATCTCAGCAAATCACTGCAAACTGAGCCAAGACACATGCCGAGGGAAAGACGCTATTGTTCATGGCCACTGAATCAAATCAAGTAATTACACTGAACCATTTTTGTTAGCACAATGTAGGTTAAGCAAGAGTAAGCTAAATAGTCCCACATAACTTTGGTCCAATGCAGCTCAGAGACAGTCACAACTGAGCATTCAAACTGCAGCGAGCTTCACATGACTTGGTAGGAGGATTTCCAGATTGTTTCTCCTTTGGGTAAAACTGAGTTTTAGCACTCATTTATTTTATGTTAGGTGAGTTTTAAAACTCAGGATTTCAATAGGTTTCGAAACTTAAACTTATTAAGAACTCCGGTAGTAAAGCGTCAAGCTTAAAACAAGCTTCCTTTTGAATCGTAACAGGAAGAATCTTCCAAAATTCCAGTTTAGGAACTTTTCTTTATAGATGTCAGAAAACTTCCCATCAGGGCACACAAATAATAAAAGATCTAGAAAAGCATCACACTTCAAAAACTAGACATTTCCAAGTCACTATATATTCCGAATATCTCTCATTAATTTTTTCCACATCTCCTCCACAGCATCTATGTAAGTGGCTAACTTATTCAGATCATAAGTAGAGCGAATGTACTAGTATGGGTACACTGCTGAAAGGATTCAGAACCCAACATGTTGCTTACAAGACCTCCAGTGCCCATTCTTGCAGGGGTTCATAAACTTCCATAACTTCAACCCCACCCTTACGATTCCTATTCCTTGTCCCACAATCCTCCTAGCCAAAGTTCAACCTCCTTAACCCCAGATTTTTCTTCTACTTGAAAAAGTTGCCAAAACATGGAAAGCTCTTTGGCTCTTAGATGCAGAATAAATCATACACACTTCATTTTTTTTATATAGATTTGAGAACAGAATACAGAGGACTTGAGACATCTGGATAAAATCTGAGAACTTTACATTTAAGAATATTGGAGAAACTACAAAAGAATTGGATCATTGTAGAGGTGAACCTATGGCAGGCAACATGTTTTCCCACTTACTCTATGACAATGTATTATACTGCAGTCTTTGGAACAAGCAAAATTTTATACATATCAGCGTATTTTAGCTAAATCACATGCCCTTTCACAAACTTTTGTAGTGGACAGTTTAAGACTTACGATTCAATTCCTAGAGGAAATTCTTGGCTCATGGCTATTGTGGCTTTAAATGTTTTCTTGCTTTCTTTGCAGACCAGTTCCCTACCCAAATGAGGTGCTCTAAGTTAAAGAAAATAAAAATTAAAACCTCCCTAGAGACATAATTTATAAAAACAATAAGAAATTGGAATGCATTTCTCTTGTGCAGGAAAACAAGTTGACAGAAGTTGTTTAATGATGCCTGGAAGAGTTCAGATAGCAAAAACTGCCCAAGCGGGCAAGCTGCCCAGGCACTAACAGATTAAAGCAACTGAATAGAAGTCTGTAGAAAAGAGAAAAATATAAATGCACATACACACTTTGGCCGGATGATTTCACAAAGTTAAGAATCTAGGACTAGGATCTAAAAAGCTATTCAGATGAGCCCAAGGGGAATTTGTCTTTTGACTTTGAAGAGCAAACCCTCATACCGTTTCAAAAACATTTTGCAAGTGTGGCATGGAGCCCAATGGTCATGATAACTAGTTTAACAGTTCTTTCCATACTGGCCATGGGACACTAAAATGGAAATAGTGTGGAAGCCTTAAAAAGGGGGGGGGGGAGAAGGAATAGATACCATCATGTTACTTTCTAATTTCTGTGATCAAACAACTTCTGCTGGACCAATGTGTAAATATGGAAGAAATTCATACTGAAACAGACTGTCTTCCTTGAGTGCAATTTTGTTTAGAAACTTAGAACTGTTCTTTAATATTTACATTTAAACTTGTACATTTGGGATTGGATCCAGAGTTATCTTTCCACAAAGAAAAGGGCTCCCTCAAATCTTGGAAGGAAGTGAGATCCAGCAAAAAGTCTCATTAGAGTTCACTCTTCCTCATGAAGCCCACAGTGCCCTGTCCCGTGGTGGGATAATGTTTGGGTGTCTCCCACTCTCCACAGCATCTTCCCATGGGGCTGTGGGAGGGTGGGAGGAATTGGCAAAAACATCTCCCCCATCCTCTCCAGTTGGAGATGCTGCTGGAATGCTGGAGCCAACCCTCTGAATAGTGTTAAGAAAGATATCACATTCTAAAATTTACAAGTAAGGACACGCTGAGGCATCTGAAAAATATCCAGTCATCCAAAGCTCTCCAAGTCCATCAGTATTAGAGACTTGTCATCTTGTGTTTAGTCAAGCCTTCATGACCATTTCACCCCAAACCCATGAAAGTTCAAAATGAAGAGACCACTTCTGATTTGGTCAAGCATGTGGAAAAGTAAAAACAACAAGGCATATATAATCAGTTTAAGATGTTATTAAAACAAAGACAATAGCATGAGTTGAGGGTTAAATAGCAGTCTTGTCACAGTTAAAGTCTAGGATGAAAAAGGCTTTGATTTGATGCCACTAATACTGACCAAATTCAAGATAGCTGCTTTAGCTCTAGTAATGACAATAATATTATGTGCATGGAATAGGAGTTTCATTCAACAGCATTCTGACATGCACATCCCAGTCTACACACATTATCAAATCATCCTTCAAAAGCTGTTTGCTATAGGGTGCGGAACGCTGCTTTTCATGAAACCATTTGGAGCTCAGGAGTAGTTTTATGGATCTCTGGACAAGTAGATCTTATCATACTACTTTTCTTCAAGATAAATCACACCAAATATAAAGGACATATCTGATTCCCATGAGAAAGGGACTGATTTTACACCATCGAAATCAATGGGACCTAAACGCATTGGGGTCAGTCCGTAAAATCTAAAACCCGTGTGTGCAACTTTAAGCAGACATTTCTATTTTCAAATAAATAAGGCTTTACTGCAGCAATAGGAAGAATGGTTTCATATATTCATCTTTGTTCTCAATTCTATACTAAACGTTTCAAATGACTACCTATGAGGTGAGCCCAGGACAGCACCTTATGCAATAAATTTGGGTGTCATGGCTGGTTTTACAGATAATTAAATTTCAAAGGTTGCACTTTTAAACCCCAATAAAGGCCCCAGAGCTGATGATATTTGATTCCTTCATGCATTCTGATTGAAAAGATACTCTCATTGTAGAAATTGCTTGTATGCGTCCAATGAAAATAAACTAATATATAAAACTAAATATATTGAAAAACACAATTTTAATAAAAAAGCTTGAAAAACAGAAGGTTTTGATTCCCTGTAATTATTATTTTATTATCGTATTTATACGGCTGGCATCTGTCTTTCTCGGGAGACAATGGAAAAGTGTGCCTTCGGGGGTGATGGCATATTTATATAATGCTTATATCTTGCCTTTTCCCCGGACCAAGACTCAAGGCAGCTTGCAGATAATATAGGAAAAGCTAAAAACATAGAAGAGTACAGTGGTACCTTGGGTTAAGTACTTAATTCGTTCTGGAGGTCCATTCTTAACCTGAAACTGTTCTTAACCTGAAGCACCACTTTAGCTAATGGGGCCTCCTGCTGCCGCTGCGCCGCCGGAGCACGATTTCTGTTCTCATCCTGAAGCAAAGTTCTTAACCTGAAGCAGTATTTCTGGGGTAACGGGGTCTGTAACCTGAAGCGTATGTAACCCAAGGTACCACTGTAATGCCAAATAAAATGCACATGTAGGATTTAACCCAGGAATTACAGACACTATGGGCTTCTGCTCATGGAAGGGACCCTGATTCAGTCAAAACTCATGCTTGGTGAAAAGAAAATGTAACATTCACCAGTTCTTCCTTCCCACTGAAGCCTGCAGCGCCACCTCCTAGAACAGGGGTCAGCAAACTAAGGCCCCTGAGCCAGATCAGGCCCACTTGGGTCCTAAATCTGGCTCGCTCCGCAAAGCCGGAACCCGCCACGAAGCCAAGACTCCCGGTGATGGCGGCAGCTCCTCTGCCACTCAAATGCCTGGTTTACCTCACTGGTGTTTGATTGGCAGAGACGGCCCTGTGCCGCACTGAGGTAAACCAGGCACAGCGTTTGATTGGTAGAGCCTCCACCACTTGGCCTCTTCCTCCCATCGCCGGGAGTCTCGGCTTTGTGGCGGGTTCTGGCTTCATGGCACGGCCTCTTCCTCCCGCCGCCACCGCCCTGGTGCTCCTGTGGGCCAGAGAGCGGAGCGGACGAGCTCGCTCTGCCTACCCACGATAAGTGATGGCGGGGAGGAGGATTACTTGCCCCCCCCGCCTCTTCTTCCAGCTCCTCCGCCCCAGGTGCTGCTTCTCCGGCCCGCCACAAGGTCTGAGGGACAGTGGACCAGCCCACAGCTAAGGTCCTCCTGGGCGACATTTCACAGGGCACAGGGAAAGGAGGAATCGGTGAAAAATAATCTCCCTCCTCCCAGGGGAGTGTCTCGTGAAAAGAACTCAATTCATGTGAAACCCTGATCCAGCCCATTATGTTTTGAAAACAACATTAAGTATATACGTAGCAGCGGCTATATACACACACTATATGTATTTAATACTCACTTTCCATTTTCAGCAGATATGTACTCTTCCCATGTAATTGTGTTTGGTGGAGGTGGAGTAAGAGACTGCCTCCTGACAGGCTGTTAAAGAAAACAAATGGGAATTATTTGTAAATCAGAGCACTTTACTACTTAGTAGGCTACCATCATCTCGTCTAAAAGAACATCTGTCTCTCATGCTTCCTCCAACATTTGCCAATCTGAAGAAGAGTAAATTGGGGCTAATCCAACATTAGAACACTGCACTCCTGACAAATGAACAGCAACCAATCATTTAGACATGAAACAGAAATGTACACTTGTTAGCATGCCTGAAGAGCTGCGTAAAAAATGTAAGCATTTCTTAAGGATAGCCACGTGCAAAAGAAATACTTTTTGTCTCCCCCAGATAAATCACAAGCATCAAGACAAGAGCAAACCTTGGCTATAACTCCTGGACTGTCTGGAACAAGACAAACCATGTGCCTAGGTTTGGCTGTAACGCTAAGCCAGACCATGGCTTAAGCTCTAGCTGGTGTGGCAGCCAGAGGACTGGGAGTGGACCGAAGTGGTCACGATTTCTGCTGTGAGTACCTGCACACTTGCACATTCACACTCAGCAATGGCTTGGCTTAGCGTTACATGTGAACTAAGCCAGCAAAAGGTCATCTGTTGTTAAATGTTCAATTTAAACAGAATTTTTAACTGTACCTCAAAATTTTGTTCCATCAAGTTTCCACCTTTACTCAAGCTTTCCATAATAGCCTTGTTTCGAAGAATATCTTCCTCACTGAGATGTTCCCGTCTTTTCCTTGATTCTAAGACAAGTCCATTAACCAGGTAGAAGTCTGCCAAAAAGTTTCCTACCCTTTCCTGCAAACACACAAAAATAAAACACATGAAGTATTTGAGCCAAAATGCAAAACTTCTACTGAAGCTCACCTAGTCTTTTCATTTATTGTCTACCTGCCAACTGCTTATGTTTTTGCCCCTAATGTCACATTTTTATATATTTCACTCACTTTTCTTATAACCCTAACTTTTAACATCCTCCCTTCTCCCAATCCGGATGACTGGGAAAGCAAAACTGACAACCTACCGTATTTTTCGCTCTATAACACGCACCTGACCATTACACGCACGTAGTTTTTAGAGGAGGAAAACAAGAAAAAAATATTCTAAACGAAACAGTGGATGTATGATTTTTGTGGTTCATGCTGTGGCCACAGACATGTGATCTGACAGTGAGTTTGGGGTAGCCCAATGCAAAAATCCTGAGGATCCATGTGGATCCATGCTTTGTAACCACATTTTTGCACCATTGCGGCTCCATGAAACAGTGGGTGTGGGTGTTTTTTGGTGCAGGCTGTAGCCATGGACATGCTATGTGATCTGATGGTGAATTTGGGGTGACCCAGTGCAAAAATCCTGAGGATCCATGTGGATCCGTGCTTTGTAACCACGTTTTAAGTGGGGAGGGAGGGAAAAGCACTCAAGGGACAAGGAGCACACGTGGGGGGTGTGGAGAAGGATGCTGCTAATAATGCAGGAGAGGCTCCTCTCTGGCTTTGCTCCTTTAAAACAAGCAGGCTCTGCTTCTCTCCCTCCTCCCCGGCAAGGAAACCACGAAAGTAACCACTCTGAGACAAATCAAGAAAAATTGCGACCAACACTCTCCCCCAACAAGCGCAGTGAGGTCAAAACACACACACACACAGAGAGAGAGAAAACTGGCCCTAAAGGCGCAGGGCGCTGGAAGTCGCAGGAGCGCTGGGGGAGTGAACGGGAAGCAAGAGAAGGAGAAGGAGCCCTCACACACACACAGACACACAGAATATCAATCCTAAAGTCGCAGGGCGCTGGGAGAGCACAGGGGGGCTGGGAGAGTGAACGGGAAGGAAGAGAAGGAGAAGGAGCCCTCACACACACACAGACACACAGACACACAGAGTGGCAATTCTAAAGTCGCAGGGGTGCAGGGAGAGCGCAGGGGCGCAGGGAGAGTGAACGAGAAGCAAGAGAAGGAGAAGGAGCCCTCACACACACACAGAGTGTCAATCCTAAAGTCTCAGGGGCGCAGGGAGAGTGAACGGAAGCAAGAGAAGGAGAAGGAGCCCTCACACACACACAGACACACAGAGTGTCAATTCTAAAGTCGCAGGGGCGCAGGGAGAGTGACCGAGAAGCAAGAGAAGGAGAAGGAGCCCTCACACACACACAGACACACAGAGTGGCAATTCTAAAGTCGCAGGGGCGCAGGGAGAGTGAAGGGGAAGCAGAAGGAGGAGAACGATAGCTCAAGCACACACACAGCTCCTACAGTGGCTAATCCAAAATCGGACAGCAAAAAACTGCAGGCAGGGACAGAGAGCACGGGTTGTTTTAAAGCAGCCAACTCCTGCTCTGCTTCTCTCCCTCCTTCCCGGCTCCGCTAGCTGACAGGAGCCGCTTACACCCGCTTTGTTGTTTCAAAGCGAGCCATGGACTGCTCACGACTGCAGCAGATTCCCCCGCCATCTGTAGGCATTCGCTCCATAACACGCACAGACATTTTCCCTTACTTTCTAGGAGAAAAAAACTGCGTGTTATGGAGCGAAATTTACGGTATATGTTTGTCCTACATTTCACCTGCCTTACAGACGTCTTCCCTGGGGCACACTAGCACAGGATGGATGGATGTCTTAAAATAGTTATTAAAAAGTCTTACTGTTTTATCTTCTCGAAAAAGCCATCCTGTTTGGGCACGTGTGAAGGTGATTGATTTGGTTGATAATGTTGCTGAATAAATATCGCTGCTCATCAAAATGTCAACTTCCTCCTCTGTTTCCATCTCAGATTCCTGAAAAAAAGGAAGAATATTAATTGTGGTTTGGTTGTTGTTTTTTTTAAAAAAAACCCCAAATTATTTAAACAGATTTGTTATCCTCTCCCTGTCCAATTTCTGCCTGAAATAAATAGAAACCTTCCAGTAATAATTCCATTAGGTAGCAGTCTTAACCACTGCGAGTATGAGTACACCATATCTCCCATTGATATACATTCTCAGGTACAAGATTACTCTCCATTTCAGCTTCTTTCTAAAGCTACACATTCACATGTTGCCTTTGGAAACCTTCTGCGTAAAGTAGTCTTCTGCAGCCTTCTGATTTCTCAGACCCTAGATGTACATCGTATTACTGTCACTGCTACGTAAGTAATAAATATATTTTGGGAGGACATTAGCAATCTATATGGGAAAGGAGTTTAATATTGTTTGCAGCAGAACTGTTAAGCAACTAGGTATCCTGCAAAGCAATACTAAACATAAGAGAAAAAACGGCAGTGGAATTATAGCCCTCCTCCATACATATCTACTGTGTTCAATGGAAGAGCTCCCAAGTAAGGGCACAGAGGACTGCAGCCTTACATGTCTGATACTGGAATGACAATATCTTGCAACTACCTTGTACATTTTTAAAACAAGTCATTTATTTGGGGCACAAAACAGCAGGAAACATATTTTGCTTTGTTTTTGAGTAGCATTGTGAAAGATTTTACTAGCGGTGCTGCAGCTTACCTCGTGATGTATTCGCTGGTAAACTTTTTGTTCGTTGTCTAAAACTACAAAGGATTCAGAGGGTGCAGCGTCACCGTTGAAAATGAAGCTCAAGTCCCCTCGTTGGCACTTCATGTCAGTAAAATCTATGAGTGTTGTGTCAAGCCTGGGGGAGGGGGGAACATTCCAATGCTTCAGCTGATCCAGAATATTAGTTCACAAAATTGTACTAATAACCAATGAGATTTGATTATTTTTTTTAGAAGCAAGATTTGAAACAGAAATCAGCCCTGTCTGGGTGTGCTATCTGTGTGCAAAGGCAACATACAAGCAGGGATGAGTGTGCTAAGATCTGCCCCCTGCATTACTCTGCCCATCACCCTCCAAAAGAAGAGGGAGCCTCCTCTACTCATGGAGTAAACTTACTACTCATGGAGTAGACTTACTACTCATGGAGCAGACTTACTACTCATGGAGTAGACTTACTACTCATGGAGTAATTTAGAACCCTGCACAACTGGGGTCGCCTACAACCCTCGAAATGACTTTTAACCATCCGCTGAATGGGGTGGGCTAAAATGTGACAGAAGGCAGCAAAAACTGTGTGGCCACTTTCAGCGAGAAGAGCTTCTGCTCACAGAAGATGCCTCTAACCAATTTTTAGCGATCATTTCTCTTGCCCGCTTTCCCCACAGCATCCTGTGCTACAGCCCAGCGAGGTCTCCTGACTGCTGGGAGAGGCAGGGATGAGGCAGCTCACTCCCTTCCATGCGGATTTCATTGCATACAACCCAAAATATACAACAAGATCTTGTCCTATCAAATCTTTTGAGTCTCCACCAAGAGAAAATATTCCTACAACAGAGAACTTCTGCCACCACTACTATGCAAGTTCTGTTCAGAGAATTCTAGTAAATTCACAAGATCAGAGCAGGTAAGTCTGAGAAGTTTAGCTTTAGCAGAAGAACAAACTTGCTGATGGTACATGTCTGAATAGGGAATTCCTGTATATGAAAAATTCTCCACACACAGTACAATAAGGTGAATTTTAACAGCTAACAGTAGTGCTGAAATCTCACTCAGATAAGAAGGTAGTGCAAAATTTCCATTGGATTAAGCATGTAGCCAGACCGAAAAGTTTATTTTGCTTCTTTCAGTATTACACAAAATATATATTCCATTTATTTTAAAAGTTAGCAAGATGTGGAAATTTCTCTTTGACAAAAACCTGCTTAAATAGCAACATCTTTAGTTAAAAAGAAACCCAAAGTCATCTTGACTTGTTTAGAATCATCCAATCACCTAACAGGCAGCTATGCCAATATTTGGCTACAGGTGTTTGTTTTAGAAGCAGCCATGCAATATTCACAGGATTTAAGGAGACTGTGCTGAAGATGGTCCCTAAGCAAGCACTAGCCTTAAAAAAGTCAAATATGTAATTCACAAAGGGGTAGAGCGAGCCACTTTACAGAATAAATCTTATTCATCATTTGTCCAGTTGAGAGCTGAGAACATTAATTGTGAGAGAATCATGACTCTCAATAAAAGGCATTTCAGTAATGAGTTAATAGTCAGCTCACACTAACATCACATCACAGCACCTGGGATAAAGCGGCAAAACATGCACAACTCCATTTATCTGGAGATTCCCAATTATGAGCAGGCCAACAATGTAAACACAGCTATGCAGACCACTGGTAACTCTTCTACAGTTATCTTCTTTAAATAATTTTTTTTGTAATAAACTCCAATACTTGTAGAGTTTCTTTAAAGAGTTCAAGCTCATGAGCCCAACTCCACACCAGCAGGGGGCTGTGCAATTTTCCCTCTTAGTTGCAACTCCTTACACCATGTTAAATGCCACTCTGCAGGGCAACGTTTTGGAACATTAAGGTGACTGCAAAGGAAACACAGATCAAAAGGCTCTGTGAATGTGCAGTGCGCGGCCTCTACATCTTATCCTCCTCACCCACATCACAACAGGGTATGAAATTTGGAAATGCATGAAGACATTGGCAACAGAATTAAAACTCAATATTTTAACATCATTACATTTCGTACAGTTCAGGGATGGGTAATTTGTAGTCCTTCAGATGTTGTTAACTACAACTCACATCAACCCCAGTAAGCATGGTTACTGGTAAAGGATCATGGGAGTCGAATTCCAGTAGCATCTGGAGGGCCACAGGTTCCCCATCCCCGGTGTAACCCTTCAAAGGTGAAGACTATTCTTACCTGATATTTATACCTTGTTTGTATATTTTACATGCATCAGAAGGCAGGATTCGGGAAAGTAAAGGCACTGCATTTAGGGTAAAAACGACACCCTGTTACCATTAATGTCCTTCTAATGTATCCATTCAGAATACAACACACAAAATAAAAAACTATCAACCACATCATATATAAACACATCCAACAAAGCAACTAAAACAGAGCCATATGTAAAGCTATTAATCATGATAGCTGTATAGTACACCCAATGCCCACAGGCACCTTTCCTCCAAATACCAGTCACTGCAGATTAACAACACGAGAGGCCTATTGCTCCATGCCCTGCTTATAGGGTTCCTAGAGGTATCTGGCTGACCACTGTGGAAAGCAGGATGCTGGATTAGACAGGCCTTCAGTCTGATCCAGCAGCTCCACTAGAATTGAAGCCGATAGAACTGTAACTAATTTAAAGAACGTAATCTCTTCCACCAAAAAGTGGCAAAACACATTTCAGTTGTTTGAATTATGACAAGTAGGATAGCACTTTTGATATTTTATGCTCAGCTGTCCACAGAGGCACAGGTCAATTCTGTGTCCAGGGCGGCTGTCTACCAGCTCCATCTGGTACACTGGCCGAGACCCTACCTGCCTACACACTGTCTCACCAGAGTGGTGCATGTTCTGGTTATCTCCCGCTTGGACTACTGCAATGCACTCCACATGGGGCTACCCAGAAACTACAACGAATCCAGAATGTGACTGCCAGAATGGTGACTCAGAGCAGCCGCTGGGACCATTTAACACCGGTTCTAAAAGATCTATATTGGCTCCAGGTACATTTCCGAGCACAATTCCAAGTGTTGGTGCTGACCTTTAAAACCCTTAACGGCCTTGGCCCTCAAGGAGTGTCTCCACCCCCATCATTCAGCCCAGACACTGAGATCTAGCTCCAAGGGCCTTCTGGTGGTTCCCTCACTGCGAGGAGGGAGGTTACAGGGAATCTAGAGAATGCTCCCAATCTCTTAAGGGATCAAGAAATATTACATCACCATCAAGCACTACCAAAATTAACAAACACAAAGGGGCTGGATCTAGATGTCTTCAGTGGAACTCAAACTACTTGATGGTCCTGTGGGGAGGAGACTCTTCTTTTTCTCTGCAGCACCCTATGCCCCCCAAAAATGTGATCCAAAGGGTTGGGTGACCTTCTGGAACCGTGTAGGAAGTGGCACTGGGCATGTAGGGGAAATCAACAAAAATTACATTTTCCTTTCATCTGCAGGAATAACCCAGCCACAAATCCCCATGGGATCAGAGTCCCATCTGTGAACAGAAAGAACCTTTCGATTTGTGGAAGATGTCTGGATCAAACTCCAACTATGTTTGTGCTTTTGCATAACTATCTACAACAAGTTTAGTACAGAAAATCCAATCATTTCAAATAACAAGTCTGTTCTGGAGAAATAAGTATTTAGACTGGATAGCTCAGTTGGCAGAGCACAATACTCTTAATCTCAAGGTCATGGACAAAAAGATTCCTGCACTGCAGGGAGTTGGACTAGATGACGCTCGTGACCCCTTCCAACTCTACAACTATGATTTCCATAAATATCTTTAAAATCTTACCCCAACTTTGAAAATCCCAGTGAAGTTCAAGATAGAAGTCACCTAGCTGGAGAGAAAGAGAATTTCTGTTAAATGTTAAGAAACTGATGACTACTTTCATGTCCACCCACCCAGGAAATGCTAGCAACCATAACTTTCATTTGGACATGCTAAACTTTGGGGTAAGTGTGTATTAATTGAAGATTTTAAAAGAAGAAGTAGAAGAAAAGGTGTAAATTAGTCTTACTTGTTTTATCTACGGAAGTACAGAAGTAACACGATCAAAATAACAGCCCAAACTATACAATATCTGAATCAAGCTAACCTTGCAATCAAATATAATGTATAAATTATTTTACTACAACTACAACAGCTTGGCTTCTTAAAAGTTATTTTTCAAAAAGTAGCTATTTTTTTAGCAATACATTTCTCCTTTGAAAGCAGTCAGTGTAGGTGACAATTTTTGATAGCTGCTCCTTAACCAAGAGCTTATGTTTGTAGAAAACGTCCTTCTGTGCAAGATAATAATCGCTATATGAAGCCATTCTTCTGAAGAGCTAGTTATTTCTGAAGCAAGGGAATCAAATGCTAGCTAAGCTAAACAACTTTGACCCAGATCAACAAAATGAGGAACCTGTGGCACCTCTTAAAGTACATGGGCAAGGGATACCTAGAAGCAGCTAATGTAGCTGGAGAACGCATGATATAACAGAAAAACTTGCTTTGAATTGGAGCTACTGAGTTTATGTACCCAGTTTATGTACAAAGTTCTAAAACAGGCCTTCTCTGTCCATGGGAATTAGCATGACAAATGGAAACTGTCAAATGCAGTTTTTCCTTCCCTCAAATGGAAACTGTCTCTCTCCTTATATCAATAATTATGGTATGTTAGGAACTGATCTCTGGCTCACAGTTTAAATGCTATTCAAATATTTTAACATATTTACATCAGCTTCCAATTTCACTGCAACTTCAAAATGCAGAAGCTACATGTAAACAAAGCATTATTAACTTGTCTTTAAAACCAAAATAGAAACATAATTTTTTCCACAGTGAAACTTAATTTTTAAAATCACAATTACGATCCATAGCAGAGACTTAACACTAAAACTCCACACCCGGAATTTAGAACATACAACCCATAGGCCATATCCAGTCACCAAGCCCTTTCTCTAAGTAGGGAAGAGGTCACTGCTGCAAGGTAAGTCACTTACAGGTCAGTCATTCTAAGACACAGACAAGCAAGCAATATGCAATTCAGCCAGCAATTCCCAGAAATAGAGGCCTGTGTTGAGTTGTTTGCACTTAATGAAGACACAATGGCAATCACACACAAATTGTTTGAAAAGTAATGACTCCATACTCTCCAATGTGGGTGGAAAAATCCTTACAAACTTACCTCTTTCAGAGCTTTTAATAACCGAGGTCGCTTTTCCTCAACACTTTCCCTAGACTGTTGTTTCAGTTTCCTTAGAAGTGCTGTAACTAAATAAATACACTGTAAGTCCAATGTAAAGGCAATCATGTTAAGCATCCACTAAGCTGGGAGCTGCCTTTACCTTTTGTAATGGCTGGTGGCAAAAGAGAAATCAGCATCAATTGCAGGGCCACCTCTACTGCCGGCAGAGAAGCAGCGTCGGCATCAGCACCAATTACAGGTGAGATCTTGCTGGAATCGCACAAGATCTTGCACCCTCCACAAGATTTCACATAATTTTGGATGATACTGGTGCCGCTTCTGCAGCATGGGCAGGGTGCCCATGGGGCTGCCATACTGGGGGTTTCTGCCACCTGAGACAGCCGCCATAGTCTGCCTAATGGCAGAGGCGGCTCTGGTCAATTAGTAGCTTTTCGTTACTTAAGCAGTATTGTCAAATAAATAAAACAAAGTTCAGTGAAGTAAACTGACAACAGTAGGCCATATACTACCATTCAGAGACAAATATACAAAGCTTCCATGGGGCAAGTGAAAGATCTCGGAATACTAGGTGTTTCAGTGTTACTGAAAGTGTGATCTAATCAGTAATCTGGATCAGAGACCACTGGGAGTCTCATAAACATGCACAAAGCCAACATGTGTGCTTTCCCTAAGAGTTTGCCTTTTGGAAATGAAGCAGTTACAGCAATGTTGTTTCCTCTTCAAAACCTCTGGCATACAATTCCCGGACTGTTTTCTGAAGGAATTTAAACAGCAATTTGGGGTTTCTGTAGGGGAGTTTTCATTAAGACATTTCCAAATTCAGGTACAAACATGCTCCTCCCAGCTTTGACCATAATGCTAATGCTCCTTATGCTTAAAATAAACCCTCATTTAAGTTCTGGAGCTGTACATCAACACACCATTGATCAGGCACACTTAACTGCTAACCTACAGCATAACATTTGATATGCTATATTCTATTGCACTTGTATATAATTAAATGAATAAATCACCCATCCTGAACATTCTATGTAAGTAGCAATGCAAAAGTTGTAAATACAGCTTTGGAATGTTACATGTAATAAATAAAAAATTGATACGTACGTTATATTAAGCAAGAGTAGCTTGCATTTTAAATCAAACTCTCAGTAATTTGTGCCAAATAAAACTAAAAGTTTATATTTGAAGAAGAAGAAGAAGAAGAAGAAGAAGAGGAGGAGTTTGGATTTGATATCCCGCCTTTCACTCCCTTTAAGGCGTCTCAAAGCGGCTAACATTCTCCTTTCCCTTCCTCCCCCACAACAAACACTCTGTGAGGTGAGGGGGGCTGAGAGACTTCAGAGAAGTGTGACTGGCCCAAGGTCACCCAGCAGCTGCATGTGGAGGAGCGGAGACGCGAACCCGGTTCCCCAGATTACGAGACTACCACTCTTAACCACTACACCACACTGGCTCTGAACTGAAAATGATATTCATTAGTCATGAAAGACTTTATCTTTACAAAAGCTCGAGAAGCAAGGTAAATCAAGCAAGTCAGGTTTTTATAATTTGGGAACATTTCAGTTGAGAAGCAGGATAATGTAGCACCACCACACTGCCTTCTTAAAGAATGAGAACTCCAAACAGCATGGATTTCAACACCTGCTGGTTGACTAACTCCTACCTAACAACAACAAAGGTGCAATGCTGCTCTTGATATAGTCATACTTATTGCTAGTACCAGTGTAAACCTTAATATGAGGAGCTTGAGCTGGACCTGGAATTATCCTGGACAATCTGCAGAAAAGCTTAACATGAGCACTTGCCTTTACAAATTATCTCAAGATTAGGTGTTCATGATCTACAGTGGTACCTCTGGATGCGAACTGGGTCCATTCCAGAGCCCCGTTCTCATCCTGAAGCGAACGCAACCCGCGTCCGCACGGGTCGCGATTTGCCGCTTCCGCACATGCGTGTGACGTCACTTTGCGCGTGACGTCACTTTGCGCGTGACGTCATTTTGAGCGTCTGCACATGCGCGAGCGGCAAAACCTGGAAGTAACGCACTTTGTTACTTCTTGGTCACCACGGAGCGCAACCCAAAAATATTCATCCCGAAGCATATTTAACCCGAGGTATGACTCTACACATTTCAGTCACAATTTGCAGTAAGCTGATCTTAATGACTAAATGGATTTCATGTATTTATGTCAAGACAACCAGAGCGACAGTTTCTTACTCATTTGTCTATCTCCATAGCTGATGGCTTCTGCGAGAGGACTCCATCCCTGAGCATTTTTCACTTTCACAGGAGCATTGTGGGCCAAAAGCAGGTGGGCACATTCTATAACAAAGTATGGGACAATAATTATTTTCCAAATAAGACCATCAGATTGCTTCTCTGTGAAGAGCCACTTACCATTTGAAAAAAATACTGACGTAAACAAGTTTTGAACTTACTGAAGTTTGAGCAGCACATAACATCAAGCTAACCAATGACCTATTTTGCATTTGAAACCATTTATGTAGCATTTGGTGCAAAGCAAAATCTATTGGGTGGTATCTGACTAAGTCATACTCATGGTTAACGTTAAGTGAACGTGATTTCAATAGATCTGTTCTATGACTTAGGCTGCATTCTTAACTATGTCTACTCCTATTGAATTTAATGGTGGTTACTCACAGGTTAAGTGGGGTTAGTCTTGCAGCCACAGCTAGGTACAACCTAGTGTCTGAATTGTATCCAAATGATGTCTTTCTACTGACAGAAGTCTCTGATCCAACAGAGGCTTCCATCAGCAGGACAGGGAGGTAGACAGACTTTCAACAATTCCCAGAGTCCCCTGAGCAGTGCCCCCATCGCACAATCTATTCCTGGGGGTTGGGAGAAAAAGATAGAACCTGTGGTATTATGATGATTTAGTGATATATGCCTTTAGGAACTATTTTGATTGAGCAAGTCAATCAAAAATATTTAAGAGCAGTTTCACTCCCTATGTATACACAAATAACAGCAACAGGAGATTAACAGGAAATGCTTCAACAGTCTTGACTGCCATAGAGGAAACCTAACCTGAATCCACCGTACCTAATTAAACAAAGTATACTGAGCTGATGGGATTGTTTGGCGCTGTATCTTAACTAGGCAAGTAAACCAAGGAGTCCAGTGGAAAATGAGGAATGGAGACAACACTTATGGCTAACAGTTTTAAATTTATTGGGAATTACAAAGAACTTTATTTCCTACGCTACACTGCTATTCTACTTGAACAAGAAATAAAAGCTGCCTTTTTAAACAAAAAAAGTAAACTCAAAACAACTTAAAATGAAACGAATATAAACCTAAAACAAAATGAAAGCCATGGTACACCTGCATCAGCACAACCAGGCACTTTCAACTACCCAAACTAAAACAAAACATGCCTCTCCCATATTGATTTCCAATGGTTTGACTTCATGGCATACTCTTCCAGTGCCTCCTGAGACAGGCGGATGCCAAACAACATAAAAGGCAGTCAAACACATCCCACCCACCAAAGGAAGCCACAATATCTTAAAATAAGATGCTTTGGTGCCAAGACCAAATATGGGTGCAAAGGAGAGGAAGGAATCAAATAAACCTGAGCAGCACAAAAATCAACAAGAGGGTGAGGTAGTGACATTGGCAAAAAAAAAGAAAAGAAAAAAAAAGAACACACAATGCAAATCAGAGGAAAGATAACAGAGCATGTAGTATGAATCTTAAGGACCAGGCTGAGAGGGTGAAAGCAGAAAGTGAGAGCTTCTCCCCAGCAGAAATGCTGAAAGAGTATTAGATTAGTAGGAAGAGTCAGAGAAACCTTAGGCATGAAGAGTGTCAGGCACAAGAGGGTAATCAGCAGTATCAAAAGCAGTAAAGTCAAGCATAAGTAGAGAAGAGATGACAAAGCAATTTTGCTGAGGACATTTGACAATAGGGTACTAAGTGCAGAATACAGATTGTAGTGGCTCTAGACAGAGCTGAGCCTCATAGAGTAACCAGTTTGATCCTGGAGTCTGAGGGTAAAGGGTGGAAAGGAAATTAATGGAGAACAACCGCTTTCACAGTAAGGGAACAGCAGACGTTACGTGGGAAAGCACCTGCAGTGTTCTTGTTTCTAGGATCTACTTATCCAAGAATCAATTCCCAGAGAATATCTGCTTTCAGTGTTGATGGTTATGACAGCAATGCCTTCAGGATAACAAATGAACTTTCCACTAAAATTACTTAACTGGCAAATGCAGGAATCTTTTTGCCCAATGTTCTTCTGACTGAGCTATCCCACAGGGTCTGAGTTACAAATTTCTAATAACCTGAGAATCTTCTATCCAACACCTATTTAATACTGAAAAGGCATTTCAGTAACTGGAGAGGCAGAGGGTTAGAAGCTTCCACATCTGCCAGCAATGTACACTGCATTATGTTGCACTGGTAGGACTTGAACAGAGAATGAAGGCACTTGTGCACCTGCTAGCAGCTATTTTATCCTCTCTGGAAAAGCCTCTCTCATAGTCCACAGTCCCCTGTTCTACAAAAGCTATGATATGGCCTTTGTTGATTTTAAAAGAGGGACCAGTCTTTTTCCATTATATTTTCCATTATTTCCATTATTAATATTCTAGCTTTTAGGACCAATTATTATGACTAGCCTGGTTCCTAACTTGACTGGACCTGGAGAAAATGAAATGAAGGCAGCAGCCTTCATTAATTTTTCTGAACTTTTTGCAGATAGTTCTGAACAGCATCTCATAGCTTCTCTGCCTACCATACTTCATTCCAATTTATTTGGAATTTTCTCTTAAGTCACTGCAAGACAAGCAAGGGGCAATACAGACCCTTTTCTCTGTGCCCCTTCTTGTCCCTCGCAATAAAGTAACAATGGTAAGGATTCAGGACTGGGCAAGGTAGACATGTGAAGGGAACTCCCCTCCCCATAACCTTCTGAGCAGCTCTTGCCATTCAGAAGCAAAGGGCACTGAAAAGCACAAGCGTGACCATGCCCCCAGCTCACAGTAAAACAGCACTGGCTGCATTTTCACAAAGGGCTCTGTGAAAGAGATGTGTTTCTTCTTCATCTAACTGCAGTTCCCAACAGCCACCACCACCATGATCTAGGGAAAGCTATGAGAAGGTGAATTCTCCCCTTGTTTGCTCTGTTATTCCCTTTTCCTTGTTTTGAGAAATATGATCTGGAGGCTCTAGTTGCTACGTTTGATGCTGCATACATTTTTTTAAAAGCAAATATAAATGAAGTCTTACCAACCTTTATGCCCCAGCATCACAGCCAGATGTAAAGGAGTGTTTCCTATTTAAATGAATAAACAAACAAAGAAGATTTTAAATCAGTAATTAGACTGAATAAAACATCAAGTTTCACGCTGATAAATGGTCCTAATATCAATTATGAGTTAAATATAGCAAACCTACTATTGTCAATTTGACAATAAAGAATAAGCAGAGTTAAATCACATGACAATTCACTTTGATACATTATCTGTATTGGGTCAATCTTCAGTTTTACTCCTGGGCAATTAAGAGGACAGGAATAATTAAAGAATATTGGAAAGAAAAAGAAAGAAATCAAGTGACATTCTGTCACTCTAAATTAATTAAGGCCTGTAAAGTCTCCAATGTTATCAAAACTGACGGATGTAGGTCACTACACATAAGGGATATATTCTAATAAAAAATTAAACAGCATGTTTTATTTATTCATTGCATAGATCCAGTTTTACAGACAAGATATGTTATTAAAAGTACCTTAATGAAAACCAGAGAGCTTTAAGTCACTCAAAATACATAATTACTATAAAATATTACAGTAACAGCTTACAGTTATGTAAAAACAGAATTATGAGTATTGTACTGTTGCAATATACTTGAACAGAATTCACACTGGACAGAGAAATCAGCTGCTTCAGAACCTTAACTTTTATTTTTATGGCAGTTAAGAAATGCAATGGCTGGAAAAATCAAACAAGAATGAAAAGATAAGCAGGACGCTTATACCACCCTAAGGGTGGTATCCAACACTGCACTATGATGAACATGCCATCTGCACAAGCATTGTAGATTGCCAGACAGAACTGTCTCCCCACTTCTTCTCTGCATGCCGTTCTTGGGTTTCTGCTGGGTTGCACTGGGGGAGGAGAGGCGGGAAATCTCTATTTTACAAGTGATAGTCCTTGAGAAGGGATTCCATCAATGATCACATAAAATAACCTGCCCCCAGTTAATTATATCCATAATAATTGATGGCAGCTTGTATCTGGGTTGCAAAGAGAGCTCTACCTCTCTTTCAGAACCAGTGAAGATGCTGAAGGTCCTATGTGAGTATCTGGAGGATGGATGGCGGCTAACAGATTGAAGTTGAATCCTGACAAGACAGAAGTACTGTTTTGGGGTGACAGGAGGCAGGCAAGTGTGGAAGACTTCCTGGTCCTGAATAGGGTAACTGTGCCCCTGAAGGACCAGGTGCACAGCCTGGGAGTCATTTTGGACACACAGCTGTCCATGGAGGCGCAGGTCAATTCTGTGTCCAGGGCAGCTGTTTATCAGCTCCATCTGGTACGCAGGCTGAGACCCTACCTGCCCGCAGACTGTCTCGCCAGTGTGGTGCATGCTCTAGTTATCTCTCGCTTGGACTACTGCAATGCACTCTATGTGGGGCTACTTTTGAAGGTAACCAACTAATCCAGAATGCAGCATCTAGACTGGTGACTGGGAGCAGCTGTCGAGACCACATAACACTGGTACTGAAAGACCTACATTGGCTCCCAGTACGTTTCCAGGCACAATTCAAAGTGTTGGTGCTGACCTTTAAATCCCTAAACAGCCTCGGTCCAGTACACCTGAAGGAGCGTCTCCACCCCCATCGTTCTGCCTGGACACTGAGGTCCAGTGCCGAGGGCCCTCTGGCAGGTCCCTCTCTGCGAGAAGCCAAGTTACAGGAAACCAGGCAGAGGGCCTTCTTGGTAGTGGCACCCGCCTTGTGGAACGCCCTCGCACCAGATGTCAAAGAGAAAAGCAACTACCAGACTTTTAGAAGACATCTGAAGGCAGCCGTATTTAGGGAAGCTTTTAATGTTTAATAGACAATATTTTGTTGGAAGCCGCCCCGAGTGGCTGGGGAAACCCAGATGGGCGGGGTATAAGTAATATATTATTATTACTATTATTATTATAGTAACACTTAATCAGAGCAATGGGCTAAAAAACCTTTTGATCAATTTAAAAAGTGCCGCTGATCAATCAGCAGTTTATTAAAATATTGTCTACTTGTTCATACAAGTTATAAATGACAAGCAACATCTTAGAAGATGCATTTCCCCTTCGCTCACATAGGGCGGAATGTCTCTTCTGAAGTGAAACTCACTACAATAGTCATTTGCAACTGACACATTTAACTTACAGGATTTTGATTTTACGCAGTTGACAGCGAGCCAGTTGAATTTGCACAAATTAAATGCATGGAAGGCGAAGAGCTTAAACTTTTAAGTTCTCTGTCTTGCTTACCAGGTTCTGGGAGGCTCTGGGAAGATTTCACAGGAACACATGTGATCTTGCAAGAGCCACCCAGAGCCCAGTAAGCAAGGCAAAGAGCTTAAAAGCTTTCTGCCTTGTTGAGGGGGGCAGAGTTTAAGACCCATTTGACACACCAACTCCAGAAAGTAAGAGTGCTAGCATGGGGGTGATTCCAAGGGAGTGGTTTAACTACATATTTTTGCGCATACACACCACCCCTAGAATATAACCCTCTGTCTCTCTATATATAACCCTTGCACAAGATGTTAGATGCTGTATATAAATAAGAACATATAAACACTTTTCTTTAAGACTATTTTTAGTAATACAGAAACATGCAGATTTAATTACTTGATGAAAATGTGCAATAGACTAAAAATCAGAAGCCAGTTTTTGCTGGAATATCATTGTGCACACAGCCTCAGCAGTGCTGATCTGTTTAACCTAGGGCACTGTTATAAACATTGCACATGCAGCTCTCTCTCTCTGTGGCTGTCAGATGCTCTAACACACACTAGTACAACAAGGCAGGTCAGATTCAACCCCATTAAGCCATCCCTGGTCTAACCAAAAGGTTAGTCTATTTGATTATCAAGCTTCCTGGACTACAATCCAGTCTTTCTTTTGTTCTGAAACTGTTTTTATTGTGAAGCTTTTGTTCTGAAGGGCAGGTTGAAGTTCATTACAACTCCAACCGATTATTTTTTGGCATCCTGGGGCATAATTTTCTGGGGAAAACTCTAAACAAGAAAATGCATACTGCCTGGTCTTCATTGTAATACCAATTTGAGCTTTTTACCCAACAGAAAATCACCTTTGTGCATGCAACACTAATGTCTCACAACAAATGAAACTGATCTGTAGAAAACATAACTTGAAAAAAAGAGACAATGCACGTATTTTTGTAAACTAGGAATTTTTTTATAAAAAGAAAAAGAAAATCACCTTTGTTTCCCTATTCCAGGCATAGGCAAACTCGCCCCTCCAGATGTTTTGGGACTACAACTCCCATCATCCCTAGCTAACAGGACCAGTGGTCAGGGATGATGGTAGTCCCAAAACATCTGAAGGGCCAAGTTTGTATATGCCTGCCCTAGTCCCTGTGAGAAATGAGATATGACTGACCAAAGACCTCAAAATGCCAGGGTGCATTTGATGTAAAGGAATAGTTTCTAATCTATGTACTTTGTCCTCAGCTACAATTCAGCTGACTGGATAACCATCCACGGCAGTGTAATTGGATGCTGCTAGTCAGACACAGAATTAAGTGTGTTCTAATGAGGTTCCAATATTATTCTTGGAAATGGATCAAAGCTGTAGTTAATCACACAAAACCTATGCCTACCTTACCATCATGGTGTAAGAAAATGTGCCCATGAATGTGTCACTGCACTGATCTCACTAGCAGTCTTAAAATGGCAGGGAGACAACCTATAACAGTGACAGAAGATAAGCCACCACAATACCAGTATTTGCCCTACTGAAGTAAATCGGGCTGGAACAGCAAGCAATCAAGAGGTTATATTAATACAATCAAGAGGTTATAATCAATCAAGAGATTATAATATTGTATTACTAAACTAATATTGTGGATTTAAACTCAAAATTTGAGATAAATGATAGCTAGTTTCCAATCTTAAATTTAGCTTAGCTCCAAGACACACACTTTGCATTATGACAACTTTTCAACAGAAGTGTGTTATTTAGCCACAAACTGAAATAAACAAATACAGAAAATGGTAGCTATGCCCGTTTTTAAAATTAGTTTACAACTTAGTTCTTGCTCACTGGAAATCTTATAATTATTTGGACCAGTTTGAATTAATAATGCTCCATAATAAAAGGCTAATACCTCAATCCTACATCTACTCAGATGTAAATCCCATTGAATTTAGTGAGGCTTACTTTCAGGTAAGTGGATCTAGGACTGAACAATAAATATAACTCTTTCCATTAAGAAAATTCCAGTGGATTGATATGACATTTAGTAAATTACACAAAGTTCTACCAGATAAAAAGATCAAAGTAAAAATAACAAGAAGAATCTCGAAGACTCATAGCAACTTCTCACAGAAATAAATGCAACTAAAATTAAGCATACCCTTTAGATCTAGTAGGCATTAAAAACTGGCTGAAGTACAAATTCATGGCTGTAGGTAAAACTGTAGGTGGCATAACAATTATTCTCCTGGAAAATCAAACCACTGAGTAATAGTGACTAATTTCCAGAAAGGCAGTTTTCTATCTTCAGAAGAGAGATGTTCCTACCACGTGTGGGGAACCTCTGGCTTTCCAGATATTGCTGAACTATGTCCCATCATCTCTGGCCACTGGCCATGCTTGCTGGGGTTGGTGGGAGTTGTAGTTCAGAAACATTTAGAGAGCCAAAAGTTCCTCAACCTTGTTTTATATTAAGGTCCTTCCAATGGGCAGAGAGAGAAGAGATTGCATGTACTCCAATATAACTCAGAATACACTGAATTCAACAGGTAGTACTTCCAAGGGTGCATCTAATCGCAGCAGAAGAGCCTCCCCAAATAACACTATTTGCACATTGGGCATCTCTTAGTAAAGGAAGCATTTCTGCTAACAACCATGGTTGACTACAACTGTTTCAGATCAGAAAGTGTTCATTCCTACTTCAGAACTAACATGATACTTCAAAGTATATTATTAGAGTCACACAGGCCTGTACAAGAATCAGAATCATCACAAATAGGGGAAAATAACCATGTCTGCACTTTTGATTGGTACATCCACTCTGAGAGAAAGGAGAGATCTTATACACATTAGCTGTTTTGTTTACATGAAAAATTAATTCCTCCGGTTCCGCCTTCAAAGGCAGGAAAATTGTATTCATTCGGCTAGCCAATGACTAAGTGAGTCGTCAACCTTTACTCTAATTTCCACTGGATAAAATAAAAGCATAATATGTTTTTCAAGTTCAGGAAGTACACTGCCCCATCAGCATTCCTGTAGGCAATTTAGAAATCAACACAGGAGCCAATTCCTCTCTAAAGTGTGTTACACAAGCATACGTGTGCATATATACATACACAGGTCTCATCAGTGTTTCTTATCACAATCCAAAACTGGGATAGCAGTAGTTCTGTCACTTACTTCCTGCTTTTTAAAACACGCTTATTAACATCCCCACCCCACTCCTCATTAGACAAGACGCTCCAGAAGCCTTTCCGAACTAAAGCTTCTTTACTGGGTCAGGATCGGTTTAGGGCATGAGATGCCCAAGCGTAAAAGCAGACACAGATGCCAAGGGAGGTGAAGAGAGATCTCAGGTCGATCCGCATCTAGGTTAAGGTGATCACGGATAGAGAGGTTTAACCGGTAGCATGCCGGTGCGCAGCCGTCCCCCGCCACTGCAGAAAAGATCGGGTGGGGAGATGCAGTGCCGAAAAACACGTAATAAGGGCAATGACCAGCGGAGGTGGAAACTCAAGGCGCCTATAACGGGGGCGTTAGACACATAGCGCGCTGGGGACAAAACGGAGCTCGAGAGACCGGGCAGCAGGATGTCCTTATCTCCGGGGAGGCCCAGGGATGCTCGACCTTCTCCCAGGGTGGCCGGGCGAGCCCTGCCGCTTACCGTGGCTGTCCTTCTGGCCGATGCCCTGCGTGCGGATCAGAGCCGACAGCCGCCTGACGTCCCCCTTGAAGACGCACTCGTGCACGGGGAACTGCGCCGACGGGCCCTTGTCCGGCTCGGCGGCGGCGGACCCGCCGGTTCCCCCCTTGAGCGGCAGCCGGTGGTGGTTGGTGGTGAAGATGCGGTGGCTCCCGGCGCGGCCGCTTTTGCCGGCCCCCGGCCGGCCCCCGGTGAAGGCTCCCCCGCCGCCGCTGCCTGGCGCGGCCGCCGCCTCTTCCTCTCCGGGCGCCAGCAGGTCCCCGTCCTCCTTGCTGGGCTTGTGGTCCCTGCGCAGCGAGCGCAGCTTCTCTCCGGTCATCGCCAGCGGCGGCCCCGGGCGCTGGGGGGCCCCGGCGGGGAGAAGCGGCGCCGCAGTCGCTGCCGCGGGGGGCTCGGCGAGCTCAGAGCCGCGGCGGAGGGTCTCTTCCGGGCTGCAGCATCCCCCCTTCCCGCCGCCCACACTCGCCGCCCGCCGCCCAGGGACTCCCCGCAGGCCGAGGGGGCTCCGCGCTCCTTCCGAACCGCCTTCCACCTGCCGCTCCTCTCAGCGGCTAGACCACGCCGCCATCTTGTCGGAGGGGTCTCGCGAGAGCGGAGCGGCTCCGCCGGGCGAGATCGAGGCGCTCTCGCGAGATGGTGACCTCCGGCGCCTGCCGTGGGAAGGAGGCGAGAGTCCCGGCGGGACTGTTCCGAAGGCGGGGTCGCTGCTCTGAGCGGCGAGGTGGGACGGGGGGGACAGCCCTAGTGAGTTTATTGGGGAGACGCCTGCCCCCCCCCGTTGAGTCCTGACAATTTACTGGCCGTGTTGCGGTTCTGGCTGGCTCACCTGTGGACGCCCAGGTGCTGCCAGACTCCCAGTCTCCGCCACGTGTATGCACGTGGGGTGCTGGTGGGAGCCGGAGCCCAGGAACAGCTGGGGGCCTTACAGGATGGCAGCCGAGGTCCCTTTACCCCGCCCCTAAAATATTTCCCAAATATCCCCTCTCCCAAAATTAATAGTCATTGCTAATCAAATGATGTTCGTGTGTGCCGCATCTTGTGATCGATTATTCAAGTTGGCACCCCTGATCTTGCAGATGAGTCTCTCCCAGGAGAGGAAGGGACGAAGGTTGCATTTGCCTGCTTTTTTCCGTGGCACAATTTTCATGGGAGTGGGAGACGTGCACATGGCCGGTGGCAGTGGAAACGGGTGCAGAGTGGGGCTGCGGAATAGAAGACAGGAAAGGCTTCGGAGTTGGGGTAGGGGAAAGTGAGCTTAGTAGTCGCATGGGGTGGGAAGGGAGAAGCTCTGGCGGTTCGTGTTGGCGAGTGGAGTGAGCCTCCTAGTTAATTCATCATTTCTTCTTTTCTTTAGGACTGCAATACGAAACATACTGGGAAGAAAGCCTCATTATTTATTTATTTTTTACACCACCGTTTATCCGAGGATCACAGGGCGGTTTACAATATAAAAACACAGAAATGCATAACATTGGAACAAACAAAAACAACAACACCCTCACCCCCGTTTAAAAGTCCTGGGAGAAGAGGAATGATCTCAATGATTTATTTACTAGTAAATATGTAGATGTTAAGATTTCAAATGCTGTTATTCCTTGGGTTTCAAGAATCGTCCTTCAGTAAAACTTAATCCTGGTTTTGTTCATTTCGAATACATTTCAACTTTCCATTGTGTTTGAAATGATCTATTCTTACTTGAAAAATGAAATTGGTTTATTTTATCCATGCTAACCTGGAAGTGGGACGCGGGTGACGCTGTGGGTTAAACCACAAAGCCTAGGACTTGCTGATTAGAAGGCCAGTGGTTCGAATCCCCGCAACGGGGTGAGCTCCCATTGCTCGTCCCTGCTCCTGCCAACCTAGCAGTTCGAAAGCACATCAAAGTGCAAGTAGATAAATAGGTACCTTCTCCGGCGGGAAGGTAAACAGCGTTTCCGTGCGCTGCTCTGGTTTGCCAGAAGCACCTTAGTCATGCTGGCCCCATGACCCGGAAGCTGTACGCCGGCTCCCTCGGCCGGTAAAGCGAGATGAGCGCCGCAACCCCAGAGTCGGTCACGACTGGACCTATGGTCAGGGGTCCCTTTACCTTTACCTTAACCTGGAAGCACCACTTGTTTCAATGTAATTTTCTTCCATCAGGTTTGTAGCATCAGGTTGCAGTCTATACAAACTTACTTTCAATAAAGTCCACTGAAATAAATTGGACTTTTTGAGTATATATGTATCAAATCTGGTGGTTCTATTTTTATGTAAAAATCAACAAAAAATAGTATTGGATTGACATTTTCAAATTTCTCATTGCACTACTCAAAATTAGTTTTGAAACTACTACAATGCTGCATTTCCAGTTTATTATAGTGGGTCACAGGCAATATGAGTTCTGCAGTTTCCTGAGTCATACAAACACCAGGAGATTTAGAATGCTGATTCTGTGGCAGGTTGATGCATCCACTAGAAATATGAGTCAGCTGAGATAAAGAAGTTCACCTCAGAATAGTCAGAAACAAAACTTAACTTAGCACCTTGTCTGTAATTCATGAATGCTCATAATGCATTAAAGTATTTATTAATATCCCCCCCACGCACATAGGAAGCAAATATTGTATTCAGATATACAGAAGCATAAGAAACTGCCTTATACAATTTCAAACCATTGATCCATCTATTGTCTACACCAGGCATCCCCAAGCCTGGCCCTCCAGATGTTTTGGGACTACAGTTCCCATCATCCCTGACCACTGGTCCTGTTAGCAAGGGATGATGGGAGTTGTAGTCCCAAAACATCTGGAGGGCAGAGTTTGGGGGTGCCTGGTCTACACTGACTGGCAGCAGTTCTCCAGGGTTTCAGATGGGGTCTCTCCCAGCCCCGCCTAAAGATGCCAGGAATTGAACCTTGGCCCTTCTACATGCACAGGAGATACTATACTACACAGCTATCCTGTGTACTGGTTTATGGAATCAAAGAGATAGAATCATTATGCCTGCTTTATATTTTCTTCCAGTTCTTCACCATGCTAAGAGCATAGGCCATGTGATACTTGGGGACTTAAGGGCTTCAAAGGCCTAAAGGTTTTTAGGATCATTCCAGAAAGCCAAATAACTCAACACAGATACCTAAGGATTGCCACTAAAAAAAACCCAGAAAACTCTACAGTGTTGTAAACATCAGCTTCAGCTTCAAGCATTAGCAGGAGGCAATACTTAGCTCTATGCTGCGAAAGCAACTTCTGATTTCTTGCCGACCAAGCTGCTGTTAAATGCACAGGAACAGGCCAGAGTTCTTTTCTGGTTAGTTGACAGCCTTGCAGATGTTGAATCTCAGAGAAGTAGATTTGTTAAAAGGGTATGTTATTAATAGAATAAGAATTAATACAGCAAACAAACAAAAAAACTAGCAGCTCTTAACTCATTTTCAATTGGAACACACCTTGAATTCAGTTCAACAATGCTGAAACCCCGCATCTTTTTTTCAGTATCAAGGTTAGATAAGTAGTAATTAATAAAAGTGCACCTAAACACGTGCATAATGCCTTTCTCTTAGCACTTAGTAACCACAGCCATTCCTAACACATCTGAGGATAGAGGAAAGGGATTTAATATCAGAGGCTGTTGCTTAAAGACAAAAAGTTTTCCAGCACTGCTCATTGTCATTTAGAAATGAAGTAGTGAGCTGGACAGCACCCAATAGAGAACAGCTTGATCATGAACAAAGCCATTTTTTAGAACAATCCTGAAGCAAACTCACCTGCTTATTCACTAAAGCCGAATCCATGTAACCAGGTCTACAGGATTTGAGTCTCTGTTTACAATGCAATTATTGTTAATACAGTGGTACCTCGGGTTAAGTACTTAATTCGTTCCGGAGGTCCGTTCTTAACCTGAAACTGTTCTTGGCTTTCAAGAAGCTCTGTGAAAACGATTGATAGAAATGTTGCTTAAAAGATATGATAAGATTAATATTGTTAAAGTGCAATATAAATTTAAGAAATGTGAGTAATTGTTATAATATGGAAAATTGTCAGACAGGCTGAGGGAAGTCTAAAAGATGTATATGTTAGAAGTGGATGTTAAACATGGATGGAATGTATATTGGAAATTGAATAAAAATTAATTATATATAAAAAAAGAAACTGTTCTTAACCTGAAGCACCACTTTAGCTAATGGGGCCTCCTGCTGCCGCCGTGCCGCCGGAGCATGATTTCTGTTCTCATCCTGAAGCAAAGTTCTTAACCTGAAGCACTATTTCTGGGTTAGTGGAGTCTGTAACTTGAAGCATTTGTAAGCTGAGGTACCACTGTAGAAACAAGCTGGCTGAATTTGCCTCATGACGACGTACTTAAATGCATGTAACTGCTTGAAAACAATGTAATCCCATTCTTTCTATCTTTTATAACTTTGTACTCCAAATGGCAAAATTGTACAGAGAAACAGCCCCACCCTAATCATGTTTACTTGGAAGTGAGTCACACCGGGGGGGGGGGAGTGATTCACTTCCAAGTAAGTTTGGTTAGTATAAGAGCCAAAACAATTTAAAGCACAATTCTATACATGTGTTCTTAACAGCATAAATGAGTACAGTGGGGTGTACCCCCAGGGAAGTGGGTATAAGATTGCAGTATGAAGGTTGTGTGTGTGTGGTAAATTGTCTCTTGTCATCGTCAAATGACTGGCGTGATTAGTGGTTGTGGGCATTGAACTCCCATGGTTCCTGCATTGCTGAAAGGCTCTAGAAAAGGGATGGGAAAGTTTTTTTAAAACCAAGGGTTGCATTGCCTAAACTTTCCACTCTCCTGTGTTAATATGTACATGAATCTTCTGGGCATGGGCATTCTGGGATTTGGTGTGGATTATCAGTATTATATCCACTTCTCTTTTCCATGTGAACCACATGAACCAATCTTGCTATGAAGCACCTTCTAAGGATCCTTAGAGTTTAGGGTTGGAAATGAACTGGCTGATGGTGAATAAACTGAAACTTGGTCCAAGCAAGGAGGTTTTCTTAGATTGCAGCCCTGGAGTGGTGAAAATGTCTGTCTCAGATGGGCACAAACTGTTCCCCAAAATATGGGATTTGTAGATTGGGATCCACTCATCCTTGATGGCTGGGCTAAGGCTTTGCCCAAGACCATGTTCTATCAACTTATCTGCAATAATAAACATGACTGCTATTTTAAGCATGCTTGTTAGTGATCCCCACCAAATTGCTAGTGGGCTTCCTATGACCCCCTGGCTGGCCACTATGACAACATAATGTTGGACTTTACAGGCCTTTTGTGTAATGCAGTGGGACTCTTATGATGATTGCTAGATTGTTTATTGCCCCTGGTTCATATTCCTTTTATCAGTAGATTACTCACATGCTGATTCCTGCAGTTCAGCCTCCTGTTAAGAACACAGGAGCAGGAGAGCAATTTTCCTCCCTATCTCTTGATATTTCGAAACCTTGCTACTGGGTAGTGAGTGCCATTGAACACATTTTGGAGCTATGATTAGAGGGGAAGTTGCCATTTTAAAGGAACTGAGACTTTAAAGCCTTGGAAAATGTGGCTGTAGGGCACTATAGTAAAAAATAAATAAATCCCCATCTCCGCTCCCAACAACCAACACCACATCATTAGGCAATTTCCAGAGGGGTAGCCATGTTCATCTGTTGCAGCATAACCAGCCCCCCAAATAGGCTTGGATAGATCCATTGAATTCAGTGGATATGCTAGGGTTGCCATATGTCCAGAAATTTCCAGACACAGCTGGTATTCAGCCCCCTAAAGCAGTGTCTGTGTGGAAATCACTGAAATGTCCAGGAAAATCCAGACGTATGGCAAACCATGTCTGAAGTATAGATTTTGCTGAATTTCCTTAAAAGCAGCTCAAAAACTTCATTTCCCCCCAGATTTTGGAAAGAAAAAAACAAAACAAAAAGCTCAATAACTTTGGCAAAAAAAAAAAGAAGAAGTGCTCCACAACTTTTGTGTCCAGATTTTCACTTTTTGAAATATGGCAACACTAGGATATGACCAACGTAGGTCAGTGGGTCTGCTCTAACCTACCTGGATACAACTAATATGAACAAACTGATCATAGCAGAAGCTTTTGAGAACTACAGTCTACATACATACATACATACATACAAGAGTGGTGGTGGTGGTGGCTAATTGTAAGCAGTGGGCTCAGAAGCAAAGGAAATGCAGAAAAATACATGGCGAGAAAAACAGTTTATTTCCTTTGTTTTTAAGTCAAGTTTAAGAGTTAGCTACCGTCAGGCCTGGTCCCAGATTGGGGGTGTGGGGCTTAGCTGCTCCCCCAGCACTCTCCCTCGGCCACTGTGGCAGGTGCCGCTGCTACAGCCGCCAACTCCCCACCCCTTGGCACCCTGGCAGTGGCGTAGCGTGGGGGGTGCAGGGGGGGCCGGCCGCACCGGGCGCAACATCTGGGGGTTAGGGTTAGGGGGCGCAAATCCACGGGTTAGGGGGCACAAATTACTTGCCTTGCCCCAGGTGCTGACAACCCACGCTACGCCACTGCACCCTGGAACCGCTTGCAGCTTGTGAACTTGATTGGTGTCGGTGGCTATTTCAAAATAGAAAATGCCAGCACTGCATTTGCTTTTTTCTCTTTTTTTTTGGGGGGGGGGAGAGACACGTGTTCAGAGAATTCAGGGAGGCAAAGGAGCCAACTCCTAGGGTCCGAGATCTCAATAAAATATTTGAGGGCAGCGGCCTCCCCACCCCCAAAGTTGATGGGCAATGCCATTCAAATAGTGTGCGTCTTGTGATCGGTTGTGGGAATGGGGCTTACCTAGCCCCCCGCCCCCCAAATCTTTTATTCAAGTGGGGGTGTGCTGCAGGGAGGACGGGCTGTTGTTATCTTTCGTCGAAGCTGCTTGGCTCGCTGCCGATGGCAGGCAGTGCACCTTCGCCCCGGGCCCCAGCCGACGGCCCCACGCCGCCCTCTCCGCTCCCCGACCCCGAGTCCACCCCGGTCGCGACGCGACGCGCCTCCGCCGCGCGCCAATGAGGGGCCCCGGCCGGGCCAGCGCGTGGCGGGATAGGGCTGCCCCATCTCCACCCACCGCCAGGCGAGGCGACTCACTGGCCGGGCGGCTCGCCGGGGTGGAGCTTCGCCCGCCTTAAGGCAGCTGCCCCTGCCAGCCACAGGGAAGCCGGCGAGCCGCGCAGGAGAGAAAAGGCATATCTGACCCGAGATTGCACCAGCGCTCCTCCTCGCCCTCGCCGTCGGACGTGCTCGAGCCAGCGGCATCCGCAGCAGCGACCCCAGCTCACCCCGCGGAGCCAAGAGCCCAGCGCCGCCGCTCCTCCGACACCCAGGAAGGAAGGATCGCTTGCCGCCGAAATGGAGAACGCGAAGCAGAGGCGCGCCGGGTTCCTGCCGCCCTTCAGGCACTTCGCCACGCAGGCCATCCACGCGGGGCAAGAGCCCGAACAATGGAAGTCCCTGGCCGTGGTGCCCCCCATCTCCCTCGCCACCACCTTCAAGCAGCAGGCGCCGGGGAAGCACAGCGTGAGTGAGGCGGATGGGGCAGGCAAGGCTTCAGAGCCGGGCATGGGGGGGAAAGGGCAGGACTTGGAGGGAGGGGGTCCTTCTCTGTCTTCACAGAATCGTAGAATTGGAAGGGACCTCTAGGGTCATCTAGTCCAACCCCCTGCGATGCAGGAATCTTTTTGCGCCACGTGGGGCTCGAACCCAGGACCTTGAGGCCAAGAGTCCCATGCGTCTACCGACTGAGCTGTTTGCTTTAGTTAGGGGCTCTCAGAAAACAGCGCCCCCCTCCCCATCTAGTCAATCGACTCTTTCTGTCTGCCCCAAGCCACACACCTGTCTGTTCTGCTCAGACGGCTCTTCAGCTTACCCATAACTCCTTTCCTTCTCGCCCAATGCGCCTAACCAAGGCTGCAGCCCAAGCTATGTTTCCTCAGGAGTTAACTCCACAGGCTACAACAGGGTAAGTGAGGTTAGGATTGTAGGCAGAGGCTGCGATTCTAAGGTTTTATGGCAAGTGGTAGAAAGAGGTCTGCACAGAGGTAAATCCTGTGAGTTCAGTGGCACTTACTCTCTAGTAACTGTGTACATGATTGCAGCCTCTCTCTGTGTTCTTATTATCAAAACCACACACACACACTTTATATATCGATATAATCTATGGATATGGATATAGATATATCTCGAGATCCTAGCTTGCAGTTTATGAAGATTTTCAGTATATGTCTGTTACTGATTCCTACATCAAAAAGGCTAACCCGTATTGGCTAAATTGTACATTTCATTATGATAATCCTCACTGAATTGTGAAAGTCCAGCAGAAGCACCTGTTGCCTATTTATGAGGCAAGAGGATGACATCGCCTCCTTTTTGATCATTTTGCCTTACCGCTTTGCATTTTGAGGGCCAAACAAGACAATCCTGTCTCTTGTTTTTCCGCAGAGCAACTGCAGGTGTGTGATCATGATAAGGACTTTGGCTTGTGGGGAGGACTTTGTACCACAGCCCCGGTGAAAATTGCTCTCCTCCACCTTCCTTCAAAGCTGTTGTGCTTTGTTGCATGGTTGGCACCAGTGGCAGCTTCCCTTCCAGGGCAAAGAGCGGTTCAAGAGGGAGAGATTTTAATATCGGGGGTGAGGTTAACCCCAGTCCTAACCAGGCACACTCTGCTGCTAGTTTGAAACGCAAGAGACGCGTGCATTTCAGTGTGAAAATAACAGACCTAACTTTGATTCCCTTCCATCAGTTAAAGTCATTTCTATGCTTGGAAGGAGCTCTTTCATTAACTAAAGGCCAGCTCAGGATCCAAGCCAAAGTCTTCAGAAGTTGGCCTATGTCTTGCTATCCCAGAAAGCCAACCTAAGGTGGCTTGTACACCTATGGAATTGATAGTGTTTGTTCACTTCGTTATTATAGAGAATCTAGATAGCATCTTTGCGTTCTAGTGTTTTCCCTATTCTATCTTTTAAAAAAACCCCATTCTGTAGCAATGCATGTCCAAACATGGACTGGTACAGATAGTATTGTTGACACAACTGGCTGGAGAAGTGACCTGTGCTATTCCACTTGTCTGAATTACCTGTCCCACACCTGTCACATAAAGGTCGAAATTCTGTAATTTAGCTATTCAGAAGAGGCAGCAGTGAACTGAATAGGACTGGATTCACCCCCTTCTTTTCCATTTCCCCACCATGGTTGATGGACAGAATCTTAATCTCGCCCTGTTGGATGGTTCCTTCCTCCATTACTTTTCCACACCTTTTTTCTTAATTTGACTCCTCCAAGTACAAATGAGCAAATGTTTAACCTTTTTAAAAACAACTTGGAATTGCTGGCAAAATAATGCACGGTCTGTTTTTGCCTTTGTCACATAGACAGACATGCTAGAATTCAAATGGGTAGTATATTATTAAGTGTCATGTGGAACCTCAGATATATTTTGGCTTTATATGATTATGGAAGAGCAAGATGCTCATGTGGAGGGGGCTACAAAGGGGGGGGGGTGCGCGTGTGCAAGCAATGGAACTCCAGATAGGAAATGTGTTGCATCTGTACTATTTCAGTCACCAAATGACATTTCTGTGTATAAAGTACATACTGATTTCCTCTTTCTTTCTTTTTTTGCCCTTTAGGGTTTTATTTGCTTTCTTTCAAGCCCGTTTTGTTCTTCTGGGTATGGGAAATTTGGCATGCTATTTGAAAACGTTTTAAAAGCAGATCCCTGGTTTAGTTTTGCCCAACACATTCAATCCATGTTGAATTTCTGGATTATCATCCTAGTTGGGTTGCAAGAAAAAGCTGACTCATTTTTAACTCTGCAGATTCTTGTGGGCAGGGCCGAACAAACTCGCCTTGCTACCCTGTCCTCTGCATGACACAAGACGATATGGAAATTGCATAAGCAAGCCGGCAGCTTTCCAGAGTATTGCATTACTCATTATGTATCTTGGGTTGAAAAAAACCTGTGTGTTTTAAAAGCAATGAAATGCCACGTTTCATAAAACCAACGAAGAGTCTCATGACATCTTAAAAGACTAAGTGGTTTATTTTAGCATAGTCTTTAATATGCTACAGAACTCTTAGTCCATTGTAGCAAAAACAGGTATTCTTCAGGATATTCAGTAAGATACTTAATACTTTACTAGTTGACGTACAAGAATTTAGCCAGGCAGGAAGAGTTAAAGTACAAAACCACAGGCGGAAAATATGTACATGGTGTTCTGTTCGGAATAATTTGTTTCACTAGAAAGCATTGTTTTCTCCCCCACTCCAAGGCTGGCCAGCTTGGATTCCTAATTTGTCATTTCCCCATATATTCAGACTTTCAAGTAATCAATGCTAAGGCAAGAAGGCACTGTAACTATAATACAGTCTTACCTCTGTCTAAGAACAGTCCTTTTAATGATAAATTGGGGCAATGCAGGAAGCTGGCTGTGGTGGAAAACTCTGAAGATGATTCAGTTGCCTGTGGTTTTGGTCTGCTCTTGCAGTTCTCACCTACCTGCATTTCATGACCCTGCCAAGGAGACAAATTTGTATGAAATTCATAAGCCATTTTAGTTTTATGATTAGTGGACAGAAAAGGAGGCAATTGAACATTAAGGTCATTGGTTGTGCTCCTGCTCCTATGCTAAAGTTCTCCAGATGTTAGTCTACATATCCCATTATCAGCTAGAGGTGATGGAAGCTGGAATCCCAACAACATCTGGAGTTCCTCATCCTTGCTCCGAAGAGAATGGATCTGCTTGGCTTGTGTGATAACCTGGAAGACAAACTGCTTCCCTAGCAGTTTCACTTCTGCCGCATTTAGAAAGCTTCCCCTTACTCCCGTCTTGGCCCTGAGCTCCATATATCTGGATTATCCCCCCTACCAGTCACATAACTCTGACTTGCAGTCTAGGTCTTGTTTCAGTTCCCCATTCCAAGACCTCCTGTCCACTCTAGGAACACGGAAAGCTGCCTTCTACTGGGTCAGTCTGTCTAGCTCAGTTTTGCCTACCCTGACTGGCAGGCTCTCTGGGATTTCAGACGGAGACCATTCCCAGCCTATGCTGGAAATCAAACCTTGGACTTTTGTGCAATGCAAAGTCCAAGGCTACAGTTATTATAGCATTAATTGCAGGGCATGCAAGGTGCCTTTCAAAACACAGGAGATGCAGCCTTGGGCCTTGTTTTTGCATCAAGGTGTGTTTTCTGCATCCTCTTCCTCCTGTATCCTCATCCTTCTCCTTTCTCTGGTCCCTCCGCCCCCCCCCCCCATTTTATACCTGCAACAGAATTGTACTAGGAATGTGTGCTTTTTGAAATAAATCCTCCATTAGCTCTGCTAATGTTCCGAAGAGCAAACATTTCAAATAAGCCTTGCCATGGGAAATGCAGGTCTTATAAATTGTCAGACTGTCACGTGCTGCTTCCACAACCTGTCTTTGAGCCAAATGATTGTTTGATTTTGCTTTCATCCCAGCTGTCTGCCAACAGTATGGAAATTTCTTTCAGGAGAAAACTCAAGTGGCTGCCATAGGAAGCCTAGCTGCAAAGAAGGATTGGGGGCTTCTGTACCTTTAGTTGTTGTTTAGAACTGTTAAAGGTGCAGGAGCCCTGGGACTTGTGACTTGACTGTGTTGAAACATTAGATTGCAAGATTTAATCTGTTTTCATGATTTGAGTTTCATATAACATGTATTTTTCAAGGAGGATGGTAATAAAGGCAAGTGGAAGGAAATATATAGAAAAATTTTCAGGATTTTACAACAAAGAAATCTAAGAGGCCGCTTCCTTTCTCTTTTGAAATTTTTTTTAAAAAGTGGAAACAGAATTCCTAATTTCATCCTCAGTAGGAGATTGAGTATTTCTTTGGCCAAACTGCCGGTGCACATTATAAATAATTTGATCTCTAATAATTTCATCAACTATTGATGTATATTTACCTTATTTTATTTTATTTTTGTTCTCTTTCATAGGGCTTTGAATATAGCCGCTGTGGAAATCCAACCCGCGATTCCATGGAAAAGGCTGTGGCAGCACTGGATGGTGCCAAGTATTGTAAGCTGTCAATATTTTCATTACAAAAAAATGATGATTGTCTTTGGCTAACAGTACACATAAGGTGCAACAGTAGTGTCTTGGAAAAGAGACAAAAGGGGAAGCTATTGGTTTTTGGTTAGCTCTGATTCTGGTATCATGCTATGCAACAATGCAGCTATATCTTTGTATTTTATCTATTTCATCAAACCTGGATAAATTACTTTTGGCCACGTTATTAAGGCATTTCCTAATCCACATTTTCAGGCATGGAATGCTTGGAGTTTGACACAGCTCATAACATAAATGTCCACAATCATCTCCATAATGTAGTGGTTTTTTTTCTAGATTCTTGGAATTATGGGTAACTTTAATGGTTCTAGATAAAATTGTTGTTACCTATTGTGTCAAAGCCCCATATCTAATCCTACGTTGTGTGTGTGTGTGTGTGTGTGTACACACACACACACACACACACACACACACACACATTAAGGTATTCACAGTAAGCTCTCCTTTGAAAGCGAGTTAAGTGTTCAGAGACACACACCTGCCACAAAGCTGAAATATATTGAAGAATTCATTTGTTCACTTGTCAGATGTTATTTGTTTATTTCCTTTTCCCGTTAGGTTTATCCTATGCATCTGGGTTAGCAGCTACGGTGAACATTGCACACTTGCTGAAGGCAGGAGATACTGTTGTTTGCACAGACGATGTCTATGGGGGTGAGTGCTGTACTTGCATATGGCAGGTCTTAACAGTCCTAGATGTAATCTCAGGGTTGTAATCCAGAAGCGTTTCAAAGATCATTAACCTGAGCCTGCACACTTAGGTCTTTCACTTCAGCACTGAGGATGGCTTGAAAGTCAGCAGTTATAACAGGTCAGACACCACAGGTGTGACTTATTATCTTAATTAATACTTCTTAGACAGAGCCAGTTGACACATCCGGCAGTGAGGCACTAACTGGTGTTCACACATTTGTGATTTAGCCCTCAGTGACATGCCAAATAAAACTTCCATTATGGACCCATCATAAGCCTTGCTACTGTTTCCTGGGCATAATAATAGTTTTATTCCTGGGCATAATAATAGCACTAACTAGTCCTCTGTTACACATGGATTTGATGCACCTATCCTGCCCTTGAAATTAATAGATTTTTGTGCTCTTTCTTTAGTTTTCCAAAATCTTTAGATTGGTGTTCTTTCATGCAATACTTTGGTTCATCATTAGTTGATCTGAACTTGCTAAGAAGCTTTTTGCTTTTTTAAAAACACTTCTTAAAAATTCAAACCTATGCCCTATTGGATTTTATTTTCTACATTGTCCATTTTGCAAAGTATGGCTTGCACCATCCTTTCCCAAACTAGTACCCTTCATATGTTTTTGGACTGCAGTTCCCATCATCCCTGACCATTGCCAGTGCTGGCTGGGGCTGATGGGAACTGGAGTCCAAAATATCTAGAAGCCACCAAGTTGGGTTTGGCTGACTTTAGATGCTATTGTAGCATACAACCCTGAATCTGTCTCTCTTCCTTCAGCTCCCAATACCAGGTTCCTTGACTTCCACCTGACGCGGAGTTCTCAACCCCAGTTGTCCTGGGACACAGTGGGCTACATTACACTCTCTAGATGTTGTCCCATGTAGGTGTGTCCAGGAATTGGATCAGCTCTAGAGAGTTGCCTACCATTATTTGCATTATGAGTTATAAACCACTGATAATTACTGATTTTCACCTATGACAGTGTTTTCCCTTTGAAATAAAGTGGTGTCACTGATGTGTGTTAGGATAATGTGAATAATGCTTTAATGTGGCTAAGGTAAAGGTAAAGGGACCCCTGACCATTAGGTCCAGTTGCGGACGACTCTGGGGTTGCGGCGCTCATCTCGCTCTATAGGCCGAGGGAGCCGGCGTTTGTCCACAGACAGCTTCCCGGTCATGTGGCCAGCATGACTAAAGCTGCTTCTGGCGAACCAGAGCAGCGCACCGAAACGCCGTTTACCTTCCCGCCGGAGCGGTGCCTATTTATCTACTTGCACTTTGACGGGCTTTCAAACTGCTAGGTGGGCAGGAGTAACAGGAGCTCACTCCGTCACGGGGATTTGAACCACCGACCTTCTGCTCGGCAAGCCCTAGGCTCAGTGGTTGTCACGAGGTTTTCCTCTGCTGAACTTTATACTCTTGGACTAACTGGGGGGGGGCGAGGAAGATGGCGCCGGGTCAAGTCTCAACTGAGTCTCTGCCGCATGAGTAGGAGCTCTAATGATCAAATTACCCTGATGAAAAGGCTCAACCTATGAAAATATCTGCCAACTTTTATCAGTAAAAGACTCCGGGAGCTGTCGGGTGGACTTTTAAACCTCCCTTCCCTACTTAAATCAACTTTGAACCACCTCCCTTGAAAAGCCCATAAAGCTGTGGGCTGGATAAAATAGCCCTATTTATTTCCGAGTACGAAGATGGTACTTACAAGGCACATACTCTTTAAAAAACAAATACCTTGTAGGCAATAAATAGGAGTTGCAGACGTTTACTGTATGATTTCACTGGGTGAAAGGTGGAAATTCCTTACCCAGAATCTCTGTGCTGTTGACTGTGCAGCTACTGGTGCATCAACTTTCTGGGAGGACAGCCAAAGATAGCTTTAGGGGTAAGCAAAACAGGTATCCATTTACCATAACTAAAAGCGAGGGGTAATCTAGGAATGATTCTCCTTGTGACTGGGCCTCTCACATAGCAGTACGAGCAGAGAAACATGTTTTCCACAAAAGCGGAAGAGGGCATGGCTAGATCAACACCATCAGCCAAATGTTTCCTTCTGTCATTTGATATCTGTGATTGTGCCAGTTTTATTCCTAGGAGCAATTAGAAGTCAAATAGGGTAGGATTGAAGTCTAGCGTGATAACAGGAAGGGGGATTTATGTAACCTCTACCACTTCGAAATTATCTGTTAAGCAAATTTGTTAGCTTGGGAAACAAATATTCTTTCTAGGAATACTTAATGAAATCTAGAAGACAGGCAAAGTAGAGAAGCCGACATTCTTTCTTTAGACCAGTGTGGCTTGATAAAAGGGTTCCGTCCACGTTTGCTATGTTTACTGAACTTTCAGAAAAGAAGAGGTGTGGGTTGCAACCCCAAGCATGTCACCAAGGAATTGATCCTAGCATGATTTATTTCTTGATTTATTTGATGAAGAGGCCACCTTAGAACAGAAAACGCTATTTACACATCTGTTTTGAGACCAAAAGGCGGGCTGCAGACATATTAATAACAAAAATATTTAGGATTGGGCTGCAAATCTGCTTACCTTGGAAGTGAGACCCCTGGAAACCAGTGGGGCTTGCTGTCAATGCTACTCTGGACACAGCTGTCGTTAAATGTCCTACCTTGTGTTGGTCCTTTCTTTGTTCTGGTTTCCATTGCTTTCACCTTTAATTAATTAAATGTGGGTCTTTTCAAATCCTAGGTACCAATAGGTATTTCCAGAGTATAGCATCAGAGATGGGCCTGAAAACTATTTTTGTTGACTGCACCAAACTGGAAAACCTCAAGGCTGCAATTACACCAGAGACCAAGGTAACAGAGGAATGCTCATAAAACAGTGTTTGCAACATGCCTGGGATGACTTTATTATATCAAGCCTCCTCGGTTTACAAGGGCCTGGGAGTGACTGCAGATGTGTAGGAGAGGGAAATATTAAAGTGATAATACTACAGATCACTTATATACTGACAGTGTTGGAGCAAACCCTTCTTTGCTTTAAGAGGAAAACACAACGGTAAATCATGTAGCTGTCACTCCTGATCTCTGGCAAGTGCCTGGTGGGCATTTGCCAATGTAAGCAGGAATGGTGTAAGTAATATGAAGATTATTTTTTGAAAACATTATTGGGTATGATAGGAATTGGAGCAGGATCACTTGGATCTTGTCTATCCCCTCATGACAGCTTGGGTGATTGCCATTGGAATTCATCTGATGAACAAAACATGCATGATTGGATCCTCAATTCTGGCAACAACAAGATGGTCATTGGATACAACCCAGGGAGTTTTCTGGGTTGGTTCCAGACACTTGAGGCTAGCACAGCTCACATCCAAATGGCTGCAGGTGAAATTGAAAAGCAGGTTTGATGCCCAGGATTTAAAGTCTGGCAGTTATTTCCATGGAGCCAATTGCGATTAATCAATATGGAATAGTGAATGTGCCACAACAACAGAAAAATCTGTTCAGTGTCGGGGTGGGTGGGTGTGCACACACGCATGGATGTGTAAGCAAAAGACAAGCTCAGATTCTAACATATGTGAAAGCCTTTCGTTCAGTGTTCAGTTATTGGTGATATCAACAAAATCATATACACATGTGTATCATTTCATAACTTTTACTGTCTGTCTTCTCAAAATAAACAGCTTGTCTGGATTGAAACTCCTACAAATCCAACGCTGAAAGTTGTTGATATTCAAGGTTGCGCTGACATTGTCCATAAGCATAAAGGCGTTATTCTTGCAGTAGACAATACTTTCATGTCTGCATATTTCCAGGTAAGTTGATTACCCAGTGCTGTCCCAGAAGTGCTTCATGCATATAGTAATTTTTTCCTTCTCAAAAATGGTGTCACAGGAGGGAACTAGCAGTGATGAACTCGTCTGTGTTAAGGTGACTGGCTCTGGTGCTGAATTTTGGATATGTGGTTGACCTTTCCAGGGTGTGTAGGCACTTAATGGCTCTTCCACATAACATGAAACGGCATGAGACCACATTTTCTGGCACGTAAACCTGCTCAACAGGGGACACAAAGTTAATCTGGTAGATAGAGGGATATGTTTCTTGTTTTCTAGAGCAAGCTGCAGCATAGTTCTGTGCATGTTTACTCAGACATAAGCCCCACTGTGTTCAGTGAGATTTATACCCAGGCAAATGTATTCTGGATTGCAGCCCTTCCATTCCCTTGTCACTGATCTGGTAAGAAGATGTGTGGATGGTGGGATGGAAATTCCGTAATTTTATGTGGAGTATTGGCTTTTTATTGATGATCCACTGATCTTTCATTTCTTTAACGGAATAACATATTTTTTCCTATTCTTAGTAGATGAATACTCCTTTCAAAGCGATAACAAATTTTATATTTTATCTGTTAATACAGATAAATAGCTAACCTTCAAGGAGCTCCAGTTAGGCTTACATGGTTCTCTGCCTGTCCTTGTTAGTTTCACAACAACCCCGTGAATTAGCTTAGTAAGAGACTGTGGTTAGCCCTGAGTGCACTTAGTAGCTAAGTGGGGACTTTAAACCTGGTTTTCCAGGTCCTAGTCAAGAACTCTAACCACAACACCACACTAGCAGCCCTTGAAGTTAACTTCAAATTAGCCATGTGCTGGAGTTCTTGTCTCCCATCTGTATCAGATCTCCCTCCCCCTCTTGCTGTATATAAGAATCTATTGAAGTGAAGGTGTCCAGTTACCAGCCTAGCTAACATTTCTTCTGTGGCTATACTGAGAGGAGCTGCATTGCACTGGTAACTCTGTAGTGTTATATGGCAGGTATTAATAAGTAATGGCTTTAGCAATTCAATGGACCCCAGAGTTGCTGTGTCAACAACTAGACCTGTGGTGTGGAATATTCAACGTACTAGGCCAACCGCATAGTGAAATGCTGGAGACTGCTGCCGTACGCACTGCAAGGACTTCACAGCACAAAGAGAAAATGTTTCAGCTCACTAGCTTCAAAAGCAACAGAAAGGTCATTGCTAGTACATTACGCCAAGTTCATGCAGTGTTTCTGTTACTGGTTTTGAGAAGTTGCAAAGCGTTCCTAGTTCAACAAGTATTGGACTAACATGTTCCTTTTAAAATTTAATTTATACCTTGTGCATGAAGTCCAGCAACCACGACCAAAAGATAAATATAACAACAATAACCTAGATATTGACCTAGCCATCTAACCATATATTTTAGCACCACTAATGTAAAGCCACCAATAACACAAAATTATCCACAAGAAAGGAGAAACTGGTATGATAGAGTAAGAGGGAGAAAACGTTATCGATTTAAGAAAAAAATGAAGCAAACATCTCTTTGATTCATTAACTTAACAGTTATGGTCCTACTGGGTTTTTTTAACAGTTGCATATGGTTGCACGTGATTGTGTACTTTTAATTCCAATTCATGCCAATACATGCACCATATTTCTATAAAGGTACCAACCATCTGTCTTCCTTCCCTTACCTAAGTTAGTGAACCTGATCATACACAGGACGTCCCAAATTCCTGATAGCCGTTGAAAACCTATTTGTATTTTCAGGCCTGCTTCCAGGTTGGTTGAGGGCCTCAGGGTTGGAAGGGCCCTTGAACTGCATTAGAGGCAATGGCACTTACTTCTGAGTAAGCATGCCCAGGAATTGCACCGGGAAGAAAGAAAATACAGGGTTTAACTATGAAGGCGCAGAGTCTGTAATTTAGTAACCTATTTGAAAACAGGAAGAGCTGTCATGGTTAATAATAATAAAGCTACACTGAGACAGTGCTTGGGGAAAATACAAGGGTGGTAAAATTGAAGGCCTTTATTCTATGGAATTAGAAGCCTGATGATGACGTGGGTCTATAATCTAGCCCCATTCTCCTTTACTAATCCTCCATGACCAAACATTCCAAATAGATTAGCTGATATAATAGAGGGAAACATTGTCCAATTGTCCAATTTCCAGTGTGCCAGAAGCAGAGGATAGAAAAGAAGAGATGCTATGACAGTTACAGTATTTCTTGGGGAAGAATGCAATTTATTATTATTATTATTATTATTATTTATTTAGGTCAGACCCTAATGGTTGGCTAAAACCAGTTGTTCCACATTCATTCCCTATGAGAATTTAGGGCAAAGAGAGAAAGAATACTCGCAAGAAGATACTTTAGCATTAGTCATCTTGCTTAAGAAACCCATATCCAGTTATGTAGTTCCCAATGAACAGGGATATGCAGTGTAAAATTCCTACAGCTTCTGTTTACAGATAATAAAGCAGTACTTTTTAATTCTGAATTCATGTGTTTATTTTGTTGTTTCAGCGTCCTTTATCTTTAGGAGCAGATATCTGTATGTACTCAGCAACCAAGTACATGAATGGTAAGTGCCTGAGTGTTGTTGCAGAAAACTTCCATGTTATATTGATATTTACCAATCCGACATTACAAACAGTCAAGGCTACCAGACCTAAAAGGCATTCTATTGTTTCTTTCTACTTTCAAGTTTTTATTTTCTTCATGCCACTTTGAGGGGGCTGGGGGTGGGAAGGTTGATTTATAGTGGTGCCCATAATGCATCTGCCCATCTTCCAAACACAGTAGAGGTACACAATGGTTATTGTCTAGACTGGTTTCCCTTCTGAGGACTTTGTTTGATGTTAGTTTAACAACAACTCCACAAGGCAATATTGTATTGAATATATACTTGCTGAACAAGGAGCTCTTTCGTTTGAAGTCTTTCTGCATTTTCATTCTTGCCCCGGGGTAGAAAATCTTCCTCAAATGTTTGAAAAACTCATTGTGTCCAACTAAAAATTGCACTGTACAGGACTGAAAGGAATCGTTTTGAGGTGCTGAGGGGCTTTGCCACTGAGCATTAGGGTCCTATCTGGTGCAAGCCTCTTTCCAAAGTACTCACCATCAAGGTTGCAAAGGCAGTAGAGGGATAATCAGTTTTTGGCTTCAAAATAAGCCACTCAAGGAAGATGGTACTACTAAGAAGAAATAGGGTGTCATACTTTGCAACAGAAAGGCCCTCTCAAGGAAAGGCTGCCTGGAACCCTCACCTCTGCCATTTAGGTTTCAGAAAAAGGCATTTCCTCACTTTTAAGAACAAACTGCTAATCTAAGCATTTTTAAAGCTTAGGCCATTTTCATTTGAATGGGCTGTTGTTTTTTAGTTTCTTTTTTGTGTTTGCTTTATGGTTTTTTATCATTTAAAAGGTGCTGTAGTTTCTAACCATGTGGTTAAATGCCTAGTGGGCATAGATCTATGTTGACATGAAGGCTATAAATTGGGTATAATTAATTACACAGGAAGCACGTAGAATGAAAGCAGAGGAAACAGCTACAATTTTATGTCTGACTTCTCTACTTAAAGAGGGCTAATTTGCCATTTTTCTTCTGCCTCCTTGTTTCTTCAGGTCACAGTGATGTTGTAATGGGACTGGTTTCTGTCAATGACGATAATCTCCATGAGAGGCTCAGATTTTTACAATATTGTGAGTACACAAAAAGATGTGATGAATGCAGGTTTCTGATACCTGCCTACTTAAATTCAGAACTGCATTTCTGCAGTTGTCATTTGTTTTACACACGTTTATCTGACTTATTGTCAAAAAGCCTCCCACAAAAAAAGATTTTGTGCAGCCTTTTCTACCACCCCACTTTCCTTGGGAGCAAAGAGATTCATTCTGACACCATAAACCAGTTTGCTCTCATGGGAAATTTGAAACTGCAGTGCTGAAGTCATGTTTCAGGCCTTACTAAGGCCTTCAGTGGCCATACATGAATTAAGACTGAGCTGGTGTGTTTCCTCACTTGAGGCCTCTGACTAAAATCTACAGCTTGAGCTGGAACAGTTGGTGCCTGAGATGCAAGTGGTGCTGCTGTCTAGTCCATTATCTATCAGGCCTGCCCAAGCCTGAAGGTTCGTGCTTCCTGTTAAATGGAGGGCCTGTAGTTATATATCACTCAATGTAGTGGATAGATTGTTTAATTTGGGCCCTGGAAATCTAGATCAAAATCTCACAAAATCTTAAAGCTCACTGGATACCTCTCAATTTAACCTTTCTCAGAGTTGCTGTAAGGATGCATACATTACCTCAAGGGCCTTGGAAAAGCAATGTGATAAAAAATATAATATCATTGTTTCCTTCTTTGCCTGGAGAGGATTCAAAAACCTAAATTAAAAACCACATCATTTTGCTAGGCTATGTCTCAGTTCCTGAATTTTAGGTTCCTGTTTCAAAACTCAGAAGCCTGAATAGCTGCAATGCCACCTGAATGCTATATTTTAACTTTTTGATTAAAACTCTGCTGGGGTTTGGGCTTCTGTTCTGAACATATGTCTATACTTTGATGAGCCAGCAATATTGTCTTGCTGAGTTCCTCCTTATACTTTTCCCCAATGGGGCTGAAAAGCCTATTCAGCAATAAAGCCATTAGCAAAGAGGGTTATCTCTGTGTTTCTTTTTTCCCTTTTCCAGCTCTTGGAGCAGTTCCATCACCTTTTGACTGCTACCTTTGCAACCGGGGTTTAAAGACATTGGAAATCCGCATGAAACAACATTTCCACAATGCGCTGACGATTGCCAAATACCTTGAGTCAGATCCAAGAGTTGAGAAAGTCCTCTTCCCTGGTAAGTTGGCTTTGCAGAACCTGGCAGGGGATATAAGCTCTTGCAAAAAAGTGCCGCTGGCTGTAATTGGAGCGAGGAGAGAAGCAAAAGAATCTGCATGACTAAGTGGACTCTTCCAGCCCAGTAACTCTGAAGACTCAAATGACTGATAAAGGGTGGAAACAATAAGTGCTTGTGAATGACTTGTTCCATATCTGCCTAGGGCACAGTTTGTTATTTGAATTTCCCTGCCATGCTCTCACTTTCTTCCTCTCACATATGTTCACCACACATTCACAATTTTTACATGGTTCAGTTGACTTATTTCTTTACACACACTCATCCCAGGCAAGCCATTCAAAATCCTAGTCTTCTCATGCATTATCCTTTCGTAAAGCTTAAACACATGTAGAAGATGGAGAGATATTGAACTGTTGGCCCAGCCCCTGATGTCCCTTGCAGCTCCCACGACCTCTGTGGACGCCTTGAAAGGGGTGGCAGCTGTCCCTTGGAATATGTAGTCATCATGGGATCAGGGGTTGTAACAGCAGGTCCTTGCTCCACCTTATGGAAGTGAACCTTGCAGAGAGACTTGCATAATGCAGTTTATATAACTTTTGTAACCACAATTTTTTTATTTTTGACAAACAGCATTTTCAAACTTAACTCGCTTGGAACCATAGCAATGATCAAAGTACATTTTATGCCTTGGACTAGCGACTTCATATTTTAATAGATTGTGTGTGTTTTAAAGCAACGATAACCTAAATCCGGATGCTTTAAATAATGCATAATTCATTTCAGGATTGCCGTCACACCCACAGTACGAGCTGATGCAACGCCAGTGCACAGGCTGCCCAGGAATGATCTCCTTTTACATTAAAGGAAACCTTGAAAATGCCTCCACATTTCTCAAAAACTTAAAGGTAAGAAAGAGGCCTGATTTGCATTGCTTTTGAAAGAGGAACACTCCCCGCCCCTCCCTTGTCAGGATATGGATGCTGTAAAAGACTTTGCAATATGCTTCTTCCCTTAAAGGAAGCTTTAAAGGACGGGCTGTCCCCAAATGTAAATAACCAACCTTGTTATGCAAAGTGACACTAATGACAGGGAAAGAAAAGGAGTATTTTAGAAATGATGTGTTCATTCAGGCAACTGCTGCTTGCCTAAGATATCACGTAGTGCCACCCAAGGCCAGCCAACTCTCCTGTCTGGAATTCTGGAAGCAGGGGAGCCCTTGCTTATGTAACACTGGCCTGGTGTTTTGAAATGCCTGGCATTTGTGCTGAGTCCTCAGAAGACGCTTGTCAAATCAATGCCTCATCCACATGTATCACTGGAAAAGTATGCTCCTGCAAAGACTGCTGTGCAGTCATTTCTCCTGAATTTCTGCCAGCGGCGTATCGTTCATCTTGGCTTGCGCCCGCTGGCTGCGAACAGGCATACTTTGGTTTCACCAAAAGTTGGCACCTAAATTAACAACAAGGAATGAGCCAAGAGCTTTACTGTACTTCAACAACAACTGAAGATATAAACATCCCACAAACTAGGGCTGGCTAACTTTCCCCTCCCTGCTCATAATATGATCAATCTGATGACCAGGGAGGGCGCGCAGTTTGTATCCCCATCAGGCACCGGGCTGGGCAGATAGGTTTAAATTACTACCCTGCAGTGCTATGTCTAATTAATACCTTTTTGCAGCTTCTACAAAAATTATTGGGGTCTTGCTGAGGAGGGCAGATTGGGCACCCCAAACCAGGAGGTAGCCACGCAGTCCATAAACAACTAACAGGAAAGTCCTAATCCACCTTCTGGGGGCAGGTGGTAATATGTTTATCACAGTCATTTACCCCCATATTGCTTTAATTCTATCCCTGGCTGCTATAAACCAAGCAAGCAAGAGGAGAATCATATATCACTCCCAGAAAATGCCCAAACACAGATTTTTGGAGAGTCTCTAGAGAACGGAAATTTCACAGAAGCTCCTGAGAATGCCTGTTGTTCCCCTGATTTTTTTGATTTATTTATATTTGCTCCTAGGTGGAAAACCTGAAAAGCTTTTCCTGGCCTGTATCTGAGATTGCCATGGCACAAAGAGACAAATGTGGTCTCTGGTGCTGATAGGAGTTGTAGTCACCAGCTTGGCCAAGGCTGCTTATGCAATTACTTTTAGTTAACTAGCAGGTAGGGAGTTGTGCTCACCCCCTTTGGAATCCTGGGAGCTCAGGGGCCCATAGGATTTAATAGGGCCGGGCTGCTGAATACAGTGCTGCCTTCTCTTCTTGCCATCCTTCCATAGGGCAGCAATTCAGTGCAGGCTTGGCAGCTACAGTCTCTTTCCCATGCCCTAGTACAGGCTTGCGGGAGAAGCCATATTTTGCCACAAAGATCTCCATGTCATGCAGAAAGGAAAGCACATTCTGGCATCTGCCATTGGCCAGGGGACGAAGGCCACTAGGAAGCTGCTCCCCTTTGCTCCCAGGAACAAGTTTGCTTCTGCTCCTCTCAGCCCCAGCTGACTAGAGAGCTGACAGCCACAGACTCTGCCCTTATTTGTAAAGGGACCGAGTTTCAAGTGAAAAGTTGAGTGAATGAATGCTGAAATATAAAGCTCTGTATTGTTTTTCTTTTTAGCTTTTTACGCTGGCTGAAAGTCTAGGAGGATATGAAAGCCTGGCAGAGCTTCCGTAAGTGAAGTTAATCTGAAATCTCTGTTGGAATCAACTATATCCTTATTTTATTTTAAATCTGTCTAATACTTAATACGATTCAGACTAACGAACACAATAATAATTTGGCCACAATGGCCAATACTGTACTTTATCCCACCATTCTTTCAGTGAAGGGAGATTTCTTTTATGTAGTAAATATATAACTTATGAATTCTTTATCTGAAGGGCTGATCCTTCAATGTAGTTGAAAACTTAAACTTTTTGTTAAGGTTAAACTTAAGGTTAGGTTAAACTTAATTTTAAAGGCCTAAAATTCGTTTGTGAATAAATTATATTCCTCCCAGCCTCCAAGCATTACTGACATAAGCTATAGTGTTATAATTTCTCTTTTTTGCGCTCCCAAAAGGTAGGTAACTAATTTTAAATTTACCTTATTTTTACTGCCATCATATCATCTTGCCCTCATCTTGTTGTTGTTGTTGTTATTGTTGTTACCTATAAAATATCCCGCTAGCAAATTTGTCTTTTGAATATACTAAAACCAGTGAGAATTCTTATTAGCTTGGAGGATTGCAGTATTTTACTGCAGTCAACAAGATAATTACATGGGAAGTATTTTTAAATTTCTTTTGCTATTTTAAAGTCCTTATTAGTATCCAATTTCAAGCCATCTGCCACTTCTCAGCCCATAATGTATCTATCCCAGATCCTTAACCAGTTAGATCACAGGTGTCAAACACAAGGCCCGCGGGCCGAATCCGGCCCGCCAGACCTCGTCATGTGGCCCGTGTAGCCGCCGCCAGCCGCCAGCCTTCACCTTTTATTCTCGCTTTTTTTTTTTGACACAAGAAAGCCGCCTCTTCAGCGCATGCGCGGCAGCCTACAAGCCAGAGAATGTCTGCCCTCTAGCGGCGCCAGCCGTTCTACACAGGAAACCTCCACTTTACATGCATTCAGGAAACCTCCACTTGTTTTAGACAGAAGCAGAAAACAATTCTATCCAACCAAATATGATGCTAAGTTCCACTGCTGTTTTTAAATGACTTCTGCCTTTCATGATTTGCCATTAAATTTAGAGGTATCTTCTTTCCTCATCTATGTCCTTTAGCCAGTTCTCTGCTGCTGAACAACATTCAACAGGTGTTGATTCCCCACATTTTATGATGATGTAAACAGATTTTATCTTGTTTGTAGCCTTGTTGTGCACTGCTTAGACACGGTGGTATTAAGCCAGGCATGTCCAAAGTCCATTTTGGGGGCCTAATCCGGCCCGCTGGTTGGTTTAATCCAGTCTATCTCCTGGGGTAAAATCCTAAAAAAAGCTCAACAACTTCAACTTTGGTTGGCCCTCATGCATGTTCATTTCATCAAATCTGGCCCTCTTTGAAAAAAGTTTGGGCACCCCTGAGTTAGATGTTTAAAGAAAATCATCTTGGCATGAACAGTTCTACTGCTTTTTTTTTTGCTTTCTCAAAAAATGAACTGGCAATCTGCTGTTTTAAGCTGTGTACAGAGGAGGGCATGCTTGGTACAGGAAACCCTGCTGAAGAGCATATGACTTTGTAAAAGTGTGTATTTTAACGATAGACATGGTGCAGATTGGAAGCGTCACTTTATCCCTTCTAAATTACTGCACCTTTCAAATTACAGGAGTTTGGTGCTAGCATTTCTCTGCCTCTTAGCAAGATTTATAGCCAGGAAAAATGACAAGGGTAGTGAACACAATCTTTTTCCTGGATTCCATCCTGTGGCCGTATCGAACCCTCTGGTTAACAAGATTGGCCTGTCCAAATTGGATAGAATCCCTGCAGGCCCTGTGAGACCTAGATGTGATGGAAAACAAGGTACATCTAAAAAATAAATAAAGATAAAGTAACACTGCAAGCTGGACATAGCTAGGTCCGAATCTCTTGGCAGGGCCTCTCATTTATCAGGGAAATTCACATTTGTTTCTGGGTCTTTCTAGACCACCACAAAAGCCAATAAGATGCCACATAGTGGAATGGCAAAAGTTCCACCTCTCTGCTGACAAGACACACCAGTAACTTTTAGGGTCTCGGTAGGATTGAATATGTTTACTGTTGTCCTTGGAAGCTTTCTTGCTGCGTTCTGTCAAAATGTAACTTTTCCTGTCCAGGGTTGAGCTCTGGGAAAAGCTGAGCTTTTCTAAACAAGAACTTTATGGCAGAAGGATGAAATTGCTTCTGAAAGCAAGTGTATGGTATCTGTTGACTTACCATCATTACCTCCACCCCCAATAATGTTGCCAAGAAAACACCCCATCAAATAAATAAATAAATAAATAAATAAATAAATAAATAAATCCCTGCCCATCTGACTGGGTTTCTCTGGCCAGCTCCCAACAGAATATAATAATAAAAAAGCGATAAAACATCAAACATTGCAAACTTCCCTAAGCAGATGTCTTCTAAAAGTCAGATAGTTGTTTATTTCTTTGACATCTGATGGGAGGGTGTTCCACAGGGCAGGCACCACTACCAAGAAGGCCCTCTGCCTAGTTTCCTGTAGCTTCACTTCTCTGTGAGGGAATCACCAGAAGGCCCTCAGAGCTGGACCTCAGTGTCCGGGCTGAACGATATCTATCCTCTATCTATCATCTATATTCAAGGCAAACAAATGCAGGACTATACTTTAAAACATTTTCTTTAAAGGCAAACAGCTTGCCTCAAGAACAGACTGAATACCACATGAGTGTTTTGATGAGCTGGTGTTTAGGTCTATAACTTCACTTGCAAAGAATTTGCTATGAGACATGTTTTCATATTGCACCTCCCTTCTGCGGCTGCCTGCCTATTTGATGCCAGTTCAGAAGCTCTCGGAGCTGGCTGCCATCTAGAAAACTGCTTGCTACTAGCATAGCAGTTCCACAGCCTTCAGGAAGGTGTCACTATCCCAGAGCATTTGGCATGGATTTGAGACCGTAGTCTAGCATGATCTTAGCGCTCACTTGATGAGGATCAGAGATCTGTCTCTTAAAGGGAATACATTGGCATTTTGCTGCCTCTGTGCAATTCTTTTTAATTGTTGCATCTGGAATGACAGACCAACCCTCCAACATTGCTGGGTTGCCCCAGCCAATCTGGGCAGCTTCCAACATATATAAAAACACAGTAAAACTGTAAAAAAAACCCTTCCTTATTCAGGATTGCTTGGGAGTCAGATATTTCCATACCCTCCAACATTTCTGCAGTGAAAATAGATATATCCTAAGGAAAAGCAGGACATTCCGGGATCAAATCAGAAACCATGATGGCTTCTCTAAATCAGGTACATCCCTGGAAAACAGGGACACTTGGAGGGTCTGACAGACTATTGTTCTTGTTTAGTGCCATCATGACTCATGCCTCAGTCCCAAAGGCAGACAGAGAAGTCCTTGGGATCTCGGATACGTTAATCCGCATGTCTGTCGGTTTAGAAGACTCGGAAGACTTGTTAGAAGATCTGGACCAAGCTTTGAAGGCCGCGGTAAGTGATTTCAGTTATGGAGAAATGTAGGGGTATGTTTTTGCTTTTTAGCTCCCCCCATTGCTTTAGAAGTCAACAGTAATTCTGATGAACCCTCATGTTACATTTGTCAGATAGCTTGACAGAACACAGCTAGTAGCAAGAAGTGAAATGTTTTTGCAGTAAGCTCCTGTACTATATCTTACTATACATACTATATAGGTCCATGATTACTGAGCAGGCTAGCTGAACATATTAGTGAGGTGTTGGGGCTAGGTCCCTGCCCCCCTCCATGCCATGCGCACATTCCAATTTATATTCACACGTAGCCCATACACTACTATAAATAAAACATAAAGGTAAAGTAAAGGGACCCCTGACCATTAGGTCCCGTCGTGGCCGACTCTGCGGTTGCGGCGCTCATCTTGCTTTATTGGCCGAGGGAGCTGGCATACAGCTTCTGGGTCATGTGGCCAGCATGACTAAGCCGCTTCTGGTGAACCAGAGCAGCGCACAGAAATGCCATTTACCTCCCCGCCGGAGCTGTACCTATTTATCTACTTGCATTTTGACATGCTTTCAAACTGCTAGGTTGGCAGGAGCAGGGACCGAGCAATGGGAGCTCACCCCGTCACGGGGATTCGAACCGCCAACCTTCTGATCGGCAAGTCCTAGGCTCTGTGGTTTAACCCACAGAGCCACCCATGTCCCCATAAATACATAAATACACAAATACACATATAGGCACACTATTCCAGGGGCTACCAGCCTTCTGAGGCCAGTAGGCCCATTTTGAATTTGGGTATAACCCAAAATGGCTGCCACGGGGGCCATGATATAATGGCAGATGCGTTAAAAAGAACAGCAGACGAGGCACAACCACAAAGAGGTTGCAGACGGGGGCCGGGGAGGCATCTACATCAGTCACCACTGCACTTACATCCAGAGGGAAGCTCTTTTGCACTTCTCTCTGCTCAGAATAGGAGGAAGGTGGGTGTCCAGTCCTGGAAGTCAATGAAATTTGGTCATGTTTAAGGGGGCACCCTCAGTGTAAGAGCGACTGAGTCAGTGCAAACAAGGAACTGAGCAGGAAGAGCAAATCATTTCTAGTAAAACTGTGGATTTCTGAGGGGATATTTACTAGACCTGTTGCAGGTGCCATAGGACTCGTGCCTACCAAGCATGAGAACTTGACAAAAAGGGATTACCTGAGTGGTAATGGCACTGAAGATTAGCTTTAGGCTAAATGACTGACAAAAATCATGCTGAATTTTACTGACAACTACACTTCTTTTGCAAAGTGACCAAGTTGCCTTTGTCTGCTGACTTCCTCATTTTTCTGCCAGATTCTTTCCCCTCTAACAAAGCAGAAAAAGGCAGCTGGGAGTTTGGATGAGTAGCATAGTGTGTACCAATATGAATCCGATCTGCAATTAAGTTGAGTCATTTAAAGAACAATAGTGATAAAATTTCTCTTGCTTTCTCTTGCCACAGATTCCCGATTACAGAATCTATAACTAGGAGTCTTGACATCACATTTAATTCCTGCACATCTGTAATACAAATGAACTGGATGATCAGCTGCTGATGAACTTCCATTGGATTAGATTTCCTGCTGAAAATGAAAAAGTTGATGTTTTTGATGCCCGGAAAGGAAGCCTAGAATACTTGTTGACTCCACAACCCCCTTTTTTTCCAAGAAGTGTCTTCTGAGGTCATCTCCTCATTGTCTGGTTCCTTTGATTTAAAAACAAAAAGAAAGCCATATTTCTTGACAGCAGTAGTTCCCAGGTGACCATGGTCCACACTCAGGAAGATTGTGCCCAATCACACATATTTATATTTAAATATAAATATATTTAAATTAGTGTGGCATAATAGCTAAAAGACTGTGCTGTAAATCAGGAAGTCCCTGGTCTGAATCTTGCCTTAGGGTAGGGTTACCAGACTTCCCCGGTTCCCGGGGACAGTCCCCGGATTTGCAAATCTGTTCCCAGGAAACATGGCAGCCTCAGCAGCCCAGAGCCAGCCTGGTAGCGCTGTTGGCTCTGGCTGGCTTCAGGAGCTGCTCGCTGCCATGGTGCCTGCCATTTTTCCTCGCTGAAAGTCCCCATATGATGTATCTTGCGCGCAACAGTTTTTAAAAACTGTGCATTTATGTTTCACAGGGTGCAAAAATAGGGCTTTGCACCTTTATACAATATGCATGTGTGCTTGGGCCCATGGTCTTTTGCCTCACCATCCCCATTACTGACTCCCTGTTGCTACTCAGCTTCAAAAGAAGTAAGTGTCCCCGGATTCATTGAAAAAAAATCTGGTAACCATATCTTAGGGAAGCCAGTCTCTCTCAGCCTCAGTTTCCCCCCATCCACAATACTGGGTTATTGTAGGGATCACAACTAGCTAATGTTTATGAAGTGCTCTGAAGTCTTGAAATGGCTATGCCAATATTATTATACTTGATTATTTTGATAGAAAATTGCCATTATGCCAGCATGCTTGGTTGTTTCTTGTCACTTATACATGCTGCTGATTTATTTTATTGTTTTTAAACGTTAATAACCGACTTGGAAAAAAGACTGCTGCATATACCAAGTGTGGATTTTAGATTGGTTCCCACTGTTTTTCTCCTGTGCAATATTGGAAAATGAAGCAAAAAATCAGTTGCATGGTACCCTATGCAATAGGCTTTTATCTAAAATAAATAAATATTGAATTTGCTTTGGTTTCTGCTTTTAATTTCTGTTAATATAGATCTAATCAAACTCTACAATCCTATGATTCCATAACCATCTTTTAGTTACATTTTTGTTGTTGGTGGTTCTAGTTTTTGTTTTTTGTTTTACAACATTCAAGATTTTTTTCCACAAAAGACACGAATTTCATCATCATTTGCACTGTTTTTATCAGTTTTATAAAGTTAATTTTTGCTTGGGCCAATTTCTCTGAAGAAACTAATAGGAGGAATGCTTGGTTAAAAGCTCAATATTATACAGTGGTACTTCGGGTTAAGTACTTAATTTGTTCCAGAGGTCTGTTCTTAACCTGAAACTGTTCTTAACCTGAAGCACCACTTTAGCTAATGGGGTCTCCTGCTGCTGCCGCGCCGCCAGAGCACGATTTCTGTTCTCATCCTGAAGCAAAGTTCTTAACCCAAGGTACTATTTCTGGGTTAGCGGAGTCGTATGTAACCTGAAGCGTATGTAACCCGAGGTACCACTGTATAGGCAGAATATTTTTCTGTGGGTGTGGCTGCATCACATTCATTTCTAACTGACCTTACATGTGGGTTTGCTTTAACTAAGCCCAGTGTTTTTTCCCCCTGGGTATGCATACCCCTAAACATTTTGTGAATCTAAGTTTGGCCTCATTGAGGGGCAGTATTTCGATATGAGTAGGAAAATGAGAGTACCCCTAAACACATTTTTATAGGAAAAGAGCACCGACTAAGCCTATGGTTTGTCCAGTAGTCACACTTGCTTTTCTGGGAACTGGTTCCTTTGCATGCCTTAGGCTGTTTTGCTGTCTTTAATGGTATACCATAGCCTAGGTGTTATAAGTAGAGACAATATTTGATGTCTGTGGGATGAAATTTTGGAGCCATCCTAATCCTTAATACTCTCAGTGTGGAAGAGTTTCTAGCTAGGAACATATGCACAGATCTGTTCCCCCACCCCCACCCCATGGATGCTTTCTATGCTTGCAGTTTTATACTGCAAGAGTCAAACCACAAAAATATCCTGTAGACAGAGTGACTGGACTGCAAGAAAGCTGATCTGATACTGCGCAAGCCACCTAGGTACAAGTGAGAGGTATGTTACTCACCTCAAACCAGACGCCCCCTTTTGGAACTCCTGAGAAGTGAAGGGAATTTCACAAGTGAAATTCTGTGGGGAGGTTTATCCAAGGGAGATGTGGATAATACCACTTATCTTTTGCCAGATGGCATGCTGGTATTTGGGCGATGCCTCTACATCCCAAGCGCAGCAAACTGAAACTTCAATAACGAACCCAAAAAAAACCCCCCTCTGTTGCAATAAGAACCAATCACAACAATACAAACATAACACGTTAGTAGAGAATATATAATAGAATAATGATATCATTCAAATTCTAGGAAAAAGCCAATCAAAGTTCATATGTACAATATAACAGTGGTAGTGAGGACCGTCAAGCCGTGTGTTCAAAATAGATGTCTAAGGACAGTCTCACAACAGTCTTTCAAAAGTTTCAACAGAAGACGTCTCAAAAGTTTCAAAAGTAAAGCCTATCAATAGTCTTTCAAAAGTTGCAATGGAAGTTTTTATTACGTCTGCTGTGGAGGACTTGCCAAACACAAAACTGCTTTACAGCAGCATTGTGAGGTTGTATAAACAAACCAGTGATTATAGTACAGTGGTACCTCTGGTTAATAACTTAATTTGTTCTGGAGGTCCGTTCTTAACCTGAAACTGTTCTTAACCTGAGGTACCACTTCAGCTAATGGAACCTCCTCCTCCTGCTGCGCCGCTGGAGCACGATTTCTGTTCTCATCCTGAAGCAAAGTTCTTAACCTGAGGTACTATTTCTGGGTTAGCGGAGTCTGTAACCTTAAGTGTCTGTAACCTGAGGTACCACTGTATTACACACACTGCTTGATAAAATGACTGGGGGGGGGGAGAGATTCTTTTTTCTCTATTTCTCTTTAATGGTACCAAATCCTGCTAAGATTTGCATATCCCTGAGAAAAAAAGAGCATTGAAAAACATAAGGGAAAAAACAATGTCATTAATTTCTGCTTTGGCTTGCTTCCCTGGTGATGAGCTGCCTAGACAGTGGTGGCTGGGATAGGTCAAGCAGAGAAGGGAAGTCAACAGGAGGTGGAGCCCCAGCCCCAGCCCATGACTGGCAGAGTCAGCTTAGTCTAGCCATGTCCTCCTTCTCCTCCCCACCCCTCCTGCTGAATTCTGCAAGGGCCAATCCTAAAGCTAAGTAGTGCCACCCCTTTCATTGCTTCTAAGAAAGGAGGCAGGCAAGTAGGCGCTGGCTGAAGGCAAACTGAGGTTAATAGGGCAGTATGGAAAACACTATATCTCAGTGGTAGAGCACCCACCTTGCATGCAGAAGGTCTCAAGTTCAATTCCTGGCATCTCCAGGTAGGCCTGGGAGAGACTTCTGTTGGAAACTTGGGAGAGTCACTGCCAGTCGCTGTACAGCAGTACCTCAGGTTAAGTACTTAATTCGTTCCGGAGGTCCGTTCTTAACCTGAAACTGTTCTTAACCTGAAGCACCACTTTAGCTAATGGGGCCTCCTGCTGCCACCATGCCGCCGGAGCACGATTTCTGTTCTCATCCTGAAGCAAAGTTCTTAACCTGAAGCACTATTTTTGGGTTAGCGGAGTCTATAACCTGAAGCGTATGTAACCTGAAGCGTATGTAACCCGAGGTACCACTGTATATAATACTGAGCTAGATAGACCAGCCATCTGACTCGCTATAAGGCAGTTTCCTATGTTTCTATGCCCCACTTGCTCAAATGGGCCAGCCTCCATTGTGCCTTGATCTGAACTAGTCCACTTTGGAGAGAGAGGAAGTATTAGGACTGAATCTTCCAGATTAGTTGGGGGGAAATTACATTATGGAGTAGGGTCCAGATGAGAAACTGTGAGCCTCCAGATGTAGGAAGGCAAGATAAGCAAAGTGAGAACGAAACTCTAGATGTAAAGGTAAGGTAAAGGACCCTACAGTTAAGTCCCGTCAAAGGCGACTATGGGGTTGTGGTGTTCATCTCGTTTTCAGGTCAAGGGAGCCGGCGTTTGTCCACAGCTAGCTTTCCGGGTCATGCCGCAAGCCAGGGCCATCTTTACCTGGGGGTGCAAGGGGTGCAGGGCACCCGGGTGCTGAATTCTGGGGGGTGCCAGGAACCCGCTGCTGTAGCCGCCTAACATCTTAAATATCTACCTGTTATGAAATAATAAATAATTTTGATCAAGCTAGAAAAACAAAATACATATATACCTGTGTGGTGTACTGTAGTGTAGTGGTTAAGAGCGGTGGACCCATAATCTGGTGAACCTTGTTCGATTCCCCACTCCTCCACATGCAGCTGCTGGGTGACCTTGGGCTAGTCACACTTCTTTGAAGTCTCTCAGCCCCACTCACCTCACAGAGTGTTTGTTGTGGGGGAGGAAGGGAAAGGAGAATGTTAGCCGCTTTGAGACTCCTTAAAGGGAGTGAAAGGCGGGATATCAAATCCAAACTCTTCTCCTTCTTCTTCTTCTACCTAGGTATTACCAAAACATATACCTACTGTTTCACTAAAGGACTTTCAACTTTGTGCGCTCATTTACCAAAGATGCGCCACGCCAGCAGCGGCGCTTGTCATTCACAATGGCGGCGCTTGACTCAACGACGGCGCTTGTCATTCACAATGGTGGGGCTTGTCAGACTCAACGACGGCGCTTGTCATTCTCAACGGCACTGTGAACGCAAAATTAACTCTTACATCATAATAAAAGTTAATTTGGGGAATAAACTCAATTTGGGGGTGCTGGGCGGATCTTTGCAACCCAGTGGCACATATGCTAAAGACTGCGCTGTGGCCAGCATGACTAAACCGCTTCTGGCGCTACGGAATACCATGATGGAAACCAGAGCTGCAGCAGTCCCTGTTTGTCTACTTGCACTGGTGTGCTTTTGAATTGCTAGGTTGGCAGGAGCTGGGACAGAGCAACGGGAGCTCACTCCGTTGTGGGGATTCAAATCGCAGTCCTTCTGATTGGGAAGCCCAAGAGGCATGGTGGTTTAGACCACAGCGTAGATGATGAAGTAAGGTTTAGCAGGCCCAACCTATTTCAGTTTAATCCTTCAGGAACATTATAAAGGGTTGGTTTAGTTTATTAGATTCATTTTTCACTTCACACAAGCAAAAAGGGCCCCAAAGCAATTCACAGGGGAAGTAAAGTGCAAAATGACACAATAAAAATATCAGTTAAAACGATATACTAAAAAGCATTCATCCAAAAATCATGCTGAATCACAATATTTGGCACAAAAGGAAGCACCAGGAACTGCTACTAACTGAAAGTAGAATGTCGAAGAAACAAACCTACCCTAAACTAAGGAAAACAACTTCTCAGTGACTCGGCTCTCAACCAGTCCGGTGGCAACTAATTCTCCCATATGAATGCATCTAGGAGCCCTTGTTGTTGGGGGTGGGGGTGGGAAGAGAGCTTTGCCAGTAATAAATAAGGCAGCTTTGGGAGGGGGGTGATTTTCCTCAGGAAGACAACAGAAGGGAACATTAAAAAACTCTTCCCTCCTCAAACCTGCCCCCTGTGGTTCTGCCACTGTTCAGGACCCCCTGCTGCTGCTATTTGCATTTTTAAAACATGCATTAAAGTAGCATCTCGTTTGGCCCACAGAGTTTTTAATGTTAAACCATATACAGAAAGGTGCAGAACAGTGCCATGTATATATGAACTGAAGATGTATTAATAACGTTTCTAACTGGCTGGCATGAGGTGAGATTAGTGAGGGATTGCTATGACGAACTTGCCATAACTTGCCATGCTACATTATTTTGAGCAATGCAAATGTAATCATATTTTAATTGCTCGCTGAAGCATGCAAAGTTAACGAGGCTTGCTTTTCTGCCTATATTCTGTGACAGCTATTATTGCTCAGTGAATTTCAAGCTTTCTGGGGTATTTCATAGCTGAGAAGCATAGCATCCTGTTAGCCAATAAAAAAATGGCAAATGTAACCTAGATAACTTGGAGTTCATAATGCCTTTTGTTTTTAAATTGGTTTGATAATGGGGGATGCTTATTCCTATCAGCTCTGTTTCCATGGCAGCAGAAAGCCTCTTTACACTTGGAAGGCATATAGGATAAATTATTGAAGCTCAGAGCCTATGGCATTACACTAATGGCTTTTACTAGTAACTTCAGAGACTATAGGACCACTGCTCTCCTACTAAATATGCAAAGTAAGCCTGGTACCTTTTCACTGTTGAACTCCTGGAGTTGAGCGCGGTGCTTGTACGGTACCATTCATTTTACAAAACCATAACAGGTCTCTATAAAATCCAGTAGAGTGTATTCCGGTAAATTTCCATCTGTGCAATTTATGCAGCTATGCGGTAATCTCAGAGCCCATGAATCATATCCATGACTACCTAAGATAAGCAGTTACCAAACCTTTGGGCCTTTCCTACCTGGGCAGGAAGGAAATAAGTAAATGCTGTCTTTTACAGTCAACGCGATGCTTAGATTTTACAGCCTGATTCTAAATAAATGGACTTGAATGCAGTGATGCCTTGTGCAAGCAGAAACGCACGTTAGCTTGCAGAAGACAATACACCCTGGTCCCCATTTGTATCATCACATGATGTTCAAGAGGGATTTCCTATCACATAAAGTTCTTTTAAGTTCTCTGTCTTGCTGACAGGGCACTGGGAAGGTCTCCTGAGATCTTGAATGGCCCCATGAGACCATTGGTCCATCTGGTAGTGGTTCTCTAGGGTTTCAGACAGCTGCACCTGAAGATGCAGGGGGTTGAATCCGAGACCTTATGCATGTAAAGCAGCTGCTGTCCCACTGTTATGACCTTTCAAAGATGCTCTGCCACCGAGCTGCACTCCAACATATCTGAAACAGAAGTCAGGACTTGACTGAGGTTTATCACACACCCTTCAGCCACAAACACTGGCACACTCTTTCCGTAACAGAATTTCAACAGATTTTTAGATATGAACCACCCATACAACTCTGAACAGATCATGATCCTACTTTAGCCTTTCTCAAGTCACCCTTCAATCTGGGTGCTGAATTAACGGGAAAATAAAAAGAGGACCAACATCTGCATTCAATAGTGCGTTCAAATAACTTCATAACAAATATCTGAATGACATGCTATATTTAAATTCAAGTTCAAAGCAGGGAATGCAGGTCAGCAGGCAACACAGAACATTATACAGAAAGATTTGTCTTACAAGGGAAGGGTAAAATAATAAAGGTGAAAGCCTTTGCACAGTTACTGGATCCTTTGTACCGAAAGCCACTGACATATTAACTCAAGCCATAGAGCAGATGTGAGGAACCTTGGGCCCTCCAGATGTTGCTGAACTGCAGCTCCCATCATTCCTGGCCACTGGTCAGACTTGCCGGGGATGATGGGAGTTGTAGTGCAGCCAAAAGTTCCATTCTCTTGCTGTGGAATGACTTATGGTTGTCTCCCACCTTGGTTTAAAAACCTGGAAGTAGGATCAGAGACAGTGGGAAGTCCGTTCACAAACAGTTTTCAAACCATCATTCACTCCTAAATTGAATCAAAAAAAACAAAGGAAGAGTGAAAATAGCACCTCATTTCCTGGAGTCTGTCAGCTGAAGTCCCTCCCACCCCAAGTAACATTTGCTTTTAATTGTCTGTCCTGTCTCTTACTAATCCATGTACCATGTTAGTCAGATGCTGTTCTTAGAAATGGACAGCTTTGACTTATAGGAAAGTTTCTAAAATAGAAATGCAAAGATAATTTGTCACAATTAAGTGGCACTTATTTATATGCCTCTTGTCGAGCCCTACGGTGGAGTTTCCATTGCAGTACATCAACTCTCTAGCACTAAGCCGACCAGCCACTGACTGTCACTGTTAGGCTATTAAATGGAAATATATATAAGGTGCTTTATCGTCTTCATACCAATCTAAATCTGCTGCTGGACAGAACTTCAAGCTAGGAGTCCTGAGCATCCATCATATTTATGATTCAAGCATGTGGGACTGTATTTGAGCAGATGTTAGTGCATTGCTATATAGTGTGCTAAGTATATTAGTTACGGTTCTGTGAAATATAATAATGAATGCTGATTTGTCACAGGCATTACCAAGTGTTTGTTTCACATTTCCCCTTATCTTCCATAGCTTGCAGCATCCTATTTTTGAAAAGGCAATTTTCTACTTATTCCCTTTTGTTGCTTGCCACTTATAAAAATACTGATTGCCTCCCTTTTTATACTATATAAACCCATGCAATTTACTGATAAGCCACATGGATCTTACTATTTAGAAAGTGAGTTTATAGCAACTTCTGTTCAGTTTCCTGGGGCGGCGGGGAGAGAACATTGTTTTATAGTTAGTTTCACTGTAAATAATGGA